GGGAAACCAGGGTAACGAATAGTGTCGAAAGTAGCTACTCGCGAATTCCTAGTCCCTACGAAAAATGCCGGTCTTTCAGAGACTTTCTACGTTATTATAATATACTATAATATCGTGGATCATCCGATCCCACGTAATAATGAGCTTCGAGACAGAGCGAATGTGTATTTTTATATAAATTATAGTTTTCTTCGTGTATTTTTTATATTAATAAAATTCAAATATTGCAGTGGGACCGAAGTCGGCTCGAACACGTTGACGAGGCTCTCGCGATTTTTTTAGGAAAAGCAGGGTAACGAATAGTGTCGAAAGTAGCTTCTCGCGAGTTCCTACTCCCTACGAAAAATGCCGGTCTTTCAGAGACTTTCTACGTTGCTATAATATACTGTAATGTCGCGGGTCATCCGACCCCATGTAATAGGTTAAGAGTTTATGGCAGAGGCCGGTTCGGTTGCACACAATTTGAGGAGAAAGGGATTTTACTACTTTCGTGAAATCACACCAATGTACACGTGCGATGGTCCACAGGCTCTTTCGAATTTCTACGAGTTTGCTTCGGTCAATATTGACTCGATCGGCTTCCCTGTTGCTGCCACGTGCGGAGACATGCTGCGTCTCATGTTGGCACAGTTCTCGGCTACTTGGGCAGTAAAATTCTAGAAGAGTATGCGAAGCGTTATTCGTCTGGTTCATACCAATGAATGGAAAGTAGGGTAATCGCATCGTGTTTTTTTACGAACGAAGGAAATTTTTTCACGTTGAAAAGCGATCGTGATCTAGCTTGGATCAAACGATCGTAGAGTCATCAAAATTATAGTAGATCACTCTGTTTGCTCTGAAGAGCTTCTGAATAGCTTTTCATAGTGAAATCAACATAGTGATTGTTGTTAATATCATGTAGATTGATAATTAAACTGTTGCGAATAATAATTTCATTTCTAGCAGCCATTTTCACTCGATCATTTTATGTCTTGATCGTGCGTTAAAGTATTTAGAAACGTGAATCCTCGCTGTAGCCTCGTTTTTAAACGATTCTATGAAAATTTCGATGACAGTGATTATACTATCGCGCACACGTTTAGAAAACGTGTATCTGCATTAGTTCAAACTGTTCAACTCATTGTAAAGATGAAAATTTCACGCGAAAAATCGTTTCATAGCTGCCTGGCGAACGCAAACGTGATCAGGTGCGATCAAAATTTGTCGTGAACGATACTTGCAACGCCTTTTCTTCCTTTTCAACTTTCTATTATAATGATGCGTGTTAGAATCGAATTACACCTTAACGTCGTATAGGCAATTAACCAGAATGTTTCAGCTTTGTTCGCGATGACGTGCAAAACTGACTATCGTCGTATAATTTATCGATGAAAATTTTAACGAACCGCTAGTTTCTATTCACTTAATTAATAGGAAGCAACGCGAAAAATTCGGAAACGAATTTTCTAAAATTTCGAATTCACGTCGAACAGATTTCTTCCACGTTCAATGTGAATTGTTTTCACACAGTCGTCGCGCGAGTTCGACAAATGGAAAGTTCATTTGCATAGTAAAAGAAGCCCGGTTCGCGAGGGAGAAACCAAGTGCAACAGGTTCGCGCAATGAACAGTCGCGCTTCCGAGCAGCGCAAGCAATTAGGACTACCATTTTTCACATGCAAACAGAGCGCTTCTTGCAAGATTGATAGAGCCTCGCGACGATTGCAGCCTTCAAAGTGCAACGAGGTTCTAAATTAAAACATCAAGTAGCAACGTTGGTTGATGAACTGGTCTTTCAACCAAGAAACAGGAATCAAACAAAAATTAAAAGCTAAATATACAAGATTGAAGTTTCGAACCATTATATCTTTTTAAGATTCTGTCGATATACTTCTTCCATCATTTAGTGGTTTCCACAGGGGGGCAGTTCGAGAATGAGTTATTAACAGTGAACTCTTTGCATTCAAGATGAGCTTAAATTGAATTTTGTTGGATACCTTTGTTTTATTTTATTTTATTTTATAATAATTTAAATAATCGAATGTAAAAGGAGAAGCTTTCAAAAATTATTTTATATCTGTGCATTCCAATTCTCTTTTGTATGTCTTAAAACTTTGCTGTTTATCGTGTCACTTCGTTTTATTATTTTTCTAAACAATTTCTTAGCGATTTCTTCAAGATTTCTTCAACTGTTCTTTCGTTCTTTTATTATTTTCTGTCATGTTCTTTAGAAGCTTGTTCAGGCCTTGAAGTTAATGGTTTTAAACTTCCTTTGCTGTTTATCGTGTCACTTCGTTTTATTATTTTCCTAAACAATTTCTTAGTGATTTCTTCAACTGTTCTTTCGTTCTTTTATTATTTTCTGTCATGTTCTTTAGAAGCTTGTTCAGACCTTGAAGTTAATGGGCTTTTAAACTTCCGCCACGTCAATGATATCACTTTTTCAATAATAAGAATTGTGTCACAGAGGTGGGATATCAGGAGTTTAGAGAATGACCAAAAAAAGATTGGGAATCACTGTATCAATTAAGCTAGTAACTTAAAGTAAGTTCAGCTTTGAATGAACAAAGTGATGCAGCTTTATAATGAATTGTGCGAGAATCAGGATCTGAGATCAGTAAGGATTCCACCTGACTTTCAAACTTAAGGCTCTAAAAGATTTCTAGTTGAAAACTTTACGAGTTACACTTAAGTGTAAATTAAAATGTAAAACTGTCGATGTGAAAACACGTCGTCGGTAAATACTTATACGATTCAAGAATTCGTGGTACTACGTGTATGAGAGCATTGAGACAATGACAATGACGTAACATCCACGACTGAATCAACATGCTGCACCTGGCATTTACACCTTGCTATTCGTAATTATGCGTTCATACCTATCATGCCCAAATTCGAGAAGACTTTGAATTATACGAATTTTCAACTCTTTGAAGAATTTCAAGTGTCTTCCTTGATGAAATAACGGGGAATAAATATTGAAACGATACGGGGATTAGACAGGGCGCTGATTCGCACGAATGCCCATCAATGAATACCAGAATTTACTGTTAGATCTCCTCCATGTTAGGTGGCCCTACAAACCATAAGAAATTGATCACTTCAATTTTACATTCCCAAGGGAAGAAAAGAATTAGAAGAAACATTTTTTTATTCCGTTTTAGATCTTGTCGATGAGACAAGATGAAAAAATATTTACATGAGATATAAATATATACGAATAGATATAAACGCAGCATAACAACAAGGTATTATTAATTTGGCAGCTACTCACCTCGTCAACGCTTATGTATATACGTTCACGCATTCCTCCTGATTGGAGCCTGAATACTCTACGAGCTCGTTACTCGAAAAGGCCCGCATTTTCCCACGACGAGAAACGCAGACAGACATTTCCTAAACATTTGCCACGGTGTAACGGAATTCCAGCGAATTCCAGTTTGTCCGGAAGTGTCGGGTTTCACGCGGGTTTCGCGTCGTCGCTTGGTAAAGTAAAAATCGAAGGACCTTCGGCAGAGATCTCTTACCATTCTTCAAGCTGCTATTTTTGCTCGTTATCGGTGGCGATGTATCAAGTGCTATTGTAACTGCGAATGCAGTCGAGGAACGAAACTCGTCGGCGAGTAGAAAGTACTGAGAAATTCTCGAGAAATGAGAACAACGGTGGATGTTGTTCCCGTCGTTCGACCAGGGGAAACAATCGAAACGATCGATACATCACGTGTACCGTCGTGTACCGTTCTTCGGCCGCGCGTTCCTTATCGGTTCAGATGTTCCGTTTGCTTCCGGCGTTCCACTTCCGGCCTCGTATTTGATTCATTTAGCGTACGTGACGAGCAAGAAAACAGAATTCATCGTAAGGGATCTCTCGTCATAGTAAAATTATTTAAAATGTTGTGACAAAATACTCGTCGATATTTCCACGCACAGGAATCGTCCTGACAAAATGAAGGTCACGTAGTATACATACATACATAGTTGATATAGAACGCCTGAAAAGTTTGGAGAAATAGTAAAATTTTCAGTCATATTAAAATTATTTAAAATGTCGTGACAAAATACTCATCGATATTTCCACGCATAGGAATCTTCCTGACAAAATAGAGGTCACGTAGCAAGTATACATATGTATACATACATATGTATGTACATAGTTGATATATAGGACGCCTGAAACGTTTGAAGAAATCGATTTTGATCGAATGTTTCCCGAAAAAAAGAGGCGGAATGAAACTTACGACTGGCAAGGATCCTCTTCCTGAATGGCGAGGTGTTATCTCAACGCGTGTACAGTTAGGCGCGAGTCAATGATCCTTGGCATGGCGCCTCATTTAGGCGAAACTAGATACGAAGAAGGTCGCAAAAACGGCCGCCGCTAGCTGAATTTCAAACATTTCAAACGGTATGCGGGTTTTCACGATGCATCCCTCGTGCCTTTTAATCACTTGCGCTGGCAACTGATTGCGGACCATAACGAGTGACCAAACCGTGTGTAAAATAATTCGTCGCTTTCTTCTTGAACTCGTCAGTATGATATCACTGGATAGAAATTATTGAGAAGTAATAAATTTATTATTTGTTTTACTTAAATATACTTAAAACTGGGAAAATATTACAACAAAATTTTGAAACAAAAAATTCTCGACGTGTGTGGCACGTTATTCCAGCACAAGAGGTTAACCACTTGCGCTGGCAACTGATTGCGGACCATAACGAGTGACCAAACCGTGTAAAATAATTCGTCGCTTTCTTCTTGAACTCGTCGGTATGATATCACTGGATAGAAATTCTTGAGAAGTAATAAATTTATTATTTGTTTTACTTAAATATACTTAAAACTGGGAAAATATTGCAACAAAATTTTGAAACAAAAAATTCTCGACGTGCGCGGCACGTCATTCCAGCACAAGAGGTTAAATACTTGCGCTGGCAATTGATTGCGGACCATAACGAGTGACCGAGCCGTATACAATAATTCGTCCTCTTTTTGAATTCATCGGTATGTCACTGGATAAAAATTATCGAGAAGTAATAAATTTGTTTTACTTAAATATACTTAAAACTGAGGAAATATTACAACAAAATTTTGGAACAAAAAATTCTCGACGTGCGTGGCACGTCATTCCAGCACAAGAGGTTAAATACTTGCGCTGGCAACTGATTGCGGACCATAACGAGTGACCAAACCGTGTGTAAAATAATTCGTCGCTTTCTTCTGGAACTCGTCAGTATGATATCACTGAAATTATTGAGAAGTAATAAATTTATTATTTGTTTTACTTAAATATACTTAAAACTGAGGAAATATTGTAATAAAATTTTGGAACAAAAAATTCTCGACGTGCGTGGCACGTCATTCCAGCACAAGAGGTTAAATACTTGCGCTGGCAACTGATTGCGGACCATAACGAGTGACCGAGCCGTATACAATAATTCGTCCTCTTTTTGAATTCATCGGCATGTCACTGGATAGAAATTATCGAGAAGTAATAAATTTGTTTTACTTAAATATACTTAAAACTGAGGAAATATTGGAACAAAAAATTCTCGACGTGCGTGGGACGTCATTCCAGCGCAAGAGGTTAATTGAATCCTCGAGTTATACATACACGTTGCTTTCGAATGTTATTTTCGTTCGCTTCTGGAGGGCGTTATTCTCGTTTTTAAGTGATTAATCCTTGCATCGTTTATTGGAAATGAATAAAAAATTTCAAGGGTCTCTGCACACATACAATATATATAGAAAAGAATAAGAAGAGCGTTTAAAAGACGAAGAAGGTCGGTTTCTTCGCAATTAATGTCATTACACTTTTCTTTGGCGTTCCTAGAAGAGACAGGAAACCGTGAAAGCATCGCGACACACGAGCGCAACTTTTTCTTTTCACCGCGTGAAATGTCTTTCGAAAGTAGTATTTCGTAGATTTGGAATGACCAAAGAGTACCGTTGCCAATGAAAGACAAGATAGAGGTACTACTCGAGCCAACCCGGGCACACATGTCCCGCGTGTACATGCCTTTGCAGCTGGTGATAGCGCGTTGCATTCTGGGTCACGTGCTTTTCGATACGCGTGTACACGATACGCCAGGGCTGTAACGAAAAAACCCGACACCTTTTAGCTCGGGAATTCCGAACGGATTGATTCGAATCACCCATCGAGTTACACAGTTGTAACCGAGTAATTAAAAATCACGTTGCTTTTTGCAACAGCAATTTCTACTTGCTGTAGATCATTTGCCGAGATCAATTTTAATTTGGAAGGCGACGTCAGTTTCTCAACTATAACCGACATTTATTTTTAAGAGTAGAAAAATTTGAAACTCGTTCGTTTCGCAACGCAGTCGTTTGACACTTCGTGTTCAGGTTTCCGTCGTCTCAACAACCGTGAAACTTCCTCAAACGAGCTGCAATTGATTTTCCGCAGAATTTCGTAAATTTCGTCGATTAAACGTCAATTAAACTCTTTAACTTTAGTTTCTCTGTCTCGGTTAATTGTTGCAGTTCAAACCTACTTAAGTCCTGTGGAGACGCACTGCATGAACATCAATTACTTCATCCCCGACGAGGAAAATCTAACGAGGGGTTTCTCCGACGACGCTATGACTCGACTTCGTACGTAGAATGGATTAAATAAAACATTGATACAATTGCGAATGATATTACCTTATGCTTAGAGGATGCTGTACATCTTCACCGCTTGTTTCATTTTATTGGTTTTCAGACATGGGCAGATCTGTGATAGCTCTGTTTATAGTGGGATTCGTTGCAATCTTTACGGCATTCTGGACGGGAGTGGTGGGCTGTTGGAAGAGGTCACCAGGAAATATCACAGCCACCGCAATCTTGATGTTGCTAGCATGTTAGTGGCTTCGTAAATCCAATGCATATTCTAACTGTTCTTTCTTGATGATGACTGATCCCATGTAGCCCTGAGCAAAGATATTCCCCCGATTATTAAAGTTCGTTCATGAAATTTTCCAATCGTTAAAACATCATTAAGTTAAATCAGAAGTTTCGGAAAGGACAGTTGTTGGTATTGTATTTAATACAAATGGAAATTGTTTGACAACACACAGGCTTGTTGAGTGCTAGCGCTATGGGACTTTGGCACGGGGTGGAATATTACGAGAAAGAGAAAATCGTCGGAGAAGAGTATTACCAACAATGGAGCAACGTAAGTGACGTTTTTGCTACTTAAGGAATATACTTTCGAATAATCTGACACCAGTTAAGAAGGCGGTTAACGCGCGTGCACGAACGTGTCCGAAGTTTATTAGTATTTTCACTAGCAGTTGTATCGTCAATGTAAGAATATATCTTTCCAAGTAATCGCCTATAAATATTAGTTACGTAATATTGTCCGTAGATTTCCGGTGTCAGTCTCATGTCCATTAACGTGTGGCATCAAGATGCAATGAACACTCGCAACCGCAACGGACTTGTGTAATATAGAAAGTAGCCAGTTGCTTTCAATACTAGACGAAAATATTTCTATCTCCGCGTTTTGACGGGGTTTAAACCAATCTTGATGCAACACACTTGATTCAAAGCAATCTCCAGGATTCACGTACAATTCCATTTACAGCGGTTGCATCATCAAAGCAAGGTGCACCGATATATAAATTGCAAGTTACAGAGCAGTTGCAAAACCAGTTACAGAATATATTTATTACCTATTAATAAGAAAATACGTAAACAAGTTGATATTGGTTCACCCTGCTTCTGAATCTGACAATTTTAAACACGTCGATCTCTCAAACTACCTGGAAGGCTCCAAGGATCGAAAGGAGTGAGCAGAAGGTGAAGAAAAAGGAGTAAGGCCCTAAGGAGGAGGAGCGCGATTGTTCAATATCAGGAAATATTTGCCCGCAGGTTTTAAGAGACAATGCAGTGCAGTGGTACGGCTGGTCATTTTATCTTGCCTGGCTGGGGGTGGCCACGTGTTTAGGCACAATGACGCTATTCCTGATCGCGGCATCCTGCCTCCGGCGGGAACATGCTCGCGAGCAGGCACAGAACGTTCAATACATCATGCCAGGTGACACGAAAACGCTGAAACAGTTGTACTAACTTCCTCCGTCTTTTCTTTTTTTTTTTCCTGGAATGCGGCTCTAGGTCCTGAAGGACAACTCACTAATCTCGTACGACTGGTCGTACGTGGTCGCTTGGGTCGGCGTCGGTTGGTCGTTGGTCAGCGCGATCTTGTTTAGCGCCGCGGCGATTTGCTTGAGGGGCGAGAGAATGCGCGAGGAAGCGATGAACATGCAGTACCTCATGCCTGGTACATATTTAACACCTTTTGCTTTTGCCATGAAACGCAACGAGCTCGCGCGGACTCCTACTAAGGTCGAGCAACGTATTTTCCGTGGCTTGCGGCTGCTTCACGGATCCATGACCATCCATTTTGTCCCCTGAAACGTTTATCGACAGAAATTTAATTAATGGAAAAGTTTTTACAATTTTAACTGGATGTGGAATTTTAATTTGTGAATTTTATAAATGGACAATGTGTAGTGCGGATTTAACAACGACCTTTCACAGTCACGTTGATTTGCGAGTTCTCTTCTCCTTTTTTTTTTTTTTTTGCTGTAATCGAATGTATGCTGACAGGTGTCTCGAAATATTCGTGGTTGTAAGAAAGGAGTCTGCGCGTGCATCGTGTACCACTAACTTTGATTCATGATTACTGGGTTGACCCCGAAAATGACGTTCCTTGGTTTGAAAGTAACGACGGTCGTTCTACTAACTTGAATCGATTCAGATGATACTAGAGGTTTAACGAAAAAAAAAATGGTTGATATAGAAGCAATAAATCAAGATTTACGTAAAATAGAAATCGCCGGATCGTGATGTAAGAGTATTACACGTCGGCACGCGTTTGAACGCAGCAACAAAACAGAACAAGTGATACTGCCATATTAAGCTAATTAACGCTTGCACGAAGAAAAATATTATTTCACGTTACTTTTGCAAAATATTGTGGATACGTTGTCGTACAGAATATTTAATTTACATAAGCAAATGCACGAATTAGCAGAGATGTTAATTAATTAGCGGACGTGCATATTTTCAAAGCTAAAGTACAGAAACTATAAATAGTGGCATTGAAAGCACAAGAGAGCAGAACGAAGTTAATTGGAATGAAACGTGAAAATCTTGTTAGAAAAGCAGACTGCGTGAAACTTTCCAAACGTTTAAAACGCCTGATTATCAATTGCTTCTATGTCAACAAATTCAACAACGTGTTTTCAACGTCAAGATCTGTTGCAATAAATCCGACCATTGAATCACATAGAGATAAGACCGAAGAAATATCTAAATGTAAAAATTATACAGATTTAACAAACGGAGCCATAACTAATCGATAGTTAAATATATTCAGGAGATCAAAGTTCCTATAGAGACAGGTCGTTGCTCGCTTGCTTAACATTTCAATCTGACAAATTGGTCCCTGTATGAAAATAATACGTTGTACATAAAATACCAATTGGCACTCCAAGTAGAGTTACGCTTGTTAATTAAAATGTGACCCCGTTTATTGTGGATACGATCAGTTGTTAAGCATTGGCGACATCGTGGGAAAAAGAACGCTCGATACTCGTCTTCGTGAAACTCTTACTCTTTCGATTCACGGTCTGTTTCCACCGTGGATTAAAGCAATTTTGTCACGCTCTAATCCTGAAGGAAACTTTCTAGATGAAACGGTTTCTATCGATGATCGATATTCAGGCGATATTTCGTGCTTCGTTCTTGCAACTGTTTCAAGTTTCCTTTTCGCTATAAAAAAAAAAAAAAATAAAAAAAAACAACAATATCAGTGAAAACCACCGTTTAAACGCTGTTCTTAAATTGGATATTAAAGAAATATTTCGTCAAAACCGGTATTTGTGTTAACCTTGCGATTTGCTTGATAAAAATTCCAAAAACCGGAAGAACACGTAGAACTATGAGGCATCCACAGGTGCGTTATAAGTAGCTCCTGTGTTGGAAAGCGGCATACTTGCCTAATTTTATGCTCGATCCTCCAACGCCTGTTGCTGCGCAAGGATTTCCACGTTTGCGTATTCATCAACGTGCACAGTTGTCTTCAAGTGGAATTTAATTCACATTCACCCTCGCGAAAACGAATAACCAAGAGTCTAATTCACCCCGATGAAAAAGAATCCATGCCTTTTCTCGATCGATTGTCTTGAATATTCATTATCTCATTGTCATTGTTAATGACATTCGTAATAAGAGAATTGCTATTAGCAGTTATCGAGTTTGACTATTAATGAAACAAAATGTGACTTCAAATCAATCAAAAATCTGTCGTTCTATTAACAAATGAAAGAAATACGAAAATGATTTTGTTCGAAACAAATGCAAATACTAATCGAAATATTTCGTTTATCACATAATTAAAAACTAGTAGTGGTTTGTTGTTTCCGTATTTAAGTGATTCAAAGTTCTTGATGTGACAACACAATCAGAAAATGCCACGGGGTGTTTTATATGCGGTTGCAAAGGAAATTGTACGACCTCGAAGTGATCATAACTGTTTCATCTATCGATATTCCAAAGTTAGTCTAGAATCGTAACTTTGAACAACGATAACCGACTGAGAGGCTAAGAACTCGCAACCTGCACAAAAAATGAAATTAACCTTTCGATTGTTTTGCCTTGGTTTTAGTATATCCTCAAAAGCAACAATACGCTTATGCCGGTTACCCAGCACCGGCGGCATATCCAGGACCTTACTATCATGGATCGCAGTACGGACCGTACAACTATTGAAGAAATCCCGTGTCATCTCTATCAACAGAGGAAAGAGTCTAGAGCGCAGAGCGTAAAACGTGCTCGCAGTGAACGAAAGCGAAATCTGGCAAGCAACGATCCCCGAAAGGGGACACTAAAACAGAAACAAAAACAAAAACTCCGGAAAAAAAAAGGACTCCGAAAGGCCGATCGCAAGTCTCAAATCGAGCCTGCGCGAAGAAAGGAAACAGAAAGCAGAGAAAAAGGACGATCGTGGGTCCCGCCCTAGGAATAATTTATCATTTGTTTGAAACGCTACGTTACACGTTACTTTGTGGTGCACATCCGCGGCTCCCACGATCTCCGATCTCCGTTTTCTCTTTCGGCAGGTATTCGTTTGGAACGCGATCGTTCGCACAGAAATCAATTTGACTCGCGAGAGAGACAGTTGCTCAAAAAAACAGCCTTACTTAGAACTCGGATGACCATATACATATACATGATGTTTCTTTCTTTTTTTTTTTCTTTTTTTCTTTCTTGAATCTAATATTCTTTGCTATATTATACTTCGTACGTGCTGATCGTGCTAGGAAAATAATAATAATAATAGTAATAGTAATAGTAATAAAGGCAGATATGAGCGTGGGAGATGTATAAGTAAATTGATCACACATTTGATTGGCTACACGATCTTTCTCAAATGAGCGAAGAACGACGTGTCGGTCGACATTTGTCTCGCAATATCGTGACGTCGAATTTCCGAAAGTACCGTCCAACTGACAATGTCGAGTCGTCAATTCTTATAGTGTCTTATTCTCAAATATTTTGATTTCTACTGTGAATCGAATCATCGAATACTTCGTTACCTATATACATATGTTTGAGTTCTGGTAAAATATTTATTAATTTGCAGAAAGAGCATTCTACGGTAAAAAGAAAGAAAAAGAATATCGAGTAAGAGTTCGTTTATTTATGTATGTTGTAATCGAGTAGAAATTTCAATCACGATCAAGAGTAAAATTCGGCAACATGGTTTGAGAGAAATATTCGTTAGTCAGATCGATGTAAATGATAGAAAGCGTAAAATGGGTGCATCGTATCATTCACAAATATCACATTTCATAATAACGATTCGCATCATCGACTCACTAGAGTACTTTCTAATGTATGAATCCTTTCCTTTTTTTTTTTTTTTTTTTTTTTTTTAAAATAAGATAATGACATGTAAGATTTCTCATTGCGATATCTTAATAATGTGTAAGGTATTAAAAAATAACAGATATTTCAATTACTTTATACATATTACTTTGAGTAAATAAATTAAATCAGATTTATACGAATTACTATCTCTTTCAATCGTTACAATTACGCTGTGAAAGTATAGACGAATGGCCTAGAGATTGGAATAGTGTAAGTATAACTGTTTGTACATTCGGAATCATTTGTCATTTCAGAGAACGAGTATGTGCTATATAAAAATTCCTAACCCCTTGGTGTACTATAAAAGGTGCAACATGTATCATTAAAAATTGTTTAATATATTCGGTACATCATAAACGTGTGAGTGATTTTTTTTTTACTCACCCGCCAAATTCCAGCTTAAGTCTTCTAGTTCTTTTTGTCAAAAACGAAACGTTGTCCACGAAATAAGTCCACCTCAGAAATTTGAAATGCTACGTATTGTAAATACTCTTTAAAACATGGACGTTTCAATAGTTCGGAGTTTTTAGTTCAATTTCGTTTCTTGTCGTCTGTCACATTTAAAATACTCGATAAATAACGTTCAATTGAACATTACAACTATGCGTGTTTATGAAAAATTTGAAGAATACAGTATTTACTAATGCCCGATGCAGTTAACCAATAGTAATCGAGATCCTCCTCGGTCACGTGATCTCCATTTCAAAATGGCGATGCAGATTTAACTGTTCCAATAGTTGCCTCGCGGCATTCGGTTCTGTACACGTTTGTTACAATGATCAACTTTATGTTGCATATTTTTTTAATTTCTGTGGGTGTTTTGATCACCGACTCAAATATTATATCACAAACAGGCTTACGGAATAAAAAGGTATACAATGCACACAACCTGAAAATTTTCAACGCTTGTTCATTTTTGTCGAGCGCTTTCACTTTTTTCCTCATGCATTCATCGTCGAAAGTCATCTTTCGCAATGCGCGTCATTGACCATTGTTAACATACATCAGTTACAGTCATGAAATGATTCCAGTACGATCGCACGCCGAGTAGCCTATCAAGAAATCAAATAATCAAATTGTCAGATCTGTCAAATGTTAATCATATGAATGAAGTTTTAGATAACATATGTGTTGTGAGAATTGTTGGAACACCTGAACATACGAAAGTAAAAGATGTAAGTTGGAATAATATTAATGATTTATAAATGCGCGAGTTACTAATTTAAATTGGGAAAGATTAAATGAATGAGAAAGAATAAATAAATAATGGATAAATAATGTATGATGAAATTTTTGTTTAATGATAATAAGAACTATTTTTTTCCTTCTAGTATATCAAGAAGTCAATGAAAGATCTCGGTTGGACTGTTGAATCTGATAGCTTTGAAGATCACACCCCAATTTTTGGAGCTTTACAATTTGAAAATATAATTGCAAAATTAAATCCTAATGCAAAAAGGTATTTGGCATTAGCATGTCATTACGACTCAAAATATACTAGAGAAAGAAACTTTGAAGGTGCTATAGACAGTGCTGTACCATGTGCTCAAATGATTAACTTAGCTAAAGTTATGAAAGATCATTTCAAATCTATAAAACATGTATGTATAGATTAGACATATGATTTTTATTTGACTTTCTGAAATTATTTCTTTTATATTTTCAGAATGATGTTAGTTTAATGCTTATATTCTTTGATGGAGAAGAGGCTTTTAAAGAATGGAGTCCAAAAGATTCTATTTATGGCGCAAGGCATTTAGCAGAAGTTTGGCACAATAATTATACTAATTATGCCCAGGGAGAAACTATTTCTGAATTAAATAAAATTGAAAGTATTAATAAATACTTAACAATTTATATAAAATACTCACTGATTATTTTTCTTATAGGATTTACTAGTTTTGTTAGATTTGATAGGAGCACCAGATCCAACATTTTACAACTATTTTAGCAACACAGAAAATTGGTATTCTTTATTAATGAGCTCTGAAAGTAAATTAGCTTCTTTAAAAAAGTTTGAATCATATTCTTATGGACAACCTACACAAACATACTTTCAACCATATTCCGTGGAAGCTTACATTGAGGATGATCATATTCCCTTTTTACGTCGAGGTAAATATTGATTTTTTTTCATGTATATTATATATATATTTTATAATATATATGTTATTTCAGATATTCCTATTCTTCATCTAATACCATATCCTTTTCCAAAGGTTTGGCACAAGCCAAGTGATAATCGGAATAATATTGACTTAAAAACAACTGAAAATATCAATAAAATTTTAAGAATTTTTGTAGCTTCATATTTACATATTAATATCTAACTACCAATTGAAAAATATTCATATTGTTCAAAGAAATTTTATTTTTATTATGACAATATTAAATAATAAATAATATATATACATATATATATATATATATATATATAAAATGTTAGATAACATTACAAAGGTAACAGTATTTTACAGTAAATTTTAAACAAAAATTAATTATTTTAGGGTTAGTTTTTATAAATTTAATCATTTGTAAAATGATTTTTGTACTATACATGACTTGTAAGATAAATTAGTGTAATTTTATGGTACTTAATAATGTCTCTATTTATATACAAAACGTAATATACGTGTGAAAATTATTAAATAGAATGCAATATATTAATTTTTTTTATTATAAATAAGATGTACATTTAATGACGAATAAAACTGATTTTAATTAAAATATAAGTATGACATGGATAGAATTACAATTGCAAATATCTTTCTAATAAGCCTGGAAAAAATGGATATAGAATAAAAATTCAAACATATATTTCACTGCTAAAGAATAAATTTTATTACAATCGTATATATGCATTACAAAAATTATTAAAATTTCTATCGTTTCTGACATATTTTTGAATATATTAACATATTAACGTCATGAAGATGTTAATATGTTTGTCATATTCTTCTCTTTTATAAACGCTATAACGTAAATATAAGATTATAAATTACCTTTTCAAATACTGCACTACTGTTGTAAAAACTGTTTTGAAAAGCGGATATATTTGCGTTGTGAAAATGTTCACGAGTGTAACGGTCCACGATTAAATAAACTAGAAAAGATTATTTGATCGTAAAATTTGGTAGGCCTGATCGGGAATATTGTTCGTACAGTGTGCCTAGTTAGATTTTTTCCCGAGCCTGACCGAACACGACCGATTCCAGCCGAGCATGCTCGAAACATGTGATTGGTGGAAAGCCGACGCGACGGCGAAAGACACGAGAGACGCAAGCGACAGATGTAAAATAACTTCACGCTTCTGTCGGGTATTTCCATGGTTGTTCATTCGTTTTTTAAGTTACACAGCGAGCTGGACTGTCGTTGCGATTTGTCGATCGGGAACGATTCTCGCGATAAGTCCAGAAAAATATTGCTGAACGTCGGTTAAAAACGTGTACGTAGCTACTGACACATCGGTCAGGCGGACTGGACTCGGTGAGTGAACGAAAGAGAAAGAAAAAGAGAGAGTGTGAGAGAGAGAGTGGGAGAAAGGGAAGAAAGAGGAAGGAAGAGGATACAGCGTGAAACACCAGAGTACTGACGTGTTGCAAACGTACCGGACGTGTGCGGCCAAACACACCGATGAAAATACGTGTTGCGATACGCGCGCGAATTTTACCGTTCGTTTGAGAATGTTTTAATTACATGGAGGCCCTCGCAGTCTTAATCGAGCCTTTCGCCAGTGTAACAAAACGTCTCGACGTTACATCTGAAGATTAGCCGTTTTTAACAGACATATCGAGGGACGTAACGTCGACAAAGAAATGTTGAAGTTTATCAGAGGGAAGGGCCAACAACCTACGGCCGAGCGACAGAAACTGCAGAAAGATCTTTTCGCTTTTCGGAAGGTGAGTCTCGATCTTTCAAAGTTTCGCTATTTGATCTGGCGAAGTTTCTTTCTTCTCCAAATTTAGAGATTACCGAGGAGAGATTACGTAGATTCACTTTCGCGACGAGACGATGTTATGACGTGTGTTGCGTTTTTAATGGAAAGCGGCGGACACACCGGGAAAAACGTGTTTTATCCATCGCGAAGAAAAGTGAGAGTGAATATTGGAACGCACTCGTTTTCATTTACATCTTTCTCTTTTTTCTGATTTCGTTTAGTTTGAGAACGTTACAAATATAGTTTATTCGTCTTCGTCTTTTTTTTTTTTCGATACACCTTTTCACCTTGTCGTCGTCGAGGAATCGAATTTGATAAATAACCTTCTCAAAAAGGTTAATTTTTCTCGAGCAATTCTCGGTTTCCTTACCCGTTTTATTTACACATTAACGAGTCTGCGATTGAAAGTTTGTTCTGTGTGCCATATCAGATAGTAATCTCCAGATATCACGATATTGACAGGCAATGCGTTTTAAACGAGGTATCTTATAGATGCGTGGCGTCTATATCGCTTTTTAGATAAATCTTGCCTTCGAAAAGAAAAAGAAGACGGGCAAGGTAGAAAGATAGCAAATATCACGACTTGAAGAGATCCATAAATATACCATGATATAATTCGCACGTTGAGAGAGAAAACTTGTTGAATCTGTACGTGATAAAGATAAATTAACTGAATTCAATTTTAATTAATTTCGTTTCATCGTGCACACGTGTTCAAGCCACTGCAATTTGTTATTTCTTATGAGTTATTGAAGATCATCAGTGATTACTATAATTACCATTGTATTTCTGTATTAATTAAACAATCCAATATTGTGATATTTCAGAATGAGTATTATAATTAATTTAAAAAGTTAGAGAGTATATTTTGTTGAAACAAGAGCCAAGATTTCTTGTAGGTAAACTGTATCGTAGTAATAAATGTTTGTTGAACAGTTCAGTCAAGACACGATATTGCAAAGTACAAAGTTAATTTTTATTTTATAAGTTGTAAAATGTTTCTTTCTTCTAAGTAAGTGTCGAATCGGTTTTGTCGAAACAAGAAAAGCGTTTGTCGTTCTAGGACAATTTAAAAGTGTTGTAAAAATTTGACTTTTGACGAGACAGTAACACTCTCTACCATCTTTGAGGGCTCGATTTCATGGCGGAATATTAAGATTTTGAAATTGCTTTCATCTGGGAACATGATACACAGCGTGTTTTAAGAATGAACGGTGCAGAATCAACAGGTCGATATCCGAACGAAATCGATACTGAAAGTCTAGAAGGCGAAGGGTAGCCCGAGACTCGGTGCTCGGTGCCAGGAGTCAGAATTATTGTGGCTGTGTGTGCGGTTGTGCCCCGTTTCTTTAGCGGTTTTGTCCTCGCCCCACGGTTGTCACCGTCGCCAGGGCATCGGGTGCACTCTCGTGAAACCTTATAGCGGTTTAATTCTTCGCCTGCTGAAGATTCGAAGTTTGACGACATGGATTGCGAAAACAGTCTCACGAGAGTTTAATCAGGTCATGCCGTCTCTGATCGATCCTTCGTGGAAAACACGTTGCAAACTTCTGTCACTGACTGTTATTACAACCGTAGACCTACAAAGAGATAGAGGGAAAATGTATCAATTATACTATATCGATAATTTTTATTATCGAAAATTAGCGATGTCTCTGTTATTTTATCTGTTTATTTACTATTCTCCTCACTTCCTCTTTGTCTTTTTGGATAGTTCAAAGACAACGTGGAAAGCAAGATGTGAAATTGCATTGAATTATATTGAAACGTAGGTCAATCTGTAGGTTAACCAATTGTAGGCAGAAGGAGCACGCTCTGCGCGGTAAGTCGTACGAGTTGGAAAAAAAAGAATGTAGAAGGAAACCCTTGACAGGCGATAAATTGCATAAAGCGGTCGCACTTATGCAAATCTGGTTTGAAACTCGAATAACATTTGATTGCGTTACATCATTGAACGACTCTTAATTAAAAAAGACGTGGAACGACAAAGAAGTTAGACTTTTCGTTAGAATCGTTGGGAATTGATGAAAGGAGGAAAAGATTTGGATTTTTCGTCAATTTTATTTCAGATCTTTAGTACATATTTTTGGAGTACTCGAGGCATATTAAAACAGAATGGGTGATTATATTGGTAAACAAAGTTTGATCCCTAACATCGATTCTATCTGTAATTCAAACGTACTTTTTTGTAGAAAGAAAGAGATACGAGATTTCTGTGTAAACAGATAAAAGATGCCTAGCCCTTTTTACGTTTGCTTTTACGCGCGTAAATGTACCGTTAGAGGCTAAGCAAGCTGGTTTAGAAACAGGCTGATCCACGCGAATATTATTCCGGTAATATGTAATTTAAAACGAAGGGATAGTCAAAGAAACATGCATATGTTGTTTTAGTAAATGTTAAATAATTTAATAAATTATTCGCAGCATATAATAAACTTTAATAAATATTTCGCAAGTACTAACAGCAGGTAATGTAGATAGTACATTATGTTACGTAAAAATATATAATACGTATAAATTATTCCCTTTATAAATCATGTTCATTTCATTGATAAATACATAACAAATAATAAATTCGCGATATTTCGAATATTGCAGAAGAATGTCCGCCTTATACCGTTGAAGAAATGTCGCGGTGGATTATTGATCAAACAATAACTTTTAATGCCTTCAAGATTAGATTTTCAGAATTAGATCGTAATTTTCCGTCGAATGTTTTTCATTTCTTAGAACAAACTGTAAAGGTTTAAATTACATTAAAATTTCATCAACTGCTCTTGTACATTGTTTCTTCCACGTGTACACGAGCAAGAGCAGCATTATGATCGATATTTATACATAGTTAACCCGCAGTAATTTTAGTCGAGATTAGTCTCATTGAGATTAAGTTAAAACACAGGCTAGGCCAGATTAAACCTTACGAGGGAATCCTTTGTTGTGCTTGTGCCAGTTCGTACTGATACGCATCTTTTTAGTTTAATTCCTTTGATACGCTCTGTCAAAATTCAAAAGTATATATATATATATAGTATAGTATATATATATATAGTTGGTAATCTCGAGTGTTGTACTGTGGTAAATTTCAGATAGAAAATGCCCTTACATTTTCTACGTTTTAGCAACGTTGTTTTAGCAACGTAGTCAGTTGTTTCAACGCACTGATTGCATTAGGTTCGTAGTTACGAAACAGAAGCATCGAAAGAATCGCTATCCTAATTCATGTTTTGACACAGGTGGATACCTGTGAAGAACCTCTTGCGCTTGAATGATGTGCCACGCACGTTGAGAATTTTTTGTCCTAAATTGCAACATTTTCTCAGTTTTAAGCATATTTAAATGTAATCCAGGCAAAACAAATAATAAGTTTATTACTTCTTAATAATTTCTATCCAGTAATATCGTACCGACGAGTACAAAAGAAAAAGAAAGCGACGAATTATTGTATACGGTTCGGTCACTCGTTATGGTCCGCAATCAATTGCCAGCGCAAATGGTTAACCTCTTGCGCTGCAATGACGTGCCACACAATATTTTCTCAGTTTTAAGTATATTTAAGTATATAATTTAGACAAAACAAATAATAAATTTATTACTTCTTAATAATTTCTATCCAGTAATATCATACCAACAAGTACAAAAGAAAAAGAAAGCGACGAATTATTGTATATGGTTCGGTCACTCATTATGGTCCGCAATCAATTGCCAGCGCAAATGGTTAATCTCTTGCGCTGCAATGACGTGCCACGCAATATTTTCTCAGTTTTAAGTATATTTAAGTATAATTTAGACAAAACAAATAATAAATTTATTATTTCTTAATAATTTCTATCCAGTGACATCATACCGGCGAGTACAAAAGAAAAAGAAAGCGACGAATTATTGTATACGGTTCGGTCATTCATTATGGTCCGCAAATCGGTTGCCAGCACAAGATGTTAATTTTTAAGTGCTTCACCTCTTTATCAAGTGACAGAATGGTTGACAAAATGTCGCACGATTAACGGGAATTTTACGAAACGTTACTCGTCAATGAGTAATCGTTGCGTCTCATGGTCGAATCGATGGTCACGCGGTGCAAGTTACGCCGAGAATATCGGAAGCGGGCGTCACGCGTAATTACTGTTAATTGCCAGTCACGGATAAGGGAGGCACGCGATCGTTAACCCAAAACTCAGTAATTTTCGATTTCGTCGTAGTATATACAGCCTCTGACTCCGTTAATGATCATAACCGCCAGGACTAATGAGAATTGTTTTCTGAATTTGCAGACGGTGCAGCATGGATTTCCAAACAAGCCCACAGCCCTCGCGTGGGATCCAAGTCTGCGATTGATGATCATCGGTACGGCATCCGGCGCAATCAAAGTGTATCCTTTTCATCTTCGACCAGCTCGTCATGTTATCCTTCTTTCTCTTTTATCCTCTTTTGATACTTACACCTCGGACGAATTGTTGCAGAAGCTTCGAGAGCTGCTGATTTAGAGGAAAGTACTTATTATGATACTCGGTGTCTTACGATTTCGTCAGAGCTGTTCCTGTATTCGTACCTTGACTTTTTACGGCCACGACTTTCGTTCAATTTATCCTGCTTCGACAGACACACCGATGAATCGTAGGGCAATCCTCACTAGCAGTTTTTATGTATTTCGAAATTGCGCGCGAAATTCGCTTCAAGTAAAACTGTTGTAAATTATATTCATTCTTGAAACAAGAACACCGTTTGTTTCTGGATAGAAACAGGAGATGGTTTATTGTTTGGTACAGAGCTGTATAATTTTCCTTGACGCACAATGATTGTAGATTCGGTAGGCCAGGTGTAGAATTCTATGGACAGCACACTATCGAAAGTGGAGAGAATGCTGTCACGAAGATCGTTGCTCTACCCAATGAGGTGAGTGTCGCTAGATATTTTTATACCTATTTTTATACTTTTTACACATTGAGAGTAAGGCGTTGAACGTCTTTCATCTCGTTGCTATTGTTCACAAGTTCAGTGTTTTGTTAAGGGCTCAACGAAAGGAAAAAAAAAAAAAAAAGAAAAAGGAGTAGGTTTCAAGTACGAAATTTTAATGTCAGGTCTGCACGCGATAGCAGATAATCTTCTATCTACATTGTAATCAAATGGATCAGACGTGTGGAGGTGTGAAGTAATAGCTGTTTTAAAGAAATCGCGCTTATTGTACCGATAACGTGACACCGTGTTCTCTTTATATGGATCGTTGTTACATACTTGGATTTCATAATTGTATGCCCATAAAGGTCGACAATGTGTATATGTTTAGTATACCGTGCGTCGTGCACGACGCTTGCCCTATTTCCTTCCTTTTAAATACGAACTTCGTCTCCGTGAAAGTTTCCCGGTATTCACCTCTAATTCAATTCCTAATAACAACCGTTTTAATAACAACTGCAATATTATCTGCTTCATAGTAAATTTACTCGATAAGATCGCGAACGAATAGCTGCGATATTGTCACGTGTGAAATATATGATTGGAAGAAACATATAAAACAGGCGTGGCCGGATCGACTACCTCGAATTGCTTACGTTGCTGATTACGAGTCGTGACATCTCGTTATCGCGATCATTTTTCAAACGAGTCCTTAAACTGATAAGATAGCGGTTGTACGATCGCAATCACTTCTTCGAAGTATGTGATCATTTTCTTCGATGATCAATCATATTAATCGTTATATAATAACCGAGTTCTTGAAATTCATTACGTTCATTTAACGATACAGTGATAATTATCACATTAGCACAAGAACTTTTGATTTGCTCGAATATCCTTTCTCTTTTCAAACTGATTAAAAAATATATATATATATAAAAGTGGCGGTATTTTTTATCATCATAAACATTCGATCTTCAAGTACTTAATATCCACATGAAGTGAGTGTAAAGTATAGAACAATCTCTGAACTTTTGCAGATATGATCGGATGTACGATCTCAATTACTCAACTGTGCACTCGACAGCATAATACTAAAAACTATCGGCGACTGAAGTCTAATATTTGTAGTAAAGAAATTAATGTGCTTGGTGCAAGAAAAAGTTAATGATGCAACAAAGAACATTTGTGCTTCTATTGATATATTTTGTTAAAAATATCTCGAATATCTAAAAATATACTGTTATACATATATATATATATATAATCTTTATACATATTTTATATAATTTTATATGATACAAATTTTATATAATTTTATATATATATATTATATATAAAATATATTTTCTATATAAATTGTTCGTCTTGACCACTTTGGCAGATCTAGTGTTAATAATACGCGGAAAGAGCGACGTTCCGCCTGTGGAAAACACCTTGAAAGTACCGTAGATTAGCGTGAAAGTACGAAACGCTAGGTAAACGCGTTTTTAACTTTGCGTTTTCCTCGAGTTTTCACTTCGCCTACTACGAAGAGCCATCATCTTTGTATCCGGGAAAAAAATAGGACACGGAAATCTTTTTCCGTGAGAAATGATGATGGGATCGCGAAAACTATACAATGCCGGTTGTTCTGCTTATCTGCGTTATTATATAAAGCCGTTAAGAAATCTTTACGAGTTTTACGTTCGCGTAAATGGAAATTGGGAATGAAGTAAACGAGAGGCCAGCACAATGAACGCACAAGTGAACTAAACAACCGTTCGTTCGTCGTAACAACTAAGTCGCAGCCTGAACGCGTTTTATTCGGTGATGAATGATCCGATTGTTACAAATGCGATAGGGTCGCGTGGTTTCACTCTGCGACGACAACTCTCTTCATTTGTGGGAGATCAACGAGAGTTCGCTCGTGGAGACCAAGTCGCTGTCGTTGGAAGGCAAATTGAAGAAAATCTCCGCGATGTGTCTGGAATCGAGCGGCGAGCATCTTCTCCTTGGAACGGAGGGCGGCAATATCTACCTGCTCAACTTGAAAACGTTTGTGATGCCTGACAATATCATTTACCAGGACGTGGTGATGCAAAAGTAAGAGTAACGTTTGAAATATCATAGAAATATCTGTGAAGTAAGACTAATTTGATCGTTAATAAGCGACATAAGTTGACATTGAGGTAGCTAAATTCATGTGTCCACGAACGATATGTGTGTTACGACAGCGTGCCAGATGACTACAAGAAGAATCCAGGAGCGGTCGAGGCGATAGCGGAACAACCAGGTCACCCGGACAATATTCTGATAGGTTACAATCGTGGTTTGATGGTTTTGTGGAACAAAGCGACTCCAGGAGCCCAACAGGTAAGGCTTCGTATTATCTTTTATACACGCGCCTACGTGTGCAATGCTATATCGTGGCAGACGTAAATGACACGCTTTATAGAAGAATTCCAATACACTTGCTTAATACAGTTGTGGAGCAATGCTTAATTCATCGGTACACGCGGTGATGCATTTATCGTTGTGTCCTTCGAAATGGGGGATTAATATAACGTTCATCGATTAATTTTATTCGGTTAAGAATTCGATTAAGATCCTTGAATATTTTCAATTTAAAACTGGACTGTACACCGATGAATTATGTACGTGTTGTACGCGGGATGGTACATCGCTCGTTCTCTGATTATTGTTTGTGTCTTTGGTGGTTTTGGCGAACGTGTACGTGCAGCTGATGGGTTTGTTTTCGCGTGCGCAGACATTCGTCTCCACGCAACAACTGGAATCGGTCCACTGGATCTCCGAAACCCGTTTCGTTTCCTCCCACAACGATGGATCCTATGCATTTTGGAGTCCAGGCAGTGACAGCATGCTGGAGTCGACTACGCTTTACGGACCATTTCCCTGCAAAGCCATCACGAAAATTCTCGTCTATGCGACCGCAGAGTGAGCAGAGATCATTTTCCTTCAATAAGTTATAATTGATTGGTTTGGTAATATGCTTCTAAATACATTACAGGCTCGGAGAGCTCGTTTTATTTTCGGGTGGGATGCAACGTGCGAGTTACGGCGATCGTTGCACGATCACCGTTATGGCAAAGGGGAAGCACGTTGTTTTTGATTTCACATCAAAAGTGATCGATTTCTTCACTGTGTTTTCTAAACCAGAGGATGGGAAAGATGCATCGGATAATCCAGAAGCGCTTGTGGTACTGGCCGAAGAGGAGATAGTAGCCATTGACTTGAATAATCCCGAATGGAAGATGATGGCATTGCCTTATCTAGTGTCCCTCCATGCGAGTGCGGTAAATATCATTCAAATTGCAATATATCATTGTGTATACATACCGTTTCTTTTTATTGTGTTTTGTAATATTCTTATTTGCAGGTCACCTGTTCGCAACACGTACCAAATGTTCCCGACGAATTGTGGGAAAATATTATTGCAGCTGGAAAGGCACAAACGGAACATCTATACTCGGATAAACCATGGCCTATAGATGGTGGGATTATTCTTAATCAAAAATCGAAAAACGACAAGCCGAAAGAACTGTTGCTTACCGGTCACGAAGATGGAACCGTCAGATTCTGGAACGCGTCTGACGTTGCTCTGACGCCTCTCTACAAGTACAATTCATCTATCTTATTTGTCGGCGAACATTTGGACGTTCTTGAGCAACCACCGGAGGATGACGAAGACGAATGGCCCCCATTTAGAAAAGTTGGAACCTTTGATCCCTACTCGGATGACCCGAGATTGGCTGTAAAGAAAGTTTCTCTTTGTCCATTAACGTCAAGGCTAGTTGTTGCTGGCACAGCTGGTCATGTAATTACAGCCGTCATATCAACAGAACCGATCAACAAACAGATCAAAGCCGTTACAATGAACATTGTGAATGACCGTGATGGGTTTGTTTGGAAAGGTCATGATCATCTTCCTGCAAGGACAACCAATATATCTTTCGCAGTTGGTTTTCAACCGCAAAATCTTCTTCAATTATATCCACCAGCTGCGGTCACAGCATTGGCTGTACATAGTGAATGGGGTCTGCTTGCAGCAGGTACGGCGCATGGTTTAGCCGTTTTCGATTATACAAGAGCAAAAGCTGTTAGCGTGAAATGTACACTCAATCCAAATGGTATTTATATTTTTTATATAATATTTTTTATATTTTTTATATAATGTTAATAGGACGAATCATATGTGTAAAGCGAGTTAATTATTTTTGAATTTATTATGCCATTCTAGATCTTTCCGGAGCAGGAGACACACCGATCAGTAGAAGAAAGTCGTTCAAGAAATCATTGAGAGAATCCTTTAGAAGATTAAGAAAAGGAAGATCGCAGCGTCGAACAAACGCCACTAGTCCAACCAGGACTACAACGCTAGAAAAGAAAAAAGAAACGTGAATATTTCAGATTGTCAAATTATTGTCAAATTATTAATATGTTAAATAACAATTGGCTTTTAATTTCAAAGGTCCAGTATTGCTTCCTCTCCGAGTGGTGACTTTTCACCTGTAGAATTAAAGCCTGTGGAAAGACAAGTGGAAGCAAGACCTATAGACGATGTATTGGGATCAATGGTTCGATGTTTATATTTTGCTAGGAGTTACATTATAAGCAGTAAGTTTGGCTGATAATACACTTCTGTGAAGTGTTACGAATTATAAACATCTTGTTAATACGCTCTATTTTATTTTAGTGCAAAACACTACGCCTACGCTTTGGGCAGGTACAAATAATGGTACAGTTTATGTTTTCACATTAGCAATTCCTGCTGGTTCCAGAAGAACAGAAGAAGATGTAAATTGTACATTAGGAAAAGAGATTCAATTAAAGCACAGAGCACCTGTAATTGCAATTGCAATTCTCGATGGGTCTAGCATACCATTGCCAGAACCATTTGAAGCCGAGAAAGGCGTAAGTCCTCAGCCCGACATCGCCTCTCCACACAGAGTTATAATCGCTAGCGAAGAACAATTCAAAATCTTTAATCTTCCATCCTTGAAACCGTATTGTAAATACAAACTTACCGCACACGAGGGTTCACGAGTGAGAAAAACGGGTTTTGCGAAATTCGTGTGCTCACTGGAATCTACGGGAACCCATGAGGAAACCTGTTTATTATGCTTAACCAATCTTGGTGATTGTTTAGTTCTCAGTATTCCCGAATTAAGGAGGCAGCTTAACGCCGCTGCCATTAAGAAGGAAGACATTAAGTGAGCACATTTCTTTTGTTATTTTGAAACTCAAATGTTCACGCTTAATTATTATTTGCCTACTGTTTTACTAGTGGAATTTCTTCGTTGACGTTCACGAAAGCTGGAGAGGCATTATATCTGTATTCAAGTTCAGAACTGCAGCGAATTTCATTGTCGGTTAATAAAGTGACGAAAGCATACTGTGCGCTAAACTTACCACCAAACGCTAGATTATCTTCCGAAGTTAACAACGGAGAAACTCAGGAGCAAGGTGTAGTCGAAGGTACGGCAGAAACGGAAGGTGAGACTACACAGGGAAGTCAACCAATTACGGCACAGAGGATGATTACAGAGAATGCGGTGGGTTCTAGTGAGTATACGTGTCATATCTTACAACTCTGTATACCTTATAAGTCTGTATACTGTGTCATACCTTACATGTCTGTCTGTATACCATACAAGTCTTTTTAATTCGTACTTAACTATTATTATAATGATTAAGTTATATATATATATATATATATTATGTACCATAGGATATTTGAATAAGCTATTACTAAATAATGCGTAATCGCTTGGCATATTTCAAGTAACTCGTGTACATATTTAAATGTTGCTTTGCTGTAATTATTTGTGATTTATCAAAAGAGCTCTAACTGCTAAATTGTACTTTACGCCGATTAACGTCATCAGGAAACGCTATCTCCTAACCCTTTAGTACCGATTCTTGAATACATCTATTTTAGCTGCTGCCGAAGAATCTCCTGCAACAAGTACCAATAATGTAAACGGAGAAGATGATCATCAGGATTTAAGTTCTATTGGGGATATAACGATCGATAGCGTGAAGGATCATCTACTGTAAGTGAATGTGTTTGTACGTCATTCCTAGCTTTTTATTGTTTTATTTTACATGCTTCTTTGCTTATCGACAATTAATTTTAGTAAAATTTAATAAAAGTGACAATATTAATTTTAATAAAACTTAATAAAACAATTTTAAAAATTTCAAGAAAAGATAGACTTAATTTGACAAGTTGGCTTTAATTTTATGTTTGTTTTGCTGTGCTGATCGTTGTGATTTCCACATTTGCCACTTATTTGGCAGTAACACTTCACTTTTCAGAAATGCGACGTCTTCCGAAGAACTTCATAATCGTCTTGCTGGACTTAAAATGGAGGTGACCTCGAGAACATCGGAAATTTCCGCTCAAAACCAATCTCTCGTTGTAAAGACCACAACCGTTGTTTCACAAACAACCAACAATACTACCGTTAATGGAGAGATCGAAACAAGTCAGACAAACGAAACACAGTAAATGAACAGTGAGTGAATTCAAATCAGTGTGAATTATAAATTAATCGAGTGACCAATAATACGTTATATTTGGTTTTTAACAATTCATCAAATTCTTTTTAAATATATTTTTGAAAAGAATATTTTTTAGGTCGTCTAATCTTATAATATTTGAAGATTGTAATCCATATAACTATATTCTTAATAATTTCATATATTATATAATTTGTCGATTGCTTGATTTATTTATTTTACGTTTGTCTTTTCTTGCTTTGTAATTTTGTCCTTTAATATTTATGATATTATGTGTATTTTTTTGTTAATTGTATTGTTTTGTGCTATTAAATTGCTTGAGCAGGCACTATGGTAGAAAGAGAAATAGGTAGCGGTACTGAGACTACAATGACACATGCTATCATTATTCTATTTGCAAATGTCGAGGTCAGCAAACGACACTGAGTGTATTGCAATAATTGGTGTCGAATCTTATCTCGATATTAACATATTCGCTACCACAGAAAATTCGAGCAAAATATACATCTTGGATCATATTTTGTCTCTTGTCTTTTTGTACAATATATTTAATAATATATTATAATTATATTTTTATTATAAAATGATAATCATCTAAGATTTGTTCGTTTTTTAACTAATGACTTAAGTTTGAAGATAATATAATTATGTGTCTCCAGTTTATGGAATCTGGATAAGTTGGAAAAATTTGAGAATCTCAATATGAATATCAAGATTATACGTATAAAATTTGAAATAAATCGTATAATATTTTAGAAGTTATGAAATAAAAGCGATATACTAAAAAAATATTTTCATTTATTTTGTAACTTATTGTTAGAATTAAATGTGTAACTTAGTCTTATGGTGTTACACATACATAACACTAGTAGCGAAAATGTTGAAGCTCAGAAGCAAAAATGATAGATCACTTTTGAATTTCTCAGAAGTAACGTAATATATAAAAAGTCTAGAAACGCTCCTAGAAACGCTACAGAGAAGTTATTTTTTGGTCACTAACGTAAAGAAAAAAATCAGTCGCTGTTAATATTTTCTAATAATTTCAATTTAATTTTTATAAAAATCAGATAAGTCACAGATAAATTACAGGAAGAACAATTTTTATGTATATTATACATGGAATATGGAATTTATATATATATTAAACTACATTTGAACAATACTACCAAATTCAGGGATATGCTATGATTCTGTCGTGATACATATAATTAACGCTTAGTATGTTGTACGCTTTTAATCTACTAACGATTTGTGTAGTTGATTAAAAATTGGATGATTTGTTCATCTTGAAACTATAGGTTTATTTTATAAATAGTATTTAATTTATCGACATATTAACAATTCTTTTTGCATAATTATAAGGCTTTGTCTAACTACATACTTCCTACAGAATATGATTAAGATAAAAGAAAATACATAACATTATTATATTGCAGATTAATTCAACTGATTTGTGAAACTTGGAAATAACGACAACTATAACTACTGAAAAGTCGAAAGCTCCATTGACGACTAGAAGTTGGTTCGTAGGAATTTCTTCAAATTTCTCTGTACTCTATTCCCTGACTTGATGTTTTGTACGCAGAACCACACAATAATTAGATTTTTTGTTACTTAATGGATTCACCTGTATATAGCAGTGATAAATAGAATTTATATATCGTGGATTTTTTAAAAATCTATACGCGGCATTAACTTATTAGCTATAAACAATAAGCGGAGTGAACTTCGACAAATCAATTAAGATATACATATGTAGATACTAACTGCCAAAATTTTACATTTTAATCAACTTATTCTCACTATTCTCATTTCTTTTAACAATCAATTTTGTAATTGTGAAAAATTTATCCTAAATTTAACGAGACTAGGCCTAGTAATTTTAATAAAATACATTTTATTTACAAACGAACATATTAAATTTTCAAAAAAAAAAGATAAAAATATTTCATGTTATTTCACTTACAAATCAATTTATTAAAATAGCGTTTTATTAAATATAATTTTAATAAATGTTTTATTGATATATCTTTAAGAAAAAAATTGAAAACAAAATTGTATGATTCTTTCCGTAACATGTAGGTAAACATAATTTAAAAATTATAATTTGTACAAAGAAGCAAGCTATTCTAATATTTCAACAAATATGTTGTTACTACGTCATATTTTGAAATAATAAAATTATTTTCATTATAGGAAAAGTTACAAAAAAGCGAGAGAAATTTAAAATACAATCATTAATGACCACGTGTACATTTTCTTGATATTCGTTAATCGTTAAGTTTTCTTTTTTTTTTTTTTTGTCCATTAGAAACGATCATGACACAATTGAATTGTTTCGTTCAATTGTTTCGCAGTTTTGCTTTATTTTAGAATCATCTTTCACAATATCGTAACTAACAATTTTTTACAAAAATGAAAAGAATTAAATATATTAAATGTATTTTTACTGAAAACGACAGACTGATACATGAAAGATACATATTCGTTTCTTTATATATTTAATTAATCGACCGATCATTTTTCATCTTTTATCGCTCTTGCACATGTGTTGAAACAAATATCAATCAATTGTTGATGCATTTAATGCGAGGCCTTTATAGGTAAATTTTAATTTCTCTTTAATGTTTTTTTTACATATGGTTATTATAAATAAATGTTATACGAAGTGTTTCAAAACTCGATTACGTTCAGATTTTATTGAAAATCGTAAATTCAAACATTAGTACGAATAAATTAGTTGTTTGTCAATCTCGTTTGAATTTAATTGTTTAAAATATCGTATCTAATATGTTATGAACTGTGTTATTGAAACACTTTGTACCGTTAATTTTATTACAATTGTAAACTATATATTAACAAGGTGAGATCAATGCCTTAAATAAGATACAAACTTTGTGAAAACAAATATGCTTCTGCTATTGTAAGATTATTTGTTTTTTACCGTGATAAAATATTACATATTATACATAAAGCGAATTGTTAAAAATGTGCTCCCAAACATTTCTTACTTTTCCTTTATAAAATACACACGTACATACGCTGGATATTTATGAAATACAACTAAACGATCAATTTTTGTTTTTTTAACCCGGGATTACCCACCTGGGGGTCTAGCGCAGGTACATCCCGGGTTAAAGTAAAGTCAAGCAAATAAGTCTCACGGGTTTTGTGACATTTCGGAAGTAAAAAATATAAAAGAAATTACTTCGGGGGAATTGAGCAAAAAAATACACTGGTATTTGATGTTTTATTTTCGATCCAGTTAAAATTATTATCGAGAAATCTGTCAAGTTGGTGGAAAGGACAAAGGGTATTGAGAAAAATATACTATATACATTACCGTTTGACGTTTTATTTTCGATTCGATTAAAATTCTTTGCTGTCGAGGAAAATACAATGGGTGTTACGCACTTACGATTTTTCACCCGAGTGTCGGTAGAAAGAGCCTTTTTCAAATTTAAACAGGATTGAAATCGCGTGATATGTATCGATTAATCGCGGAGAACTGGTATCGGACACGTTATCGATTGTGATTTAACCAGTGTTCGCCAGATGGTGCAAGTGTTTTTCAGGCGTGTCGAAACGGTGTTCGCGCTTGCGTCCGTATGTCTTCGTCGTGTTTCGTCTTTGTCGTGGTCACGGTTGGGCGATAGGGAGCGTGCAACAGTAGAATAGGACTTATTGAGTAACGTATCCATAGAAAGTGAGCGAAAGTGTCGGAGAGTGCCATGATAAAATAGTATCGTTCGGACAGTCGGAGTCTTGTAGCTGAAAGTTGGATAAGAGAGGATCGGTTCACGGCGAAGAAGTGTCGGAAGAAGTGGATCGTGATTGGTGAATCTTAGACGGCCATAATTGTGCGCCATTCGGTCTCCGGTGCAGATTCGCGCAGCGAAAGGGCAGATGCCCTTACGCGGTTCGTGCTCCCATTGGTGGGTACGCGCTGATCTACCCGGATCGACATACTCCGTGAGATCCGGTAGTGTTATCGTTAGCATATTTCCGAGTTGGAGGAATTCGCAAGCCGCAGGGACAAGCGGTCAGCCGCTACCATCGTTGGTAGACGACGAATCGTTTGCCCGTACGAGCCACCACCGACTTGGTAGTGGTGAATGTGATATCCGTGGTCTAGCAGCAACAGTGGCATTCACAGCGCCGTCAACAACACGACGACGACGACAACGACGACAACGACGACAGTAGCGCCATCATCAGCGCGACCGCCATCGCAACAGCGAGAAGAAACAGTATATTCCCTTCGCGGAGAGAAAGAAGAAATGATTGTAGGTTCGCGATCGGTGACGCGAGCAAACATGGAGGCCCCGTCCAGTTTTTAACACGGCAGCCAGGTCTCGTTCAAAGCGCACCAACGGAGCCACGGTGAGCGCTCCTCGAGTCGGCTGCCAAAAAGTCGCGTTTCGCCCCGTGCTACTTTTCTTCGTGAGCCCCGCGAGGCTGGAGGATGGAGCTACGCGTTGGGAATAAGTACCGGCTCGGACGGAAAATCGGGAGCGGCTCCTTCGGCGACATTTATCTAGGTAAATTCACTTCTGCCTTCGACGCATTTACCTTTTACTCGCATCTCTCCCCCACTCTCCCTCCCCCCATTATCCATCCGTCTACCCACACGACAGTTACATATTTGCCCTACGACACGCATGAACGCGCCAACTCCCCCGTGCACCTACACACGTTTCTTTCATCTTTTTTTTTCTTTTCTTCTCTCGTGTCTCTCCTTACGACTGTGCGTGACCGGGCTTCTGGCCTTTTTTTTCTTTGTCGTTCTTAGGTACCAACATCTCCACCGGCGAGGAAGTCGCCATCAAGCTAGAATGTATAAAAACGCGGCATCCGCAGTTACACATAGAATCGAAGTTCTACAGAATGATGCAAGGTGGTGGTAAGTAAAACTATCGTTCGTTACTAAATTGTTCGGTGAATTACGCGCCGTCACCGATTTTGAAACCGTCACACCGTCATCTGAGATCTGTCAGAATTTTGTGTTGGACAGCTGGTTGGTCTGGCCACTGAACCTTCTCTCTTTCTCTTTCTTCCTGTCTCTCTCTTTATCTCCTTTCCTCTTCCCTCTCTTTCTTCCTCATGCTACTCCTTCCTCTCTTTTATTCTCTGTTCTTTGTGACAATAAGGAACTTTAACGTTTTCAAAGTTCACATATTTATATTTCGAACTTCGAAGTTATTCTTGAAATGTATACTCGTGTATATACGAGTTGTTTGCGTTCCCTCATCCTACGACGATGAGATTTACATAAATCAAATGTCATTTGCACAAAAATGAATTTATTGCTCGTTATGAATTAATCGAGACACGAGGATTTTCGATTATTCTAATCGCATAAATATTATGAATGTTTCCACGCGAAAATGTAGCAAACATGCCCGATGTTCGCTGTGTGACGTTTCGTTACGTGACGTTTCATTTCAAGCGATCCAACCTCAGACGTTTTTGTTGGAAACGACGAATCTTATCTACCGTTAGCAGTAATTCTCATAAACACTAAATATTGATCCTCCCATTTTATACTTCGACGAATAGTCAAGTCTCTCAATATCAAGTCCTTTATTTTAGCTTTATTTTAAAAGTTGGAGACGAAGTTAATTAATTGCCAATTAATTGCTCTCATCGATTATTATTTTGATATAAATTATCAAAAAGGAAGAAAAAAAAAAATACATTCATGTGTGTGTACATAAGCACCCAAATCGTCTCACGTTCATTCATTAATTGACATGGGACGAATATAAAATTATTCCGATTATTATGCTTGTAAAACGGTACAAAAGGTCGGATATAATTAGTCGCAATAAAGATTGCGAATTCTGGTGAAAAAAAAGAAAAAAAAATGTTCCGTAAAGGTTAGCAAACATTAGTCACGATTATTACGATACGTGTTGAACTAAGCATGCGTTGTAAGCGTCTTCAAAAATACTACGCGATGCGGATTTATAATTGGAATCAATATTAATTGTTTGCTATTGTTATACCGCAAACAATTTTATTTTCCATTATTATATGAATGTTTCAAGTACATTTTAAATATTAATTCGTTTCGTAGTAATATTTGTTGTAACGTTTCAGTTGGTATACCAACCATAAAATGGTGTGGCTCAGAAGGTGACTACAATGTAATGGTAATGGAGCTACTTGGCCCATCTTTGGAGGATCTCTTTAATTTCTGTTCAAGAAGATTTTCTTTGAAAACGGTTTTGCTTCTCGCCGATCAATTGGTAAATAATAATCTTTCGTTGAAGTCAGAATATTTTACAATTTGTTTTACTAATAAAAGAATTACGTTGTGTTTTACGCAATTATTTCTATGATTCTTTGTTACACTTGATTTCTATAACTTCCTTTCTAATTGCAATCTTTTAATTACAATGGAACCGATTCATGATTTAAATGAGAAATAAACAATCCTATGTGTAATTTTATCTCACTTTGTTCAAACAAGAACTTTTCTCTCTGTTTCTGTATATAATATCATTGTATTTACAAGACGTGTATGTTAGTAACGTTCAAAGTTCATATTGTGATTATATGCAAGTATTTGTCATTCTGTTTTCTGTTACTGAAATAAATTACAATATAAATTACTTCCTTATCAGCCAACAATTATGTCGGCTGATAGTAAGGCTTTCCCAACAAAAACAGTGTTTAAAGAGAAGCTAGCTAACATGAAGTTTTTGTTTGCAAAATGAAAATGCTTTTAGAATTATTTTGGAAATTTATCTGAAAATGTGAATCGAAGCGGACTGCTTTGTTATTCGCGTTTAATATTTGTTAATTTATTCGTATCATCAATTAGGAATTTTTAGTAAAATACTTGTGCGTTCTGATTAATCACATGCTTGTCCCACATTATTATATTAATTATATTCGCATGTAATAATTGACGGAAGTAACCATAAAACGTAGTTGAGTGCAACATCCTTCTTTTCTTTTCCTTATTGTTTGTTGGATCTTTTACTTGATGTTTGAAGTATCTCAAAACATTGAAAACAATGCGTAAAATCGCAAAATGTTTTTCTGTATTCTGATCCCTACAGATATGTAGAACGGATTACATTCATAGTCGTAATTTTATCCATCGAGACATCAAACCGGATAATTTTTTGATGGGCTTGGGAAAGAAGGGAAATCTCGTGTATATTATAGATTTTGGATTGGCTAAGAAATACCGCGATGGCCGCACTCACAAACACATACCCTATCGAGAAAACAAGAATTTAACAGGGACAGCCAGGTTTGTTTTTTTTAGTACATAATCGTGTTTTTTTTTTTTTTTAAGTACATTTAACCTTCTTCTAGTGTTCCTTAATTGATGTAAAAAAAAAAAAAGAAAAGAAAAAAAATTCACTCATGATATTATTAATAGATATGCAAGCATTAATACGCATCTGGGAATTGAACAGTCACGACGAGACGACCTTGAATCCTTAGGGTATGTTCTTATGTACTTCAATAGAGGTAGTTTACCCTGGCAAGGTTTAAAGGCGGCGACTAAAAGACAAAAGTACGAGCGTATCTCTGAAAAGAAAATGTCTACACCTGTCGAAGAACTGTGCAAGGGTTATCCTGGTAAATTTTCTCACTTATCGTAAACTGTTACTAAAATCTGCTGTCACATTTATGGGAACTTGACGAAAATATATATCATCCTCTTTTGTTATTGTAGTAGAGTTTGCTTCGTACCTAAGGTATTGTCGAGGGCTACGATTCGAGGAAAGGCCTGACTATTCGTACCTTCGACAACTCTTCCGGACGTTGTTTCACGGACAAGGCTTCACGTACGATTACGTCTTCGATTGGAACATGCTGAAATTTGGTAATGTGAGGCAACAAACGTTATCCTCGACGCAACAGACAACGGCGATGCAGTCGCAACATACGAACGCGGCGCTGCCATCCGGGACCAATAATGATCAGGAACATCGATCTAGGTTGGTGTTTCAGCTGCGACAGAACAAAACAAAACAGAACATAACATAACAGAACAGAACAGAACAGAACAGTTGTACATCCGCGAACCGCGAATCGTTTGCATATGAAATTAAACGTGAAAATGCTGGCAATCGCGTCTCTCTGCCATACCGTCTTTCCATGCGTATAAATAGCGTAGCCATTTCATTACCCAGTGCGTTCTATTCTTGGCGGATGGGTCAATGAATCGGGAAACAGTCGTATTTAACAACACGAACAACTAGATAGATTTAATTCTTTTTTTTTTCTTTTTCTTCATTTTGCCCATTCACTTTCTCTCTTCTCTTCTCAAGTTGTTACCGGTTATTCAAACAAACGACCCTGTAATTAAGCAACGAAGCGCGAATTGTTTGTCATTGCGATGATTGTCTATCTTTGCAGGCCCTACACACGGCAGTGTTTAGCAAACATATCGGTGGGGACAGTGGGCCCGACTGTGGGTGGAACAACCACGAACTTGAGAAGCATGCGGCAAAAACGCGAGGCGATAGACGCTCTTCGCGATCAGGACAATCAGGAGAGCGATCTTCAAGGTAAACCACAGTTCTACCCAAAATTATGTTCTAAGTCGGTTATGACCCAGCAAGAAATGCGGCTCGTAGTTGAACACCCGCATCTAACTGGCAACGAAACGCCACGCGCGAACCCGTGTCAGTTCAGTACGTTTAAATCGTCGCCGGTTAGAACAACTCTGGAAGCGTCCCTGGACGTCGCGGGCCTAAACGTAGCAGCCCGCGAACCAACCTCGAATCATCCCGAGTTAAATTATAGCACGTTCCGTGATCACAAGGCGAACAGATTGCCCGATAGTAGCTCGACTGCGTCGTTTCATCATCAGCCAGACGTCAGTTATGTTTTTCGATTGTACAAACACAGGGAAGAGCTAGATTTCGAAGTGATGATGTTCGATCATCTGACGCTCGACGAGAAAAAAAAGAGTGACCACGAGGACGACGTGCACGCGGCATCCGGCGGATCGTTGAACTGTTTCGGTGGCTTGGACAAAGACAAAAGCGGCGGCGACCACGACGACAAGAAGCAAAAAGCTTCCACGCTTGGTGGCCGACATCATGCCTCGGGCCACGATGCCCGCCGAGATTCCGGGAACGTGGAGTACCTCGAGAAAGAGGGCGAGATCTTCAAGATAAGCAGCAGCGAGCTGTTGCAGGAAGCGTCGTCGAAGAAAAAGCGAAATTTTTCTTTCAATAACAAAGAGAAGACTCACAGGAGCTTAGAGTCGTTAGAAAGGAGCATAGACCTCTCGGCAAAGGATTCGAAAAGCCTGGACCTGCTGTTCGAGGAACGTTCGAAAGCATTTTTTCACGGGAAACAAAGAAGCCTCGATTCCTCGCAGAAGTCAAAAAAGTCCGTGGACTCGTCCGCCAACAAGGCGCGAAAACGGCCGAATTTCTTTCAACGTGTTCGAAGAAGCTGGCATTTTTTACTCATGCAGCGCAGAATCAAGCGACGAAATAAATACGAACAGCCGCTGAGCGGCCGAGAGAAGTGCGAGTATTTTTTGCACCGACACTGCAAAAACGAGATCGTCGAGCGTGCCTCGAGCTCGTCGCTCGGCGGTCGTCTACAAGCCGAATCGAGTCCCGAGGTTTTGCCTAAGCAAGACGACACCCACGACAAAGGTGTCGAGCCAACTTCGAACGATCAGAATGACGAGAAAGGGGTGACAGTTTTGTTGGAGGATGGAGGCACGATTCGCGCGATGGACGGGCAAAACGGATTGCCTGACGATCAGAATGTCAGCGACAAGCCACCGAAAGACAAAGACGCAGAGAAGCCTCCTCAGTTGGTCACTGAGAATAATATCTCGCGAAAATTGCAAGAAGTTATTGGCTCCGAAAAGAAGGAGCATATCGTGGACTGGGTAGTCACTATAGCGGATTTAGATACTCTGAGTCATGCTACTCGTTCCAACGAAACTGTGAGCTATGGTATATTGCACGGTACACGCGGTATCTTAAAGGGAATACTGTTTGATATTTTCCTTTGTGTATGCATCTAAGTTTCGCTGCTTCTATACGCAGCGGCCTATATTTATGAAAAGAGACACTTACATCACGCACCCTTTGTTACTGATATTAACATCGATACTTGATGTCTTTCGTATGTTGTTATGCCAAGAGTTTTTTCCGCACACTTTCGCGGCCGTGTCAACAGGGGCCTGATAAGATTGAGAGCCCCTCCACGTTTCTAGTTTCACTCGGGACAGGTGAGAATTACGACGCAAACTATCACAATAGACAAATATTACTGAATCTGCTGTTGCACCAATATCGTATCCATTGTTTGGAATTAGCATTAACCTCATCTTTCTCCCATGACCTGAAAACGTCGACGTATTGCGATCCACGTACCTATACTCGTCGGGTTGTGTCGTAGAGCCTGCTTCAAGGTATCCTTTTTTCTTTTTTCGCAAACTCTGCGAGTGGGCAGACTCTATATTTTTTTACAAATTAGAATACCTCTTCAGGGATGCAAAAAAAAAAAAGAAAAAAAAGTGTACTTGTTAGATCTGTTGTTCTCTACTATTTACTGGTGGAATCTTTCGATTTCTACATATCTTTTAAGATGATATATTTTTGTCACGTCACTGCCATTTTTTCACATCTCTCTTTGAGAAGCTCGATATTTTTTGATACTTCTACTTTCTTCGTCCGTCAGCCACGCAACATCCCACCGTTAGCCGGAACGGCTTTTATCATTGATTCGATGAAAGAACGTCCATCTTCAGAACGATGTCGAGTGGCGATGTAATTAACACACGGACCCGTCCTATATATATTCAGACTGATGAAATATCTTTATATTAAAAAAAAAAAAGAAAAGAAAAAAAGGAAAAAAAAAGAAGAAAAACCGCCTTCAAACTAACGACTGACTAAGTGTAAGCGACGAACGATCAACAGAGAGCCAAAACAATTAATCCGTAGAATGGCATAACAACGTACCGCGGTACAATAACTATCGTCGATCGAGCAATGTGTAATCGTAGTTTACGGGAAACGAGCGCGTCCAAGCGTATATTCTATATATTTTCTTATAATAATCGTGTTACGCAATATTACCAAATACTACTCGCGTGTGTTGCGGTGTATGTATCTTTTATCACACAGCGAGCTGATCTGCGGCTAGAAACGTTTCGTCTAATCGGACAGCGACGTGACACACACGCTTGCTGTCGTCTCCCGTTTGTTTCACGTTCACGCACGTGAGCATACGTGAATGGTTCACGCTGCCCTGTGCGAATGCTTCTTCACGTTCATGCGGATTTTAGTCGCTTTCGATACGCGTTTCGTTCCGTTTTTGGGGCACGAACGACGATCCTCGGTGGTACTCTTGTCGAACTCGTAACGCGGCTCGAGGGCGCCGGAAATCTGCACTGGTGAATGGAAAAGTTTCGTTCGAAAGAGTTTAATTCGAACAGGCAGTTTCTACAGTAATTTTTTTTTTTATCATCGTCGAAAGTTAGTTTTGTAAGGCGTCGGTACCTCTCCCCCCTTCTGCCCCCTTAAATCATTACACGCATTAACGCTGCTAGTTAGAGAAGCTCGAGACGCGCCAAGAGTCTTATATCATCAAGAGTCGACTATCATTGACCGAGCCTTCGGAATTCGTGTTGACGCTTCGATCAATGGCATACAGCAAGCTTTCGAAATATTACTCGAATCGATAAAAGAAAAAGAAAGGATATATAAATTATGTATTCGAGTTGGAAACGAAGCTGTTGAACGTGAACTGTAAGGCTGAGGATTTCGCTCTTTGCACCAAGCTCGCGTCACAATTAACAAATAGTTTTATCAGATATTGTCACGTTCGTTTGTATTGGCAGTTTTCCGATTGTTTCATCGTGATACTTACCAAACATTGTAATCGTCCACAGCACTCTCTGTCCATGACGCGTTCAGTGGTTGTCCTTTTGTTTTTTCTTTCCTTTTTTTTCTTTTTTCTTTTTTTTCTTTTTTTTTTGAAAGAAAAAGAGAGAGGAAAGAGAGTCTCTCCCTGTGATCCCTTAGCGGTTTCATAAGTTGAACAATTACAAAATCTCCATTTTTCCATAGCTGCGGACGTGTTATGCGATTCTGGGAATCCGACGCGATGGAAGAAGCAAGAATCGTTCGATATGAGAGGATTAGGCGTCAACGAATGGATAGATCTGTTAAAATTCTCATTGTGCCTGTCGTATCATTTATCACGGGGTTGTTGAAAAAAAAGAAAAAAAAAAAAAAAAAAAACGAAGGAAATTGCTTCATTTTTGCTACCAGTGTGTCTCGCTCGATATTTCGTTTAACGTTTCATCTCATTTAAAGTCCGATTATTGGTTTTTGCAGTAACCCCCCTTTGTGCATTTGATGAATTCTGCATGAAATTGCATTATTTTTGTTTTCTTTTCTCTCTCTCATTCTTTCTCTCTCTCTCTCTCTTTTTTTTTGTTTTGAAAAGCATAGTACAAAATTCATCATCGCATCTAAACCTCTCATATATCCTCTGTTCACAGTGGAATGCTCGTTTGCTCGCAGTGACCGATCTCGACGACGAAAAGAAGCTCCTCGAGATCCAAAAAAGGTTACCAAAGTTTAGATAGAGACGCTAAAGCATAGTTTTCTATTTCCTCTAGCCGCGCGAGTCCGTCGCAGTCGTCTCGAGGGCTTCTTTCGTCTCCAGCGAGATCCTCCGAAACTCCGGTGAAATTCGGTGACTTCTTCCTAAACGCCGGATCCTGAGAACCGTCATTACTTTTTTTTTCTCTCCTCCCCCTTGACGATCAAGTTACATATTTTTCTCTTTTCACTCTATTTCTCTCTCTCTCTCTCTCTCTCTCTCTCTCTCTCTCTCTCTCTCTCTCTCTCTCTCTCTCTCTCTCTGTCTCTCTGTCTCTCTGTCATCTATCTTCTTCCTGTGAATATTTCTTTCTCGCCCAAGGAACCTTCGCAATTGCGCATCTGTTTGTAATCATTCTGTTTTTTAATTGATAGTGACGATGATGATGATAATGAAATGATAATGATAATAATGATGATGATGGCGGTGATGAGTATGATGATGATTATGATTATGATAATAATGATGATGATGATGATGATGATGAAGAGAAAGTAGTAAATAAATGTTTTTCCATTCAAGGACTGGTCTCTTTATTTATTTCACCACACGACATTGTCGATAATCCTCGTCAAAATTTTCTTCTCACTTGGCTTGAATGGAAAAACCAATTTTGCAGTGTTTCCCTCTCTCGAAGAGCGTCACCTCGACTCGATCACGATCGCGCAAAATCCGACAGTCTTTTTTATCTTTTTTTTTTTTTTTTATTTATTTATTCATCTTTTACTTTTCCGATCCTCAATCGCATCATCTGTCTTCACGGAGGCGCACCGTGATCTTTTTTTTTTCTCAATTATTTTTTTGCCTCTTTTTTTGCAATCGTTATTACGCACCTTTTTTCGACGACATCGAACTTTTCCATTTCAATTGCCAAGCGTGAAACCGTCGTTCGTCGTTCCCGTATCGATCATCTCGGATCAATCCTTTTTTTTTTTTTTTTTTTTTTTTGGCGATCGATCAACGATTCTTGCACACTGAGGAAAGAGAACAATTCCAGAAAAAAAGTCCATCGCGTTTCGTCCGTTTTGTTTATCCGAGTCCGAGGCGAAGGAACAGGGATAGACAATTTCTCTACGAGGATCTCCATTTTTTTTTTCATGGCGGTCGTTTCAGCAATCATGTTTTCGTCGAAGCAGCATGACACAAAGGCTGTGCAATACACACCACGTCCGAACACCTTAGAAGATCGATTCTTTTTTAATCTGCGCCGACTAGTCAGGAAAGGAACGAACACACGTTTATTATTGTTTCTTCAATCTGAATTCGATACCTGATATAAAGCGATCGATAGAGTTCAAGGAAGCGTCGCGATATAAATACCGTGTCCGAGCGTTTCTGCCCCTTTCTATCACCTACGAAGATCGTCAACTCTTTTTTTCTCTCTCTCTCTCTCTCTCTCTTTCTTTTCTGCGAACAATTTAATAATAATTTGCGAGTAATTGCGTTTCTTTCTCTACGTAGAAGCAAGAGAAAGTACAGATAATTCGAACAGATGGAGGATCGGTTCCTCGAACTGTACACGTCGGCTCGTATCGTCGCGACGTATCGTCTCGAAACTCGTCTCGAAAACGTGACGCAAGATTCGTGCATGGTAGGTATAATAACATGCGTAACCACAGTCATTCAACGTGCGTTCAACTTACTTTTGTCATGCCAGCGTTTATTTATTTTTTATTCTCTTGGTTCTTCCTTCGGTTTCTCACGTTGCATAACACGAGACTTTACTAATTTAATATTAAATCGATCAAATTGTTACAAGAATAACTTGTTACATTGATATACACGTATTTTTAAAGAAAATGGAATATCATGCTATGTACGTTCGTCTGCGGAAGCTGCTTACTCGACAGAATAATTTTAATAGTTTGCCAATTGTCAAGACGACACGTATTTTCGTTCTGACGAACGAAGAAATGTCGTGTAATTGATCATTTGAGAACAAAGTGTCCAGGGATTGCATGTGTTTTGGTACTCCTCAAATATGATATTAATTAATTGAGTCGAAATTATTACCTGTCGGTAAATTGCGATTCGACAACGATAAAAACGATTACGTTACGGCGGGTGTTTGTAATGAATGATTAGAACTTGAAGAGAAATGGGAGTGAAATGTCGGTATTGATGCATTATTTGCTTTTTGCTGGTCTCTTTCAGCGTCGGCGGGGGCAGGTGGCCAGGAACGAAGAGTCAGCATGAGGTTGCACCGTAGGGACGCGGCTGCAGGGGAGATGCAACCGAAGACCAAGTGAGTTGCTATATCACTCGAAAACCGTCACAAAGCGGAGAAAAAGCACCTAAGTATAACTCGCTCTACTAGCATCTAGGGTGTGGTCTTTTAACTGTCGTAGCCTGTCTCGTAACCGGTCCTGTCGTAATTGTTCCAACGCTCGTGCGCAAACACACACACACACACACACACATACACACACACGCGCGGGAGTTCTAATGTTCTTAATGGTGTGTTCCGTCTCTCTCTCTCTCTATACAGATTAACATTTCGGTCTTCGAGTCCGATACCAACAGCCGAATGTTTAATTTCCTTTGCACTTCGACGTTTCGGTTTCGAATTGGTCCGTTTGCAAGTAACGTCGTTTCGAGCAGCTTCTTCATTTCTGTGCAAACGAACGATATTGATCATGCAAATAGGTTAATTACAATTTTTCAAGCTTCAGTCGTTACAAATCGAGATCCTCTTGCGCTGGAATGACGTGTCACGCGCGTTGAGAATTTCTTTGTTCCAAAATTGTGATGCTTTCTCAGTTTTAAGTATATTTAAGTGAAACAAAATATATTATGGCAAAACAAATAATAAATTTTAATAATTTCGGTCCAGTGATACCATACCGACGAGTTACTGTATACGGTTATGGTCACTCGTTATGGTCCGCAATCAGTTGGCCGGCGCAAGTGGTTAATTGACATAGCTTTTTAATTCGCGAGCAATGTTGAATTTATGAATGTTGGTCATGATTTCTGGAATGTTGATCAAGTGTGAACGATTAAACATTCAGGTTTGTCCGTCGCGCCGAGCAGAAAAAGGAACAATCGCGTGTTAATCCTATTTTGTTCCACATTGTATTTGGTTTCGGTACACTTGTAAAAGATTAATCAGAGCTTGTTACACTTTTGGTGCTGCCATTTAGAGATTGCATGGAACGTTGCACACAGTACAGGGCAAACATCGCATCGCAAGTGAAGTTTCACAAGATCTCTTGATCGAAACTGCAAGTATTTCTTCTGTCACGTCGCGGTTCATCACGTCGATCCATCATTCGTGAACGAATCGTTGGTTCGAACGAGTGTGCTCGACCATCTCGTCGAGCCTCTGTGCTGTTTGTCTCTTTTTTTCTGTCATCTAGCTTCTGGCACATGTCGTCACGTCTTCTCGTCTTCTTTTCGTTTTCTGTTTTCGTTCTTGTACCGGTTATACGTATGACGAGAATAAATCGCACGGACAGAATTTTGCAAAGGAAAAAAAAAAAAAAGAAAAAAGAATGAGAAAAGAAAACGGACATTGTTGCGTGTATTTTCGTATATATATATATATATATATGTATCATCTCGATATATAAAAACTCGTAAGAGAAGAGTAATTGCGTAATTTCGTCAATCCGATCGAACTACTGATTACTCGCGCTATATAAAAAGAGATTATCTTGCTTGCGAACTAGATCTTGACGATGGATGTCAGCGTTAGCTGCATTGAGCTCTAATTTGACAGGTCACATTTTTTGGTAGATTTTTGGTGTCTTGATACCGTGGCATGGTTCTTCCTCGATCGACGGAGATCTGGGGGGGGGGGGGTCGAGAGAGGAGAGGGAGTGCACTTTTCGTTGTTTGGAAAGAATATTTATTTCATTTTTTTTTTTTTCTTCTTTTTTGTCACATGTTCCATTGAATTACAAGATCGAGTTTCTCTTTCTCTCGCAAACAGCGTTTCCTCGAGAGAAAGAGAAAAAGGGGGAAAGATTCTTTCCAAGTGCAACGTCGAGATCTTCTTGCCTGCTGTAATCGGGTGCACGGGATGGTTTTTTCCTTACATCACACATTTCAAAATGCGTCTGTGTATATATTATTATATTTTGTGCATACTAAAACAAAATTATATTCTGCGAGAAAACGAGCGCAGCATAGCCGCGCCACGCGATCGATTTCCGTTCTTTTCTCTACGCTCGTCGATCGGTGTATCTTCTTACAATTTTCTTGGTCTTCACTTTTCTTTTTTTCTTTTTTTTTCTTTTTTTTTTCTACCAGGTACATACGTACATATGAGTAATGTGAACCTCGGACGCGCAGCGTGAACGATGCCACCGATACATTCGTGAACTGGATACATGTATGACTCTGATAATTTCCTCTGATGTATTTCGAGTCATCGTTTACGTTGATCGGGGGATCTAATGTTGATCAGAGGAAAGTTTGCATTCAGTTTCCAAGATATTCAGCATGATATCGAACAGTGTCGTGAATAGGAGCGTAACGAAAAAGTGAGGGAAGCCGGCCGAATGATTATGAAATTCTGCTTGGCAACTGGTCACTCCACTTTATCGTTCAACGCCTAATAGATTTCTGGAAATTTGTTACAAGTAAAATTTAAACACAGAAATGGAAGAAATTAAGAAGGTATTGCAGGTAATCTCTCGTGTAAAACGGTTGTCAAGTTCCTAGAAAAATGTTACGAGAAACAGAAAGCTGAAAACAAATTTACGCTATTTCCTTTTTATATCTGAGAGAAATATTTATTAAAACAATATAATTATCTTAATGTTAATTCATTATTAATATTATCCTCTTTTTATATCCGAGAGAAATATTTATTAAGTATTATAATACATAAATGTGTAATATACAATTATAATGCATGAATATTTATTACGAAACAAAAGTAATCAGAATATCTCTTAACTCGCAGAAAGGGGAAGATCCTCATTTTTTAGACTTTTCAAAAAAATCACTCACAGTCAATTAAACATTCTGTTTCAATGGTAAATTGAGAAATTCCGCATTACTTCCACTGCAACAAAATTTCTCTCGTCAAGTTAACCTCTTGCGCTGGAATGACGTGCCACGCACGTTGAGAATGTTTTTATCCCAAAATTTTCTCAGTTTCAAGTATATTTAAGTAAAACAAATAATAAATTTATTATTTCTCAATAATTTCTATCCAGTGATCGTCATACCGACGAGTTGAAAAAGAAAGCGACGAGTTATTGTATACGGTTTGGTCACTCGTTATGGTCCGCAATCAGTGGTTAACCTCTTGCACTAGAATGACGTGCCACGCACGTCGAGAATTTTTTTGTCCCAAAATTGCAATATTTTCTCAGTTTTAACCTAGACGAAACAAATAATAAATTTATTACTAATCAATAATTTCTATCCAGTGATATCATACCGACGAATTGAAAAAGAAAGCGACGAGTTATTGTATACGGTTTGGTCACTCGTTACGGTCCGCAATCAGTTGCCAGCGCAAGTGGTTAAGAACCATTAAAAGATAAAGAAGAATCTCGATTAATTCTCAAACTGTGTTATACAGAGATTACCTGTAATTCGTACTGGGAAAAAGTTAAAAAATTTTTCTAGATTTTTCTATACATACGTTGCTTTCTCTCTCTCTCTCTCTCTTTCTCTGTGTGTACGCAATTAATCTAGTCATTTGAAAGAATACGAACACAGTACAGATAATATAATGAACTCCATCTGATTTCTCGTGTGAAAAAGTAAGTGGAGCATGTAACTAAAAACATTGATTTGACTTTTACACTTTGACTTTTTTCTTTCTTTTTAAGAGCCAGTGGCTGATAATTTTCGAAATAGAACGCGTTTTTCAAACAACAACGTTCGAAAGATACTCGTTGCAGCAACAATAACGCGATTGATAATTGTTATCATTTCACGATGAGCGGCAATTCACATTCCAAAACTCGGTGGGGATCTTGTTGAAGCAATTCAACCAATAAATGTGTTAAATCTTCGCTGATACTTTTCACACTCTGCTCAATAGATAGCTGCATGATAACAAATAAATAGATTGTGTCATTGTCTTTCGTGTATTGTTAAAACAACATACATGTAGTATGTGTATATATCATTCGAGGATGGTAGATATATATAAAGTTTGTCGATCGTATTTTCTTTAAAACAATCTTCCCGAGATAACTTTCTATTTTCTACTTTATCGGAATCACAGTTTTCTTCTTTACCGGAATTATTGTTTAGCAGTTAGTTATCTAAATGTTTCTAGTTACATGCTCTTTGTTACGAAAGGTTTCACAACAGCTCGGTCGGTATTGTCATTTGTTTGAACGTTTGCAAGTTTTCTGCGATATTTCGTTGTCAAAATTGTACGTGACTTTATCAGAGGAGAGTGAGCGCACAAAGTTCAAGGTGGAATCGTTGGGGGGTTAACAAAGATTAGAATTGTTCTCGTAAGCATTATTTGCGTAATTGGTAATAAATATTTCTAAACGTTGTAAAATTATGTCTTTGAACCAAGCTACGATATAGCTACAAAATCATATTAACACTATAATAGATTACTTGGAAATTCGCAGTAAATCCTGACAAAACTCAAGCGGATTACCTTTAACAATAAGAGAAATTACACGCTAAATCACATTACAATAGAAGGACAAAACATTCCATAGACAAACACAGCCAAGTATCTTGATGTCATTCTTGACTCCAAAATTATCTGGGCTCTGGCCATACACAAACGCACAAACCTCGCACTCATCAGATTATATCCATTAATCTCCAGAAATAGTAAATTAAAAACAAATATTTAGACCCGTGTCACTACCTACGGACATCAAATCTGGGCGGCTGCTGCCAAAAATCATATAAATAAAGTTCAAAAGATGCAAAAAAATTTTTACGAATAATACTAAACAAACCATATGATACTCCCATAAAAATATCAACTAGCAACATCAATATACATCAATTAGCCAACATACTAACAATAGAAGACTTCATACACAACTCGGTCACAAACGCCTATCATCCAAACCACGAAAATCATCTAATCAGGACTACCGGAGACTATCAAATAGACAAAATCCCATTGAAAATAAGGACAAAACTTCCAAAGCACGTAACGCTCAACAGATAACAGCAACAAAACACATACCAACATGAATCTACACACCAAGTCACTGCAGGTTTTTTTTTTGAAAGTTTTTCTCCTGCAAAAACTTAAAACAAGATCAAAACACACACAAACCACCATGAACACCAAAGAACAAAAAAATCACTACCAATCCTATAATGTTAACTGCAGGTTATAGGGAAACTCAAATCTCCAAGAACTGCAACTTCACTCAAAGAAAAAAAAAAAAATTATGTTTTTGTGGAAACTGAAAAACTCGTTCACGAAATTCCTTGGCATTGGACAGAGACTAATGTTCTGACTGGGCGTCCGAGCAATGTGCATGCACGCACGCACGTTTTTTTTTTTTTTTTTTCATTTTTTTATTTCTTTTTTTTTTTTTTTTTTTTTTTTTTTTTTTTTTTTTTTTTTTTTTGATGTCATCACATTAATTTTTCGATATCCTTTCGTTAGAGCTTTATAATTAGATTTATGTTGCGACACTGGTGCTAGGATACGTATCGTACGTGGAACCTTCCTCTGTTTCTTCCTTCGTTCCTGGCTTGCTTTTATTACACTCGTTCCACAGTGCGATCCTCGATTCGAACCCGTCAATTTCTGTTTTATTCATTCTTGTTGCGCTTTCTTTTCTTGCATTTTTTTCAGTTCATCTTCGAGTACTGTTTTGTTCTTTGCATTTCTTTCTTTCTTTCTTTCTTTTTTTTTTCTCTTCCTTTTTTAACAAAAACGAGACTTCTTTGCATACTTAAGGACGAAGAAATGAATAGCGTAAAATTTCTAACAAAATGATCGTTCGCCCCTTATTCATCTCACTGCGACCAATATTATTTTATTTCTCTCTTCAAACACCGATTATTTTGATTACTCAACATTACAAAAGAGTGAATGTCATTGCGAAAAACGAAATTCAATTCCAGGTTGAATGTCTTTTTTCTCTTTGTCTAGTGTTGAATCCATTTGGAACCTCATGCTCTATTTATTTGTTCCTTTTTTTCTGATTCCAATTCATCATGACTTCAAGATCACAAGATTCAATACTTTTCGAGAAAAAAGCGTTCTCCCTTTGTCTTCTCTCAATTGTATACTTTCCTTTTTCGTGCGTTTTTCATTTTCTTATTCTCATCGGTTTTTATTTTGTTCTTCCGGTTTATTCGTTATTACGTATCCTTACACCTAGACGAATCAGGGGCGAGCAAATCGTGTATGCTGCCAGTTGACTTTTAACGTGATATGATTTTTTCCGTTTCTGTTTAGTACGACAGTTTGTGACCGGCGGCGGAGACTATTTGCCCGGTACGTAACTCATACAACTCTTTTTTCTTTTCCCTTATCACGTCCAAGCTCAAACAAAAGCAGCCGTTTTTTTTTCTCAATATTTTGTTCATTTATTATTGTTATTATTATTCTACTTTTTTTTTCTTTTCTCTCGTATGCTTCGGTTCTCGTTCGGTCTCGCGAAACAATTGATACTGTCGCCAGTATCAATAATCAGATCAATTGTTTGATAATAATAGAAAATAGAGGAACTAAGCAGTAAAATGTAAGAAATTAATTGACCGTTTCGCGAGGGTTGAACGATTGACTGTTTCGAACAAAAGAAAAAAAAAAGAGCTCTTTCTTTTGAAATTTTGCAATCTTGTTTTACGTTTCCTTTGATTTGTTCATTGGCTGCTTTTTTTCGCGCGACCACGACAACAGTTACAAGACCAGAATTTTTCTCCCGGGCGCCATTTTTGTTTCTTTACGCTTCTTGTCGTTCGTTATAATTATGATTTTTGCGACCGTGCCCTCGATCCACGTGGCACACAAGACACATACACACACACACACACTCACACTCACACTCACACTCACACACACACACACTTATTTACACTTTCTTAACCCCTTTTTGCCGCGTTATCAAACTCATTCAGCTTCGCGGCTATCGCTTTAAAGAGTAAAACATGATCGACTCACTCGAGAACACACGACATCGGTGTAAAGAAACGAATTTGCGCGCACCGAGCCACTCGTTCGAATGCACATAACTGCATTCTACACAGTATTCGTCGTTGATCACGGGGTGGAAAGTGCAAGAAGAAGGTTCGTTGGCATTGACGATCGATTTATTTGAAATCGAGAAGAAATCGTTAATGCAAAAGCAACTTTCTTCGACGAATTGGTTTACCGTTGAAACGTTTTCTTTTTTTTTTTTTTTTTTCACTAAACAATTGCAATTTGTAGCTTCATGATGGATTTCATAAAAGGATCATTTGTCATTGCGTTTCTTGGGTGTTTGAAGATTTTCCAATTAAACTGCATCGCATAAATAATACAGATCACGATCCAAGCTACCTTAATAATTTCCATTTGTTCCTTCAAGATTATCTGAAAATGATCTCCTTTTCGTCCAAACAATTGCAATGCAGACTTTCTACCCCTGTTGTATCTAGTTGCAACAGTTTAGCTGGAAGATCGTAGACCATCGAGAGGTCTCTAACAACACCAAGAATCGCACGTACACATTAAGTAGTCACTCAACAGTCAACGAGGAATCTGCCACAGTTTCTCACTTCGATATCCGCTATTCGTTCAACAAAGACGTGAAAGATAGTGGCTCTAATGAATAACTTGAACCGATTACCGACAGGATTGTCGAAAGGGGTCGGTTTCATAAGGTTCGACCAGCGGGTCGAGGCCGAGAGGGCGATCCAAGAATTAAACGGTACCATTCCGAAGGGCTCGTCCGAGCCGATCACCGTCAAGTTCGCCAACAATCCGAGCAACAACAACAAGGCGATACCGCCGTTGGCCTATCTGGCACCGCAAGCGACCCGACGATATGGCGGCCCGATCCACCATCCAACCGGCCGCTTCAGGTACATTCCACTGTCGCCACTATCCAGGTACCTACTCGCCTCTACTCGCTCTACCCAAAAATATCTCTCTTTCTCTTTCTCTCTCTTTCTCTTACTCTTCTTCTCTTATTTTCTACCTTGTTTTCTTCTCTACCTTAAGTTCTTCTCCTCCTTCTTCTTCTTCTTCTTCTTCTTCTTCTTCTATTTCCATTCAGTTCAATTCTGTTTTATTTCCTCTCTCCGATTAAGTACCTCTTTTCCGTTCCATTACTTACGTTTGTATCTCGTTCAGTAGAGATTCTGAACGCTGATATTTGGCGTGATCTGTCGATCGATCGGCAAGGAGTCAAGTGAGTTCGATACTCAAATCAGATCGTCATTGGTCAGAATGAAGGGAACTTGCAAAAATGATCGGTCGATCGATTCGCTGCCTGTATTTTCCTCTTTTTTTACGCACTCACCGTTTAAGTATCTGAATACACTGCAGGCTCCTCCTTATGCACCTCATCTACCATACGATCTATTATACCTCGTCTCGTCATTTCTTTCTTTTTTTTTTATCTTTTTTTTTCTCTCTTCTTTTCGTCTCGGACTCGCCAGTTGGGACGATCGTTTACGCGCAAGCATGTTTACGCGCCGCGTCGGAGTTTCGTCTTTGCCCGTCTCTTGGGTGCACACTTCTCATCGAGAACTTCAATTCATGTTTCTTTTCGTTTCATTGCGAAGAACGGTCGCCACGACGTTGTCTGAACAATTTTATCCGCGAACGGCTCTGTATTTTTATTGTCTGAATAGTTATGAGAGCAATGGAAATAATGATGCAAGTAAATATGTAGCAGAAAATTGCTCTACCGTGTTAAATTAATGAAATGTAACTACGACGCTGTTGCTCTTTATAAGCAATATTAATTATAATTATAAGAGTTTATACTTCATACGTTTTATATATGTGAAATCGATGCCTGGCTTTTAAACTAGGAAGTCGTTTGACGAACCATTTTTTGACCATCTATCTGAATTAACACGTCGGAGCATTGTTGCAGTCGAGCATTTGTTGGAAACCTTTCAATTGATCGTAGAATCGACGTTTCGGTATCAATATTTCAGTGATGACATACAGTGAAACGTGTGTAAAGAAAACTACACGTACCGAAGTTTAATCTAATCTGATGCTTGATATCAGCCTACGATACTTAAAATCACTGTAGAACGTCGTTCGGCCTTTCTTTGCCGCATCATTAGCACTAGCAATCATTTTCCTGATTTCTTCTATTACTTGGATCTTTTTTTATTCCATTCCTCCAGACAACACTTTCTCCCCGTTCTCCCTTTCCCAACAAACGAGTGGTACAAGGTGGTCTCCAAATATAATATTTACTAATTACCTAGGTATAAGTCTATTAATACTCAAAAGAATCGTAATTGCGATCGCGCGTCAGAGACAGAAGACTGATCCTTGACCACTCTGGAAATATGGAGGAGCAAGGCACATACAAACGTTCTGTTATTTCTGTAAGTTTTGGTTGGTTTTTTGTCTTCGCGATCCACGGTAAGCTGGCTCGCCGAAACGATTATTGATTCTTTTAGCACGGATGGTATGATCTAAACGAGGCGATGTAACACGAAATTCCCAAGTAATTTCTCGTTCGTGGCCCTCGGATAAACGTTACCGTGGATGCGAGGCTGACGGCGAATTCAAGTAAAAAAAAAAAAAAAAAATGGAGTTGAGAAACGTCGATAGCGAAACAAAAGAATCTCGAAAAATTCTCGTCTTTCCCCTTCGTTCCGCGCTTCTGTGCCTCTGCGAACGCGTGTCACGACGACTAAAATTATCACTCATGATGTAACAATACATAACGAACGAAGATGACGATAAAGGCTTTCCCTTGTGTCGCTTGTTTAACAACCGGATATTGAGCGTGCTTCAGGTCCGTCTGTATGTCCATGTCAGTCGAACGCAAATAACGATGATTGATGACGGGAAGACTCGTGTAACGGTTCGATCAATCGTATCGAACACGTACGAAGATTCGAGATGTATCTTAGTTTTAAAAAAAAGATTAAAAAGAAAAAAAAGTAGATTAATGCGCTTCGCTTTTTCGCTTGCCTCTATTCCGTTTCTATTTTTTCGTTTTCTTTCCGATCGACGCCGCGTCGCTGCATCAGCCCTTGGTTTTACGCTTCCTTGTCTCTCCTCTTCTCTCGAGTAAACGGGAGAAACATCACCCCGGAATAAAAGGTTCTCCATTTTTCAGTCTATTTTATTCTCTTTAGAAATAATTTTTCTTTTTTTTCTCTTTCTCTCTCTCTTTTTCGTCTCTTTTGTTTTCTCTGTCTTTTTCTTAATCTGTCTTTCTGTCCCTCCCCCCCCCCCCCCCCCCCCACCGCCTGTTGCGTTATCCACGATGAGAAAAGAAAACGGAGAGGCACCATAGATGGTAGTTCCGTGACAGGAAAAAGAAAAGAAAAAAAAAAGAGAAAGAAAATAAAATGGAAGCACAAGGAAGCGACTGACTCTTATCCCGACTTTATTGGCTCGTTCCCGGAGTATCTCTCTTCTTACGTTGTTCTTTTTGTGTTTTGTTTTAGCACTGGCAAGGCCATGCTTGCCATTAACAAAGGCTTACAGAGGTCAGTATTTTTTTCGTTACTACCACTACGTTCCCTCCCGGTTTTTTGTTTTTCGATTGATTGATTTTTTATTCTTGCGTGGCTTCGTTCTCTTGCCTTTTCACACACGCTCCGCGTTAAAAATTTCATATGATCAATACTTTTCCTTTTTTCATTCGACTTTCGATTTAGTTTTTCACAGAATTGTCACTGAATTCATTCATGACAAATTATTCTTGACTCGCGGTATCTATCAGTTATTCATCAAATTTATTTTGGAGAATTAACATTCGAACGTGCAATCCAAGAGAAAATCATTATCGATGCGATTGGCGATGCATTTCTTTTATGATTGTCCCTTTTGAACGGCAACGTTTTATATTTTATATGAAATTTTTAAGGCCTTTGTCTCTTTCTCCCCTCCGTCGTCTCACGCTGTTCTATTTTCTCTTCTCTTCCTTCTCGTTGCCTTTCGTTTCGTTTAATTGTTATCCTTCAAACGCTTCTCTACCCACCAAACGTCACAGAGCATACCTTAGCGCTTTCTCGAGAATGCGAATCGATTCGGGTGTACAACTCTTCAATTCATAACTTTTCTCATTTCCTTTGATACTCAAAAGACAAGCAAAAACAAAAAAAAGAAGAAGCAAAACTTGCCTTTACTCTCTTTTTTCGATTACCTCGTTTGTTTTTTCTAATCGTCACTACGTTTTGTCGGAGGTTCTTAAAATTTATTCTCAGTTTCGTGAGCCAAATCTAAGTTTCACTCTGATTTATCGATTGATTAGAGAAGTGACCGTAGAATTTTTATTTTTCCTATTTTTTTTTTTTTTAAACCTGCTAGCTCTCAAGCTTCTAAATAGTATCCTGTCGAAAGTAACATATAGTCTAGGACTGTACAGACGGATTTCGACCGATTTTTTCAATCGTCGTCGAAAAACGGGTAAAACAGATTGAAAAGATTCTCGCGAGACTACAGACCGCCATGCCTAAAGCGTTGATGAATATTAAGAGAAAACAAAGAAAGATATTGCAAATAGAGACTCGAATCAACGTTCCTCGACAGGCTCGCATTTTCTTCTCCTTTTTCACCAGTTTCTTTTCTTTGATTCTTTACCTTCATCGGTCGTGTTCGACTCGAGACCGTGCACCTACGATTCTCGGTCTCTCTGCCGACGATCAATCCTGTCATTCGTTGATCCTCTTTGAAATCGAGAATAAATGGAAGAATGTACGATTAGATTTGCGCACGACGAGTTGTCAGTAATTAGAGACAAAGTGATGACAAAAAAATTGCAATAAATGCACGACGTAGCGATACACGAGAGTACACTGCCACTTTGTTGTACTAGCCGATATATAATACTTGATATAGTAGAACAATAAGAATCTAGAGTAGCGATATTTGTCGGAAGATTGTTTTATACTGGATTGTTGGTGTAGAGCTGAGAGCGAGGCCAGGTGCACGATCTCTGAAAGAGCATTCACGTGGACTCACGTGTATTATAAATATATATACGTATATATAGAAATATATAGGTATATGTATATTTTGTTGGCACACAGACTAATGCAAGAAAATTGCACTTGATTATGGTTAGAAAAACAACGCACCGATGTGTCGACTTTCGTAGTAATGAAAACGGTCGATCGTCGATCGAAATAAATTGCAGTTTGTTATTTGCACGAACAACGTCAGAGTCTTTGACGTTGTTCCCTCAGACAAAAATATAGATAGATCGAAGATCGAACGTTTCTGGAAATTCTCGGTAACATTGAACGAGTGTACATATATCGGCTGATTGAAAGAAAAAAAAACGTGGATTCTTCTTTCACGAAGGAACGTTTCGCCATCTCTGTTCTGGCAATATGATCCAGCCAAACCTCTAACTTGATCAGTGGTTTTAGTTTCTGTTCAATTACCAATATCGAAGAACCGATTTATTTAGCAACAATTAATTGAAACAGAGATAATTCTCTAGATAGAATGTAGATGAGTAAATTGAAAAAAAAAAGAATAGAGCAGGAGATGGAGAAAGGAAAGCAAAAAACACCGATGAATCGAGTTTGGGGTTCATTCGAGGCGTCGTTAAAGAAAAAACCACCCCGAGCAACGAAAACGCGTTGTACATACATACGCATACATTATATTTAAAAAAAAAAAAAAAAACGCGATTCCTAACGAGCGTTCGTAACGAATGCTCGCGTAATTACTGTCACCTCGGCCCTATAATGAATACTCACTGAGATGTGCCCTGTTTTAACGCGGCTTGTGACGTCAAGTAGGTACGTAGATTACATTTTTACATCTCTCTGTAAATATGTCCCGCCTCGTAACCATGTGTTTTTTTCACCCTGCATTCAGCGTTGCGCAATTTTGCAGCATGCCGATTAACGAGTGGACGCATGCGGATTTTCACCCGATGTTCTTTCACGATTTATTCCGCTTTTTCACCCCTTCGTTCCACCTTCGCCCCCGCCTCTCCTGGTTTTCTTCTATCTAATTAAAAGTTACCGTACGAGTAACGGGTCGCGCCTCGTTTGTTTAAAACGTTTTTTTAATGGTAGAATTTGCATGCAGCCCCACGCAACGATTACTTATCTCGTCAAGAGAGTCTCATTTCGAAATTAATTTGGCGGTTCTTTTTTTTTCGCGCCGGTATAATTGGTCGGACACACCCAACGCCGGTTGCCTTTTTTCGTTCAAGCTCGTTTTTACGCAATTTTTCGAACACCGTGCGACGATGATTTTTGTTGAACAAACGCGAGTGATTTTTACATAGATGTCATTTGCACGACTTCAATTTGTTCGTGTAAACTGTTTTTTTTTTTTTACGACGGTAACGCAGAAGGAAGTCTTTCAGTCGAGTCGCGTTTATTCGAGGCACTTTGAGTTTGACAGACTAGTAAACTTTGTGGCTTTGTACGCACGATCAAATTCGCCAGCAAGAGAAAATATCTCGTCTGCGATTCTTTTACATAGATGCGGATGTTGAGAGAAGGTAGCAGCGTCGAGTAGCCACGCCGGCGAACAGAATTCCTTTTGTAAATTATTATTATTATTATCATCGTTACATCGTATAACAGAAAGTGAGAGCAGTTCTGATTCAGTTTGATCGTGCGAGATCAATGGCGCTGCTTCCTCGAAACGCAGAACGTTTTTCTTGCCTTGTATCGCGAGCGCGAAGTAAAAAGGACAAAAACAAAAAAGAAAAGCACGAGCACCAGCCGTGCTCGTCGATGAGTGTAACGTTTTCACATGATCAACCGCATTGTTTCAGGTACAGTCCGCTGGCAGGCGATCTCTTGGCGAACTCGATGCTACCCGGGAACGCGATGAACGGTTCTGGCTGGTGCATCTTCGTGTACAACCTCGCCCCAGAGACCGAGGAGAACGTGCTGTGGCAGTTATTCGGTCCGTTCGGCGCCGTCCAATCGGTCAAAGTGATTCGCGACCTGCAGACGAACAAGTGCAAAGGCTTTGGTTTCGTGACGATGACCAACTATGACGAGGCCGTGGTCGCCATCCAGAGCTTGAACGGCTACACGCTCGGTAACCGGGTCCTTCAAGTAAGCTTCAAAACGAACAAGAGCAAGGCGGCGTAGGACGACAAGCAACGGCATCAGCAACACCACCACGATCACCATCATAAGGCAGCAGCAGTAGCAGCAGCAGCAGCGGCAGCAGAAACGGTAGTAGCAGCAACGCCGGCTGTAGCGGCAGCCGCGGCCATGATCGGTCAAGCGACCGCTGCCAAGGCAGCGCTTGGTACAACGACCGTAGCAGCCACGGTGGTCGCCGCAACAGCGACCGCTGCTGCTACGGCCGCGGCTGCGGCTGCGGCTGTGGTCACGCCCGCGACCGTCCAAGCGCTCGCGACTGCCTATGCTTCCACTAAGAAGAAGATCGACCACCACCATCTCCCCGTCGACTCCGTGATCAACACCTTGAACAGTCGTGATCGCGGAGGGAACCATCGTAACAATCAGAACCACCGTCAACACCAAGAACAACAACAGCAACAGCAGCAGCAACAACAACAGCAAAATCATCCGTTTAAAGGTTACAACCTGTCCGCATACGAAACGATGATCAGGAATCTATCAGTCTCATCGAAGAAGTATCGATGAGGTAGAGACGACTTCGAGAACCACGGCGATGAATTTACATTTCCAACTAATATAGAGGATGCTGAGCTCCCTGGAGAACACTCGGCCGATTTTTTCAGCAAACGATAAGACAAAAAAAATCAGAGAGAAAGAGAGAGAGAGAGAGAGAGAGAGAGAGAGAGAGAGAGAGAGAGAGAGAGAGGCGAGAATGCTAAGAGATATAAGTGTATGTGCGTGTATACGTGTGTTTGTACAAGCAAAGGTAGGATGCGTATGCAGTGGGTGCGCGTGGCTGAGAGGGAGATGAATGTGGAGGGACGAGGAGAAACAAACTGGCGAAGACGGTGAGAGAGGTATGTCGTTATACGCGGTCGCTCGCCCGATTATCCTAATTACACACATACCATGCACAGGAACGAAAAGGAAGGTAAAGAGAAAGCTTCGCACTTTCTTTCCTTCGCCTTAGTGTCATCTAACTCTCCCTATCTCTCCCTCTTTGGTCACTCGTTCATTTTTCTTTTTGTTCCCGTTATTCGTCCACGATAGAAAAGTAACGCGAGGTCCTGTCCTCTCTCGTGTCTCGCAGGATTCGCGACTGTATCGTTTCGTTCCCGAGATATCACTAACGAAACACACACACACACGAGAGAGAGAGAGAGAGAAAGAGAGAAATCAGATGAAAATCAGAGTGAACCGTCTGTAACGATGAATTCCGTGGTCCGTGCGCGATTGCTCGCGACACATTGCCGATTTATGTGCGTTGTGTGCGCGCGATGAAACACACAGACCACGTGACTACGAACAGACGTTTCCGTAGCAATTGACCAAACAGAGAGGAGAAAGCTCCTCGCGGAGATGGAATCGACAGGAGACATGAACCAAAGAGTCAACCAAAGACCAAAGAGTCACGACGACGTCAGGCTGTGAGACTGTGAAAACAAAACTTATAAACAAAAAAAAAAGGGGACAGGGCCTGATTGAACTTTTTTTCTAGAATTACCGACAACCCACGTTGATAGAGAGACAACCAAAAAAAGAGGGGAGCCGGCAGGCGCCTCGCGTTTTTCCGATTAGATCGGCTATCGGTGAACTCGATCCAGAAGATCGACGGACCCATACACACGGAGAACGGGAAAGAGTGCGTAGTAGTAAGTGGTTGTAGAGGAATGGTGTAGAGACAAGTGAGTAGAGAGAGACAATATTGACGGATCGTGGTCGAGGACGGGACGGGGACGATCGATGAATTGATCAAATTCGAAGGGGCAAGTCGCTCTCTGGCGGAGGATATAAGAGAAACGGGATGCGCGTGCGAGGAGAGAAGTCTCTCGCGTTCGATTTTCAGAACACGGGAAAGTGGTGAAGCTAGTTGTTTTACTTGCGAACGATCGATTCCCCTTTTTCTTTTTCCTGTTTAGCCAGTGAACGTTTAAACGTACTTAAGGAAAAGAGAGAGAGAGAAAAAAAATTAAGCTTTCTTAATCTGTAGTTGAATTAAGGACGAGACATTGTTCGATGAGAAGCGAAAAGACGAAGCATAATAATTATTACCTATTTAAGAAGATATTTTAGGGCTTACGTGCTATATACACTACGATGCGATTGTCGCGACAGATCGAGAAATCGGAACATCACAACAGTGATCCGAGGGATTACGTCACGTTTACTTATGTAACGCAGCAACGCGTTGTACTTTTATCTTTTTGCTAGTCACAAGCTCTTGTACTTCTCTGCCGATTACCCAAAGAATGTCCAATTTTTCTTTTCCTTCTCGTTCTTTTTTTTTCAGTTTTCTTTTTCCTTTTTGTTTTTTTTGTTTTTTTTGTTTTTTTTTTTTTTTTCTTATGTATAGATAATATGTACGTATAAGATACGAGATCTTAGTTAGTACAAAATGCTTACTTGAATGCAGAGTCTGATTTTATCGAGTATCGCGTATTAGTGTCCCTCGAATGTGCACCGTCCACAATTTGGACGTTTTAGAAGAACTTTGTCAGCCAACTTTTTAACAAAAAAACACACACACATTCACTTTATACACACGTATACACACATCGACACGTTTACATACAGAAACACTGTTTGCAACGGGGAGAAAATAAACAAAAAAAAGGAGAAAGAGACTCTGCCTCCCTGTCGCGACGAAGATACTCCGATTTTTATAAACACGAACGTTCGATTTCCCTTTTTTAACGAAAATATTGAAAGAAAGAAAAAAAAAAGTCCAACGTACAAAATATTTCATAGAAACGGTTTACTTATACATATGGTACGCAGATTGAACGCGTTCTTTTCTTGCTGTGGTTCCCTTCCTTTTAAAAAAGAAGGGACACGGATGGTTGGAACGAAAGAAACACTTCGCGACGGTGCACGAATATGTGATACAGACATGGTCGAGAAGGACGATCGACGACAAATGATTCCGGATCGTCGGTAAACACGTGTCTAGTCTACGTGCAAAGAGGTGCCAGAGCATAAGAGAATAATGGCGCCGCGTGTTAAAAACCTTTCCACCTTTAAAAAAAAAAAAAAAATGAAAAAAAAACACAAAAAAAAACGAGAAAACTTTTCTCTTTAGACTAATAAGCAAATCAGACAAGCGGTTTCTAAGAAAGCGCGTTTTAGGTAGTATGTGCAAGGTGAGCGAACCGTTTCGCCCGCGCTAGCCCGTAAAAATAATTCCCCTGGATGGGATTGCGTATGTACTGAAAAACCAAAGGAAAAAAAAAAAACAGGAAGAAAAGCTTAACTCTTTTTCTTAAACGAAGAAGAGAGAATTATCGAATATAAACGTTTTGATCGTTTTCTTAAATATATACTTTGTAGCAGTGGCCGGGACAAGCGCGACCGAACGCGGATCGTAAGTACTTAATTGTGGGTAAAGCGAAAATTTCTTAAGCTCCTAGGTTTAGTATAAATGCGAAAGAAAAAAAGCGTAGCATATGTATATATACATATATATATATATATATACACACACACGCATATATGTTGTCCTATTTATGTGTACCTACTTGTGTCTAGTCTGGGAGCGAGTAGCAGGTTGTTCGTTTGAAAGAGAGGACGCTCCCCAGGAGCGCGACAATGATACACCTGTCCACTCTCCCCCCCTAAAAAAAAAAATAACCAAAAAAAGAAATTTGAACCTCAAGCAGCTGATGCTTTCTGTTAAGATTTTATTTTATTTATTTGAAAAAAAAACTCGTGAATATCGATCGGTCGCGTGCGACGCGTATATATCTTCCGGTTCTTTCGATCGCGGGGGTGGGTTGCTGGATGACGCGACCGACGCGTCCACGGGGCAAACAAGATCTCAATGATTAGTGCAAATTATATACCACTGAACCGACAGATTAACAAAAAAAAAAAAGCAAATTGACGTCGTCGCGTGCAGTGGCGTGCGTTACAAGCGTCAGAGATGAAGGAGAAATGATTCAATTGAAACGATTCGCCCCTCGTTCTTTCGGTGCTTCTTATGCTGATCGCGATCTTTGACTTGCTGTGAAGGAATGACGAAAAAACAAATGGCTTTAACTGAAGCAAGAGAATCTATATAGCTGGTGTAGAAGATACTATATATATATATAGTATGTATATTTATATATAGATGTATATATATATATATATATATATATATATATACACAATGCCGAATAATTTCTGACGTGACAATTTCGAAGGGGAAAACTTTGATTGCCATCTGAACGGGGGACGAATCGTATGTAATCACAGTTTCAATGTTTTCTAACATTGAGACTACAAATTTTTCTCCTCCTTACGTATATTAAAAATTATGCTTATTCTGGTTATTATTATTATTATTATTAATATTATTATTATTATTGCCATTATCATTGCCATTATTATTATCATCGTCATCATCATCATCATCATCATTACCATTATCACCACCACTATTATTATTATTATTATTATTATTATTATTATTATTATTATTATTATTATTATTATTATCACTGCTATTATTATGATAATATATATTTTTTGTGTCTCTCATCTAACTACGTGTAAAATCTTAACACTTTTACTATCTACTTAATTTTCTGTTCCATACTACAGAAAAAAAAAACGTCCTACTCACTTTACTTCACATCTTACTATTACCGTTACTTTCTCTCATCTGCTATAACTACTACTACTACTACCACTATTACTACTACCACTACCACTGCTACTACTACTTACTATTATTACTACTACTACTACTACCGATTATTTATTTATTTATTTAATTATTATATAACAGAAATTATGTTTTATTTAAAGATTAAACTGATTTGTGTTTGGTTCAAATACGTTGTTTGTTTTATTTCGATTACTTGTTTCAGTTGCCACCAGCCTCCCAACAACCACGGTTCACATCTACATTTTTTCTATCCATCCCGATAAACAAAAAAGAAATATATATATATGTACATATATCTCTTCTTCTACTTCCTGACATTCCTCGTTGCTCACAGAGACTGATATGTAATCGATGCGTAGCACGCCCGAGCGCAGCGTACACCGTTTCGCTGGATATTTACTGCACGCTCGTCGATCGTGGTTCGTAACATTTCTATAATTATCTTCGTTCCATCGTGGGCGACCTCGTGGAATCGACGAGAAAACCGTGTCTGCGTGTGTGAGAAGAAGAATGGTTTCGAACGCGTTAACCGATACACGAATGTCTGCCACTTTCCGAACAGTCTGTGATCTCAAAAGGTAGTAACGTTTGCGTGTCGGTCAACGCGTTAAAACATTGATCCTGAACCTATCGATACTCGCGGTGGTCGCCAATTATGCACGCGAACAACATTGGATATTGGACAGTTGACGGATAGTCGGATCGTAACGATCGTAATGTCGCGTAAGGTATCGAAAGGTGAAGGTCGATATCAAGATGTTCCGACGTCGTCCACGATCGTAGAAATTAAACAAAAAAAGAAAAGTGGAAGCGGTTCGTGATACTTTGAAAGAAACGTGAAGACTCATTGTTACAAAAGTACAAATGCCACGAGGCGGTCGCGCAAGTAGCTTTAAATACTCTCTCGTGCGCATTTCGGTTATATATATATATATATATATATATACTGCCCAATGTTGCGCCAATGAAACAATAAAATTATATGATTAGAGGCTTTGTTGGAATGTGAACAAAAAAAAAAGAAAAAAAGAAAAAAAACACCAATCATTACTAACGATAGGCGTAGAGAACGTAGTCCCTCGGTGAGCCTGAGACCGTGTCGAAGGGGGGCGGAAACAGGTGACAAGGGGAAAGGAGATGAAACACGACTCGCGTCATTGATTGTCTATATAGATAAGGTTGTCGAAAGAAAAGGGAGAAAATGTCAGTGAAATGTTAAAATGTCACAGTAACGAGGAAGATCTGGTGAACCCGATGGTTACGAGAAGCAAAGGGTGTTTCACCGTCTTTCCCTTTCGTGAAAGAGTGCAATAACGGCCGGAGCTGCTCAATTTAGCGCACAGTACAGTAGAGGTTGTCGATGCTAGACAGACTCGAAGGAGTCGAAGAGACGCACAACGCGACGAAGATACTCGTCTCGGGGACGACGGATGAAACGATCTGTGGAATTCCGTCTACGCGGTGTGAAAATCGCGCGAGCCCTGTCCCGTTCTTTCTAAAGTAGAAAAAGAAAACAAGCAAGGAAGGCAAGGACGTGAAGATAGAGAAGAAACTATGGAATGAGAGACGGAAAGAAAGAGAATGCTGAGAGAGAGAGAGAGAGAGAGAGAGAGAGAGACGTGAAAGGCAGCGAAAGTGAGAGAGAAACACGCTAATCTACTTAACTATAAAATTATATTACCATACGATTATTACGTTAGATATACATTATATATATTGTATTTATGTCTCAATAATCGTTGTTAGTTATATCGCTACGATGATGACGATGATAATGAGTGTTTGTTATCGGTGATTGATAGGGGAAGAGGGAACACTGTATCAGACACATACACGTACACACGTACATAAAACACACGTTTACGCGATAATGGGGCACTACTATGATGCCCATTTTCGATGATAAGAAAGAATCGCTTTCGAACTGATTCCGAACGCTTTGAGGGGTTCTCGCGATGAGTGCGCGAACCCTTCCGCAACACAATTCCGAAACGATATTCGCATTCTTAATTTTTACTCAACGCGCGAAATTCGAATACATCCGACAGATTTGCGATCTTGCATTGTAAACAGAAATTTGTAACTTGTAACTTTTACGATCTGTATAAATTTTTAATAAATTCCCGCGTTTCGTACAAAGCGTTTTGAAATCGGTCCGAAGGTGACACGGTGAAAGTTTCGCCGACGCATCCCGCGGCTTTTAGATGATCTCACCGACGGACGAACAATATTACCTTTATTAGGACGTTTACATTTAATCGTTAGCCACATTATTACGCGTAAGAATTAGTCCATTCGTACATTCTCTTCATTCGTACGTTTTAACCGACGACGAAGAGGAAAAAGGGGTTTGTTCCCACGAAGGTATCGAGGGGTATGGTTTATCGATTCGTCCTCTGAATCAGTATGAAATTCTCTCGACATTTCCTCTTCTTCGACTCTTCGATGTCTTCTATCCTGTATATTCTTCGTGTTATATTCGACAGACTGTCAACAGCCCTTAGTAGCCTTAAGAATGCAAATATTACTACAAAGCGTTTCTGATTCAATGAGTCACGTCGATCCCTGAACACCTTCGGATCGAAAGGATCCATCAACTGGATTGATCATCTATTCAACTAGAAGTTAGAACTAAAAGAAACCACAGTTCTGAGGGAACATGAATAATCGATCGATTAACGAGTTTCCGACTAGGAGATCTGTTTCATCGTCTTAACGACAATTTTCTTCGAGAGATCTAACCGGTGAATAAATACATGAAAAACATCATAGTTGAATCGAAAAATGTTCGCATATTCTTCACCGGGAACAATCTCGCGAGATGAAATACGTCACTGTCAGTTTTAAACAACGCACAATGCTGTCTCCATTGGACAGCTTGTCGATCGTTTTGAAGATACGCTGATTGGTCGATGCAATGTCGATTCAGCGTCGACTCGACGTCGATCGAAAAGATCGTTGTCTCTTGTTACCGTCTTCGTGTTCTCTCGTCATCGATGATCGTTGTAATTCGCATTCATTATCACCGGAAAGGTGCATCATCGTCATGTTCATCTGACGTATCCGAGGCGCCCGATAGTCGCACTCGTCGATCGTCAAATCGGTTTGTTCAGTCGTCGATTGCGTGTCGATTGCGCGACTACATCGAATCAACAACTTCCTGTTCCGTTTTTCACGTCTCACTGTCGTGTTGCATCCCGTGCAGAGGGTGTAAGATGGAACGATCTAGGGAGCTTCGACTGTGAGAGATTAAAAATTCTTTGAAAGCAAAAGAAAAAAATACTGACAGAATGGAAGGTGAAATTCCCTTGTGGGATACTTGAATTTCTCATTAGAGAGAGCTAGTTTCTTATAAGAGAAGGGAATTTCGATCGATAGAGTCGAACATGCCACGAATAAGTGGTTCTTAATCGAGCACGAGAGATCGAGGTGGATTTTGTTGGTCGTTTAAACACGCACGTGGTTCCAGTCAGTCGTCAAACAATTCCGTTGCTGCGTTGCTCCTCTTCGAACAAAATGATAAAAGAAAGATCGTCGGTGTACGGGGCGCGCGATCAAGCAGCAAAAAGCTACCTAAGAACAAAACCTAAGAGCAAAATAAAAAAAAATCTAAGAAATCTAAAAAAAAAAAGAATAATAATAAAGGGTAAATAATCCTCTTCCAATTTGTACCGAAGCGACTAAATACCGCAGAGACTGAGATTTTAGGCGAAGTTAATTAGCTCCGAATGATCGTGGCTGCGATCGATGATACTCTCCTGAAACTTCCAGGGAAACTAGAGACCCCCGAAAAAAAAGAGAGAAGAAAAGAAAAAGAAAAGAAATATACACACAGAAATGATAACAAATGCAAACACATTTTTCTCGTGGACTTAGGAGAAGAACAAGAGCGTTAGAACTAGCTGTTTAGAGATTATATCGATTGAATCCCCTGCGATTAGGATAATCGATCGAGCCTGCGTGTGATCACGGAGCTCTCGGTTTCGTCGACTGGAGTTTCGAAAACTCAGCGACGGACGACGATCGTTCTCCGGCCGGCTGATGAGAGAGAAATCTTCGTGGAGCGAACGTGAAATGCGAATTAAACCCGGAGAACGGTGCTCTGTGACCAGCGAGGCTCGACGAGGCCGGAACGAGAGTAGGCTCCCGACTTTTTGAAACGTTTTTTTCTTTTCTAGGAAAAGCAACAAGTGACAATTCGCGAGTTTTCGAAACGAACTTTTTTCTGGCGGACTGACGTGACGCTGGGGTGGCGGAAGGGGCGAACGAAATATCGAGGAAACACTCGCGGATAGAGTAGCCAAGTAAACGGACAAGCATCGCGCGTTTTACTTGGGCAAGAGCAGCAAGGGGTGGAAAGAACGACAGATCCTTTTTTCTCTTTTTTTTCTTCTTTTTCCTTCTCGGTCCCCCTCCCGTCGCTCGACGAAGCGACTCTTTCCTCGTTTTAACCACCGTGCCGGGCTTTCGAGCTTCGATCGTCTCGTCAGCCTCGCGGCTTACTCGCCAAGCGTCCGGTACACCTGCTTTTCGAATCACGAAACCATTATCGTGCCGCCGATTCACTTTGTGCTTTTCTGTTGTGTCCTCGTTATCGACGCTCGACTCATGGAGCGACGCGCGTTTCACAAGGCTATTACTTCTTTTTCATCTCTTTGTCGACGATCTCACCACCTCCTCTCCCGGCTTGTCCCTGTTTCCTTCAGCCCCGTTCGTTCCGCTCCGATTGTTTCCGCGAGTTCTCAGGCCGTGGCGTTTTCCTTTGATCGCGAAAGGCGGTGTACTCGACCCTGGAGCGAGCACGAAACCAAAGAAACAAAAAAAAGATATATATATATATATATATATATATATAGATAGAGAGTGTGAGAGAATGAACGAGTGAGTGAGAGAGAGAGAGAGAGGAACGTAAGAATGAGAGAGCATATGCGTGAGAGAAGATGGAAAGGGGAGTGATAGGGAGGAAGGAGCGTATATATATCAAGGGGCACCGTAATATATCGGGGGAAGATGAAATTATTTTTACGCGTTCGCGAGCACGCAGTCCGATCGATGTGCTGCCGGGACATCGAAAGTCGGCGCGGGATATGGGGGAAAACGCAGAGCGAAAAGAGGAGAGAGAAATTGTCGCGACAGCAGAAAGCAGCTCTAGCTCACAGTAGGCCTAACTAACGAAACAAAACAAACAAACAAAGAAAAAAAAATAAGATGAAAGGTATTTATATACTTAAGCTAACTAATTAAAAAAAAAATATTAAAAAATGGTGGAGAAAGGGAGAGGGTGAGATCGGCGGGAGAAAGGGAGAGAGAGAGAGAGAGAGAGAGAGAGAGAAAGGTCAATCAGCGAATTAGAGAAAGAGACATTGCGTGCGAGAAGATTAGAGAGAAAGAGGATTAGTGAGAAAGGTAAAGAGAGAAAGTTTAAGGTGAGACAGGATAGAAAATACTTAAAACAAAATAAAAGTCCTTGAGTTGTTACTTCGAGGCGAGTCACTCGCGGATCAAGAGGAAAAAAAGAGCCGACAACAAAAGAAACCGATCTTCTTTAACGAAAGAAGGAAAAAAAATTACAAAAAAAAAAACGGAAATAAAATAATAAGAAGAAAGAAGTGGGAGGAGAGTTGGGGTTAAATACAGAGGTTGCTAGAAAAAAAAATGACGAGAGGGTGGGAGTTTAAGAGAGGAAGAGAAAGTGGCTAACGGAAGAGGAGATGTGATGATGGGTCAGTGAGGAAAGAAAGAGATAATCTATAATCTTCTGTACATGTTTTGATTATTCTAATTATTAATTATCGTAACTTATAATAACTATTAATTAATTAAATTAATTGATATCTATGGAACTGTATTTAAACGAGAAAAAAAAAAACGTGGTAGCTAGTTTGTCAATGGGTGTATAAATATTTAATTACGATAACTCTATAGTGATACTAAAAGTGAAACAACAACAAAACAAAAATCACAAAACAACAAACAAAACAAGAATACAAAATGTAACGTGCGCGTGCAAGGAACAAGGAGAGATCGAGCCAGATTGAATGGAGCTAGTGAATGACAACGAGAGAAAGAGATTAGAATGAACGCGAGGAGAAAAATATGTGACTAAATAAACACGAAAGCAAAGACAAACATACACGTACATACACAGACACACAAGCCACAAGATGATATACAGTATGTATAATTAATTCCACTTCAAAGCGAGGAAGGAAAAAAGCGAGGCGAAAAATAAAAACACAAACACACAGTGAAAGAAGAAAAAAAAAGAAAAGCAGAAAAAGTAAAAGGAGTGAAAACCGAGTGCAGTATATTTATTAAAGGTGATCGGGTCATTTTTTGCCAAGCTGGTCAAGCGGATCAGCAACGAATGTGTTAACGAAAAAAAAAAAGAAAATGAAAAAAGTTAAAAAAAATAAAACGAATGGGAAAAGAAAAGAAACAAACTATTGCAACGGGTGTTCCGGAAACTTTGGTCCTGCATTTTTTTCCGGACGCGCAAAAGGGCAAAGTGAGTTTCACGGTGCTTCGTGGGGGCTTCTTCCGTTTCATTTCCGTTTTTATCTCCTTGCACACTTTCTTCTTCTTATAGTGGTCGACGCGTAAACGAGATGTTCTTCGAAAAGCCATCGTCGCTTTTCGCATTTTTTAACAAAATAGAGAAGGTTCGTCATATTATATATGTACACACATACATATATATATATATATATATGTACGTATGTATACATATATATACACGTATAAATACAAGATGGTTCGTAGAATATTTCTAGGTGTGTTCAATCGTCTGTGTTTCGTGAACAGGCTCGAACCCCCCCTTTTTTTCGAAAAGTTGACGCAGGAAATGAGTTTGCTCGTGTTCTTCCGTTCTTTTTTCTTCGTACTCGAGCTTGCTCTCTCGAAAACGATTCCTTCGAAAGAAAAAAAAAAAAAAGAAGAGCGACTCGAGTCCTTCTCGTGAGATATTCTCAAAGAAATAGCAGATTTTCTTCGAAGGTTCCTTCGATGGATCAGTTGATCGTTTCTGTCGCCATTATTCTTTGTCGTTTCCTCTTCGTTTCTTTTTTTTTTCTCGAACTGGGGGAAAAACGACTTCGATCGGTCGGTAGAAGGAAAATTCGAGTCTCGTAATGCGCCATTTAAATAATTTATATTTTGCCGATGACACAAACGCTTGGTTGAACCACGGGGGACAGACAGATCAATTCCTTTTTATGTATCTCAGCGTGTTTATGTATAATCGAGAGACGGAAAGACTGTCGGTAAATCAATTGCTCATACCGGGACGCGATATATAAATTATTTAAAAGAATAAAAGTGGCAACGAGAGGATAATCGTCGTCGTACGATCCGCAGAGAATCAAAGATCTCAATTTGTACGCCGCTCCGAAACGGATCAACCTTCTTGATCGCGCCTTGGCTCCCGTCGCATTTTACGCTTCTCAGTATCCTCCGTCACGAGATAAGGAATCAACGTTAAGATATCGTACAAAATATATAAGTATAAATACACAGGGCGCACTTGGTCGGACGAGTTTGCATTTAAACGTAAATTCGGCATCCGTTTTTCGCAAAATGCTCGAATTTATTTCTGAAATCGTGGTAAGTCGTTCGTCGAAGTACGCTTTGCACGTACGTAGGGTTTTAAAGAAAAACCAGACGACGGTCAGATGGTTGATCGATCGCGAATCAGAATCGATCGCGTGTTTCCGCGAGAGCATCGATCATCGCACAAGAGCGCACACACACACACACACACACACACACGCACACACACACACTAAAAAAACTAGCGAATGAAAGCGTTAATGATAGGATGGTTTTCACGCGAACGGCGAACGGGGATTAGTGGTAAAGTTAAGGCTCCTTTTTAAGTGTTTCGGAAAAGAAAGGGTGGGCGGATGGTTTTTTGGGGAGGGGGGGGGGGACGTTTCAAACAGAGAGGTGCTTGTTAGGTCTCGATAATCTCGTAATATCGAAGATACATTCCATCCGAGTACGAGGGCTCTGGTGCGGAATAAAAGACTTCCTTTTCTCGTCCACGACTACTTCATTCCAAGCTTGTTTCCTCGCGGTTTATAACTTTTCTGTCAGCTAGTTTTTCCCGCTTTTCTAGCTCTAGTTTCGTTCGATCCTGTGCGCAAATTCCAGAGCGCGTTGATTTATCCAGCGGATGAGTTCAGGAAAGACACAGGTTGTGTTTGAAAAGGTGATTTCTCGATCGCGTAGACGAGGATCGTCGAATTTTTGCACATTCCATTGACGACAAGACCCTCGAGGTACAAAATTCACGGTTAGTAATCGTGCGTAATTATATTATAGACGCGTCTCTGACGATCGATCTCGAATGGACGCGTTCTCGTGAGCGAAACCGCCAAAGAAAAAGACATTTATCCTTTTTCTATTGAAACGATGGAGGGATTTCTATAGGGAATCGAATGAAAGTTTATTCATCGACAGTATTAAAGTAAGGGGAGTTTTTTCGCGGAGAGACGTGATCCCAGTGAGTAACACACACTTGTAGAATCATTTCTGGAAACTTGACGCCAATTCTATCGACGTTTGAACGTTAATCTAAATCTTAATTTAATCTCGCTGTTTGATTAATTTCAATGGTATTTAAGACAAATTGTTTTTAAATCGATCTAGTTTCACTTCAGATGTATCTTCTCAATTCCCTCTTGTTAATTTTCTTCTTATTTGATAATAGATACCTATCTGATAATAGGTAATATTGGCGTCCAGTTTTGAAAAATAATTCCACGTGTGACCGATAATTACCGGTGTAGAATATCCTCGACACGATCGAGGGAATCGAGTTTCTACACTCGCAGTTGTCGCAATGATTCCGTATTATAATACCGTAACTATTATAATACCAGATTTTACCATTACGATATTATAACGTTGTATGTATAAGTGTTCATAAGAAAAGAAAAAAAAATTTATTATCACCGGATAAACGCAGTGCAATACATTTATCGTTCTCGGTGATTTTCTTCAGGGCGTGTGTGGAGCACATCCATCGAGCAGAAACGATACAATAAGAAATAAGGCCAAAAAAAAAGAACACACAAAAACGAAACGAAACGAACAAACGAAGAATAAAAAGAAAACTTAGAAAAACAGAAAAAAGAGAAGACGAGAAACCGCGCGACTCCTTTTTGTTCATTTCACGCGAAATTCGAGGCGAATCGGAACGATAAGAGATTCAACGGAGAAACTTGACCTCCGAGATCAAGGAAAATTTCGCGATAAAAAAAAGGATTAAATGGGAAAATAGATTAAAGCAATTGCACACATGTTGACCATTTTGAGAAACAAATTTTGACGGTCCGTTCGTACCAGACAAAAGTAATAATTAATAATTAATAAAAAAAGAGAAAAAAAAATGAAAAAATGCAAAAGCATCGTTGATTTTCAAAGGGATCACGACCGAACGTGAAATCTGTCCGACTGTTACGAATTGTCTTTATAATAAACATTTACAGCTTTAATGGGAAACAACCGTAGACGTAAGTGAACGGAGGGCACTAATCTAACGAGAAACAAAAACAGAATCGAAAAGAAAAAAAAAACGTAATTAAAAATAATGCAAAAAAAAAAACATAAAAATAATATAGAAGAAAATAATATAAAAAGAGAGAGAGAGAGAGAAAGAGAGACACGTAACGAGAGAGCGAGATAGAAAGAAAGAATGTGTGAGAGTGAGAATGAGAGTGTGCGTGTCTGAGAGAGAGAGAAAGTGAGAAAGAAGAAGGACGAACGAGAAACGCAAGGGAAAAGCTATTCGTCACCCCCGAATTTTTCTGTCTCGAATAAAATAACGTTGTCTTTTGATTGTCGTTTTAATGGACAAAGCCATAAACTATGAATGATTTTGTAACTTAAGGAAATATAAGTTGCTCTTAAATCTGACACGGACGTGACTTCTTTCACCCGCAATTTTCTCGATAATATATAACACTCTTCTGTTTCGAGTCTTCTCGTTTCAACTACGTCTCTATTCGCAAGTTCGCCTCTTTTTTGATCTCGCGATCAGGCCCGCGAGGGGACCGGCTTTTCTCTTCTTGGCCGTCAAGAGAAGAGGAGATTCGGTTTCCCTCGATTTCTCTTCTGTTTCGTTCGACTCGTGTTCAACACGGCGCGATCTGATATCATCATGTGAATGAACAATGTCGATACGCGTCAACAACGATCAATTGACAAGCGAGTCGAGAACTATTGGAACTAATAATTTCGGTAGACGTCGTCGGTGACTTTTCACTGAAAGAAACATCGATGAAATCTTCGAACGTCTTTCTCCACGTTCGAATTACATTCAAATCTGCTTTTGATCATCAACGTCCTTTTTGAAAATTAAAAATCTCTGTACAACTTGCATCAATGTCGTCGATCTCTAAAAGTTATACCATCTTAATTAGTTTCCCCATACGAATAATATATGTTTCTCTCAGTGTTTGTTCTTCGTCGATGTTATTCGTGCAATTAAACTTGAACTTGAAAAGCGTATCGGTGCGTTCTAGCGCCAATGGAATCAAAGAAATGTGGCAGAAAAACTTGGAGAATTATGGAGAAATTCGAATTCGAAGCGGCGGTCCTTTGAGAGGGTAGCTTTCGCCAATGTGTTCTGGTGTTCATCTCGATCATTCGGGTCAAACCGAATCTCTTCGTGATTTTCCAGTCGATATCGGCGACTTAGGGATAAGCGACGGCAAGTCGTGTGTGTTTCCAAGTGGTGGAAGAGAGCCAGAGAGTTTCGTTGAAAACGCCTAGCTACGTCAAAGTTAATAATATCGTTCAAACGAACCGAGAGAAAAGTCTGATGATAGAGGCGCGTTTAACCAGGATGAGAATGGAGATAGGAACTGGCAAATGCAACGGAGTGAAAGAGCGAGAGAAAGAAAGGGAAAAATAGAAGGAGAAGAATGGGCAAAGAGGGGGGGGGGGGGGGGGGGAAGCGAATAAAACGCGAATTATAATAGAATAATGTATTTTATGACGGGTTTTAATACGGTATTAATAGCGATATTTAACTATAACTGATAATAAAAGACGCTATATAAATGTGAAAAATTATCGGACGACACATGTGACACACGGTGATGTAAACTGTATGGTAAACTACTATAAGGTTAACAATTAGGCGTTAGATCGTCGAAACGGGGAAAGAAAATGGACGACAACAAGTAAGATATTAATATAATGGAAAGAGAGTGGGGGGGAAAAAAAGCGAGTATGTCGAAATAGAGGAAACAGAAGGGGTTTTTTAATCAAGGGATTTTTGCACAAGGAGACCTCGATGGACACGCGTTTCTCTTTACTTCTTTCTATTTAAATTGCGCTTATATCGGACTGAATTACTTGAAATTTAAGACGAGATTTAACTTTTGCGCTTGTAATAAAATAGACTTAACAAAGCGTGTTCTTGCTAGGGGAAAAGGGAGAACGATCATTCAAATAAACCCCGTATTCCGATACAATGGTACTATCTTAATATAACGTCATTTCGTTTTTTTCTTTTATTAAAGCGAAACCATCGAGATGTTCATTAGCTAAGGGTTAAATCTCAATGGTTCTCGCCAAGGTTTCTGATGCTTCCAGTAATTACGGAACGATTCCACACAGAAATGCCGTCGAATCTACGAGAACGTTCTCCTCTAAACGATAAATTCTACGTGTAAATGCTAAATATTATATCATCGGACGTTCTGCGAAAAGAACTGCACAAAATCACACGTGATAATGATTTACGAACGTATATAGGATATATATACATATATACATATAAATGTATATATGTATATATGTATATATAGCAAATAATGTCGCCAGAGAGGAGCTATTAAAAAAAAGAGAAGAAAGAAAATTGCAAAAATTAGCACGCTTCGCATCTAGCTGTGAACGCGAGTGATAGGTTGATTATCGATGGGATGATCTACGATTAAAAAAAAAAAAGTATAGCGATTATTTATTATTAAACAAATGTTTAGGGTGGGAAGGAGGGATCGAGACAGATGAAGGTGTAGACAAAGACTGATTTGTGGAAGGATTGGCTCGAGTATTGCTTTTCGATCGATTGGTTATAAACGTTGACGTAGCGTTGTTTAAACTAGTGATACTTGGTTTAAACTGAATACAAACGATGGAATTAATGTCGGAGAAGATCTTCTGTCTGTGTTTTTCATTTGAGCATACGGTGCTCTAGAAAATTCAGATCGTGTCACGATACTGCTATCGATCGAATTAAATGTCAACTGAAGCTTTAACTTCGTGAGAAATCGGGGCTCGATACCGTTTATACTAACATCGATCGAACGACCCTCGAGTCAAGTCGACGAATAGAAAAAAACTTCTAAGAAGTGAAAAGCGATTTTTGCTAAAAAAAAGAAATCTTCGGTCCATGTCTGATCTGTACGGACTTGTACTACTTTCCGATCGAGTTAGTTTTCTCGATCGAACGGAATATAGGAAGCAGGAAATTTTCTAGGAAAACAGATGAAAAGAAATATAAGAAAGAGAAGTCTCTTCTGTTGCGGAGGTGACTTCCGCTAGGAAGTTTGGCCTGCGTCTGATCACGCACGGACTAGAACTACTACTGTGTCAGTCGTGCACAGGCCTAACGTTCACGCATCGACCAAGTATCGGAACACCGAGCTTCTTCCTCTTTCTAATTACCTCGTTAATTACTAGACATTATCCACCTCGGTGATTCTACGCTATAGCGAGCGGGTTCACGCTCGTTTTGCGTTAGAGAACCAAGGTTAACCTTTATGTATCGTTGATCATTTTGATTGACGCGAATGACACGAACATTGTTCATTGTTGAATCACGATTGGTGCTTTGATCGCAGCATATCGAGACTAGAATCAAGAGGACAATTTCGGGGATTGGGGAGGGAGGGGGTGGGGGTGGGGGTAGGGGGAGAAAGATAGAAATCAAAAGTTTCTTTTCGAGCTTTTACGTGGGTGACACACACACACACACAGTCGTGGAGAATATTTTTCTTCGTAATGTTCGATCTTTGCAACAAAGAGCATCTTTGATCATTATCGAGGTTCCTGGCGAAATTCTTTCGCGACGAATTAATTTCGCAGGGTACCGTCGCCGCGAAGGATACCGTGTAATCACTGTTAACCGTCGATCGATCGTACGTCGATCTTTCGCTCCAACGATCGATCGACCCTGTTAGAAACGTTGCGCCAGCAGATCACTTAACCTCTTAAAGAGTAGTATCTACAATCGACTAGCGCTCTCGAATCGAATTAAATCGATGATTTGTTTGTCGAGCGTTTTCGCGAAATATACTTTCCGATGGGGGCCCGAGCATGGTTTTATTTACAATTTGTCTAACAAATGCGAAACGCAAGTGAAATCTAAACCTATAACACGTATAATCTGTATTTAATTATCGTCATTTATCATATTACTGTGTACTTATCGCATGATTATTACTTACACGTATTATTTATACAACTACAGGTAGGAATTTCCATTGAGGTATTATGTGGAGATTAGATATATCTATAATATACATTATATTATATTATATTATATTATATTATATTATATTATATTATATTATATTACATTATATTATATTATATTGTATTTACATTATATTATATTATACACATGTATTTCTCACGTGGAAATTTTTCAGGCATCTCAAAATAACACCGCAACGGCTATTGTTGTGCAACAAGTATATATGGGCGTGCTTTTTAAGAGGTTAATCGGGATACCGATTTAATATGTAGTACAGAGCAAAAAAGAAAAGCTTCCTCTCTACATAACACATATATGCATATAAGCATACACATACGTACACGTACACATGCATACGCGAATCCGTCTTAATAGTTTCAAAATAAAACCTCGAATTATTATAGTTAAAAAAAAAAAAAAATTAGCGTAATATTATGATAATTTTTCGTGACGTTGTGACGTATTATAATTACATTCATTTAAATGTTCAATACATGTTTAAAAAGTCAATGTTGCGTAAGTAGTTTGATCGTATGTACTTTTTCTATTTACTTATGTATCGTGACTATGTACCATAACGATAGTTTTCATTGCGTACGTGTTATCATGATTTGTCAAGTAGCCAATTCGAGGTTTATTCAATCTAAAAAAAATGTGATCGGTCGGGCGGAGCAAATTGAAACACACATCTTTCATCGCGGAACACATACGTATACGTATTTTTACATGCGGACGGTCCGCATAAGGGAACAGAGTTCATTTCTCGAGGAAACAACGATGGGATGTTCGTTTTCTGATGGGTTCCGTCGAGCATTCTTCGTCGTCGCCTCTACGTCATTTTAGGGCAACGAACTAGAAATGTGTTTGAATATTTACACGAATTTACAAGATTCTTGCTAATGTACTTTTTCTATACCACACACGAGGCAAACTCAGCTGTGTACAAGTAGGTGCACGCTACATATACATAAACAAATACACGAGGCATACACACGAATTTCAACATACTCTTGTATCTTTAACACCTAACAGAATAGAGGAACGGGAAGATTAATACATTGGACGTACTACAACTCCGCGTACAATCATAGCACACAGAACACACAATTACATGCACCCACACGTACAAGAAAGAGAAACCATTCACGCACACTGTGGCACATAACAAAGACACAAAAATGACTTCAAGAAATAGAACAGACAGAAACATTTTTCGAGAACACGTGCGCGCCATCACAATTGTTGATATAAATTGCGATCCATGATTATTACTATTTACGATATAATTATTATCTTGCATTGTCTAGTCATACGTTATTATTGTATAACTAACGATATTAATTATTAATTAACCTGTACTACCTAGTCGCATTATGTGTTGCATAAAAAAAAAAATACTATGAAAATTCCGAAGGCGAAATAAGAAAAAAAAAACGAGAGTGAAAGAGAGAGCGAAAGAATGAGTAAGAGATATACCTATAGAAAAAGAGAGAGAGAGCAAGAGCAAACGAGAATACGAGGAAGAAAGAGAGAGAGAGAGTGAGTGTGAATGATATAGACACACGAGATACGGTAATGATAATTTCGGTGATTACATTGTGAAGAACGACATTGATATAAGTGACAGGCGTTGATTGAGTAGATGATTACGGTTGTGATCGTAAGCAGTGATGAACAAGGCAACAACGGTAGGCACAACATGTTCCCAAAAAGAAGAAAAAGAAACGATTTAGAATATAACGAGAGAGAGCGAGAGAGAGAGAGAGAGAGAGAGAGAGAGAGAGAGAGAGAGAGAGAGTGAGAGGAAAAAAGAGATGGAGAGAATGAGATGAAGGCACTTCGTTGCAATCGTGATAACGCTCGTCGATCAATGTTAAGATCAAGATTTGGCTAATTGTGATGATAATCTCTCTCTCGCGCGATCGCGCGCGCGCGCGAACGGAGTTGTTTATTTTGAGATTAAAGAGGAAGTTAGTGAGATAAAAACCAAGGGTGCTCTGAAATGTTCCATATTGAACGCGAATTTAACCATAATTCGTCGATGGCGATTAAGGAACGATTAGTTGACTCCCAGAAAGTAAATTTTGAGAGCTACATATAATTAAACACTTCGCAGACAAACGAGTCTTGAATATTAAATGTATGACTGTAAAAATACAAGATTTGTATCATCTTGGGAAATGTAGAAGATAGTCGTCGAAGTGTTACGTGTCATATCCGCCCAAAAAACCCGTCAATCCGATCAGAAAGTAATATCGTCGTACATGTTGAAAAATTTGAGAAATAAGTACTTTAAGATACTTTCTGAACTCGTCGTTTCTTCGATCGACGAATTAAATGGAATAATCGATCAAAACGAGCGATCATGGTTGCCGGAGACCGCCTGTTTAGTTAAGGAACAGAAAGTGAAGATGATAGCAATGATGATGATGATGATGATGATGATGATGATGATGATGATGATAATGATGATGATGATGATGATGATGGTAATGATAATGATGAAAAAAAGGAGAGTAATAACTGTCATAACGACACGCACGTGCGCGTCGCGGGTCGTAATCGTAACGCGCCCGTGCGTACTGGTAGCAGAAAAAAAAAAAAAAGAACAAAACGAGTATTAAATATATGCGGGGGCCGTGGAGAGGAGGGAACCTTCCTTTATTCAAATGAAATTTCGGTGGATTGCTTGCCAACCCGCTGACTTTTCCCTGTCAGGTAAGCGAAAGAAAAAATACAGTGGAAATCACACAAGATCTGCATATGTATACCTCATATCCTCGGTTTTGGTGCATAGTAAGCACATTTTCGTCAAAGCAAGTGAAAAAGAAAAAATTCTCGAGATATCTTACACGTGCGTTGTCTCTCCTTCCTATGAATCATACCCTCCTCCCTCCCTCCCTCCCTCCCTCCCACCCGAGGAGAGCTCGCGGGCCCTATATTGCAATATTTGTACTTTTCCATGTTGAAACCTCGATATACAATAAATTATATTAACAAACTTCGATTCTTGATTTTCTTTTAAACCGGTTATCAGCATCCTTTCATCGTGCTTTTATTACCAAAAAATCAGGGACAAGTAAATGGCTACAAAGTTTCACTGTGAATTCGTTTATTCACGAGTCAAAGTACAATTCATGACGTGTTTTTGTGTATTTGATATTCACTGTTAATAAATTAGTGTAGCATCTAATGAAAGATATTTCTAAAAAGAAATATATATATATATATATATACATACTGAGATGGCAGCATATATTTGGAATTATAGTAGTCTCCATATTATAAGATCCTAAATTAAAATATCAAGTAACGGATTAATTTAGTGATATCTAAAATCGGATGCATTCTACGGTCTCTAATATATTTGTTCAGATATTGACACTATTGTGCATTATCAATTTTGTAATCTCATTATGTCATGAAGGCTATCATACAGTCTTTTGAATAGTAAAGAGATCCTTAAATGATTCTGTTTAAAAAACAGATCAAAACATAATCAAAGTTTGAATAAAAAATTTAATCTTGATAGAAAGAAGTATTGGAATCGAAAATAAATAGAAATTGATGTATGCATGTCGACAAATTTCATATAACGCTACGTTTGTTATGCGGTAACTTTTTAAAGACTGCCTATTTTTTATGAGAACCTTGCTTCTTTGGAGCGAATTCTAATCCCCTTATGTAATTCTTTTTAATTTGATATTTTTCTGAAAAATTAACATTTATATGAATCAAATATATAAATGTGAAAATCTTATAAAACATTAATTCGTTATTTACCTGTAAGTAATTTGTATATGTACAAAATCTGATTTCCTTGAACTAAAACGCTTGGAGTCTTTTTTCCTGGTTCGTCTGTAATCGTTGCACTCGCTCCGATGCTCTGACATTCCTTGCTGAACTCTTTAGCATTTATACCAAACGTTTCTAAATTGTTTACTAGTGTAACCTGTGATATACATACTAATTAAATTTTGTATGCATTCTAAGTTGGGAAATCAAATACTGTACCTTCTTACCACCGGATCGAACTGTGACTCTCATGTCGATGGGTTCCAATTTGCCCGTGTGTAATAGTTTGTTTCCTGCTAAAGTAACTTCGTGCATATGCGTCATACGTCCAATAAACTTGTTTATCCCATCTTCTATCGATACAGTTTCCACATTCGCTTTGGTTTTCATAATACCCGCGAGTTGCGGGTTTAATTTCAGTATCCTATAAATAAACCGAATTAAATGATTACACGAAACCGTAATAAACCGTATACTCAATTAAGAATTGCTCACTTTCCGTCTTGAAGATTTTCTGCTTTCATGTATTCAGTAAAACATTTTCTGATTTCAGCTCTTTTCATAATGTCCCCTTTTCTGCAATCATTGTATGGGAGTAAAATGTATATAATTCGTATCATATAATACAGCATAATGGTATATGATGTAACAGTTGTCGACTTCTGCTCTGTACAGAAAATCATTCTTTTTGCAATTATTGTATCGCGGTATTGTGACACATCCCGAGCGTGACACTATACTCACTCATATCCGAATTTTGATAATACTGGCAAAACATCGGCCGTTACTTTATAACATTCAGAGACAACTGCTGCATTAGAAATAATTGGCTCTTGGATTGGTGTAGGTTCCTCTGCAATAACTAGTCCTTTTATAAGAGGATGATCAAACTGCAAAATGATTGATATGATACATTAATAATTATACTGAAAGGAAATTATTTTAGGCTTAATAATTTCACTGAGAAATCTTACCTTAATTGATAATATACTTTCAACACCTTTTGTTACTGAGGTGTTAACAACACCTTTTGCTTTCATTTCTGCTAAAAACAATGATAATTTTTTATACCGAGATTTTTTTATATCTACGTTTTTATCCGATGGACACGCAGCTATTAAATGATTTTTAAAAAAGTTGGATGTCAATATTGGTAAATCACTAGATTTTATTGAAGTTTTGCAAGCTTTTAAAAAGCAGTATTCTAACAAGCTATCCATTTCTTTTATTGGATCTACAGCTGCTTCTTCAGTTGCTTGATCGACAGGCATCTCAACAGATTCTTCTATTTTATTTTCTTCCTCGCAAGGAGATTCAATCTCTAACACTCTATCATTATTTGTTTCTAGATCATTGATTGCTTCAATGAGCGTTTCTTCATTATTATCATTATTCTGTTCGGCTATTTCATTTAGATTTTCTAATTTATCATTATCTGTATCAACATTTAGTGGCCCTAAATTTGGTCTTACAGGAGGCTTTCCTAATTGACAAAGTGTATCACCTATAACATGTACAATTTCTACGCATTTTCCATGTCCTCCAGACATGTACATGTCTTCACTGCAGAGAGCAGTAAGGCCAATAGCAACTGGTGCCTGGTTAAAAAAAACATTACTAATTACAACTAATTATAATTTTACAACTATGTTGGAATAAAAATAAACTTTTATAACAATGTACCTGATTATCATCTGTATTTATTGAAACAGGTGTACCCTTCTGTAATTTGCCAAAAGAATACAATGTTATAGGTTCTTTGACAATGACTCCAGGCAACATCAAGTCCGCACCACTAGCTAGTTTTGACACAACTGGAGCATATGTTGTAAAAGTTCTTAATAAGTTTGGATAGTGCCATAAAGTGAATATGGTGGGTAACAATGCCTGATGCAAGGATTCAAGTTGGAAAAACATGGGTACTTTAGCGACACAGTACACTTTCCCTGAATGACCACTATGAGTTACAATTTTCATAACACTTATCGCCTCTTTCTTAGGAATCAATGACTGCGTTTCGTCATCCGTCAACGCTGGATACGCTGCTAAAATTTCCTCGCACAATCTCTTCCTGGTTGCGAACAATATTAAAATTGTTAATACGCACGTATGTATATATATCAAATTCATTAATATTCCTTTTAGATGTAAATTAGACTCTACTGACCTTTCCGTCCCTTTCAATTGATTGTTGGACTTCACTTTAAATGCTTTTATAAACATTTTGACTCGGTGAAAATATAAAAAAAAATTCGTCAAAAGAATGCTATTAAAAATTTTGCTACACTCGAGATATAGGTTATCCAACCTCTTATCTGCTCTTCTGATAGTTGGAGCATTGACTAAAGATAGGATAGATCAGACATGAAATGGGACTTCGTGTCTCAGAGTTTGAAATACCGACCAGGAAAAAAATCACTAGTTTTTAGCGCACTCTACCACAGACGAGGTATACTTAAATCGATATAATAGAGTGTGACACGAAAATAGATCAGGTGACCCCCAAAAAGTAGAATACCGAAAAGCATTATATCATAGCATGTCCAATCTATCCTAGTTAGTCAATGGTTATAGTTCAAATCAGGATGACTAAACTCTGTGCGTATTTCTCATGAAACATGCGTATAGTAGTTGATCAATAGGGCACAAAAGTCAACAATTAGTACAAGGAAATTTATAACGAAGAACCGGATAGATTCCTATATACAGAATCCAAAAATTCTACATGGAAAGTTACACGGTCATTTTTCTACTTGCTACAGTTGGTAGTTGCCAAAAATTCGAATCGACTTTACTTTTCATCTTAATTAATTAAATTCCATCTGAGATACTTGCACAGATAGTCAAGCATTTATCTAGAGACTTATCTAGATTCAACTCTTTCTTCAATTGATTCAGCAGAAGTTTGTGACAAAAACAAAGGGCATTATGTATTGCGCGCGATAACGATGTCCGTTGTATCATACAGTATGTACTGTGTCCTCTTACGGCACGTGAGAAAAACACGATCAAATCTACTGTGCGATCTGTAGGTCACTATAACCTCAAAACGTTACATTATGCATAATCAATCTGCAAGAGGTAGCTTTTGAACGTAGTGTAATTCGAAGATATTGTCGCCGTATTCTTATTTACATTTTCCACTGTCAAAATGGCTATTATGAAGATACTGCTACGACCAGACATCGCAAGGTTCACTGGGGTCAGAGTGAGTTACATTTCATACGCCATTGTTACATTCGAATCTAGTTACTGTATTTCAAAGTGGATTCGTCATACATGCCTTCTTTTGTTTATGACGCAGATTAATTCGTTTGAATGCAAATTGAGAGTATAATAATAATAATAGTAATTCATTCATTCGACCATGCCGTAAAACGTTCGTCCATTGTTGATTGTATTCTTTACTTTTTTATTTCGTTGTCAAATACAGTATAAAAGGTACTAATTTAAAACAAATTGTTTTTTCATTCAAAAATTTGAATTTTCAAATGTATAATTCTTCTGGTAAATCATTAATGAATTTTGTGTTATTATTATTTCAATTGAAGAATTTAAAACGTACTTTACGTATATATAATTTTTTTTTTTTATATTGCGGAAAAATTAATTTTGCGTTGTAATTACGTCAGTTAAGATAAACGATGCGAAATTTAATAAACGTTGCAGTATGTACTAGTATAAAAATATACTGCACAGCATTCATAACATGACAAGTATATTTTTATATCTTCAAGGTCTTACATACAGTTGTTTTAATATCTTGCTCCAAAAATATGAAGTAGAACGCAGAACCCTTTATAAATCGTTTAAAGAACAATAGTTTTATTTATAATGAAGTTATACATTAATTAGAATATTAATGATATTTCTTTATTTCAGAATTATTATATTTAAAAATTATGTCTTTTTTTATTTTCAGCATTTAAGTTCTAAACCAAAATTTGGCTTGCTCTTTGACATTGATGGTGTAATAGTACGTGGCAAAAATGTATTACCACCTGTACCAGAAGCTTTTAAACAACTTCAAGGCAAAGATGGCAAATTTCGTGTACCAACTGTTTTTGTCACTAACAGTGGAAATGCACTGCGTAGTCAAAAAGCAGCAGATTTATCTAAATGGATAGGGATTGAAGTGAAAGAATCACAAGTGGTCATGGCTCATTCACCGTTAAAGTTATTTCAACAGTTTCATAATAAACAAGTATTAATATCTGGACAAGGCCCAATCAAAGAGATAGCTAAAGAATTGGGTTTCCAAAAAACAGTAACTATTCAAGAATTAGTGAAAAATTTCCCCTCTTTAGATTATGTAAATATGGAGAGGAGGAACCCGCTATGTGGTCCTGTAGATCCAAAGTTCCCTGCGATAGAAGGCCTTGTATTATTTAGCGAACCAATTTCTTGGGAAACTTCATTGCAACTAATGGTAGATGTTTTAATGACTAATGGCATGCCTGCTGGTTTACCCGGCGATATTCCATATCCGCACATTCCGGTTTTGGCATGTAACATGGATTTATTATGGGTATCAGAAGCACCAATTCCTAGATATGGTCATGGTGCTTTTCTATTATGCCTGGAATCTTTATATAAGAAGATTACTGGAAAAGATATGATATATTCTGCTCTAGTCGGAAAACCTAGTGAAATTACATACTATCATGCAAATCATGTGCTTCGTAAGCATGCTAAAAGTATTGGAATAGATCATAATGTTGATACTATATATGCTATTGGGTAATTAATCATTTAAAGATATTAACAAATTAACATAATTTTCAAAGTTAAAATTCCAAAATTATAAATTCAATACATATTTTACAGAGATAATATTAATACTGATATTTTTGGTGCAAATTTGTATGATAAATATCTGGCATATTGCGCAAAAGAACAAGTATTAAAGGTTGATAAATTGAAGAAATTACTTAACCAGGATATCAATCCTCCTAGCGCGAAAGCCTGTATTAGTATTTTAGTTGAAACTGGTGTCCACAAACGAGATTCGGATTTTATATCGGAACATAGTCCTAGAGACTTCTTACCCGTCGAGGATGGTCTATGCAAGCCTGCATTCGTAGTAGAACATGTTGGCGAAGCTATTAAAGTTGCGTTTAGAGAAGAAAAATTCGACTGAATTAGATATGTATAGAACGTATTTTTAGACTTGGAGTGTTGAATGAGAAGATTCTATCCTAATATTGATTAAGAAGAAAGAAGACATAAGAACTTAGATATATCTTCGCTAATGTAAGTATTATGTTAATTTCGTTAGCTTTTTTTAAAGACAAAGATGTTCAAGAAACGGAGGCTGATTGCATAAGCAAATGATATTTTATTTGGAGGTTTTAAATCATTTTCGACATTTTTATTTATAATTTTATCCAGGAGAAGAAAGAAATTCTTTCTGTATATAATCACGTGCTAATTATTTAAAAAGTTTTTATTTATTATTATGAATCAGTGATATTTGCAAACAGTACAATAATTTTGTACATTAGAAATATTAATTATAGCTGAAGTGGTCTTTCAATCTATATAAATTTTTATGTATATTTGAAGTTTTTGTTATTTATGTTATACAAGTATATTATTTAGAAAAATGTTCGTTATATCTATATTTATACTTATATATTAAAAAATCATATACATAACAATTTTTAGTTCAATTCTTAATCATGTTGATATTGTAATTTGTTTAATGTATCATCTGTAATGATCCCGTTTGATTTTATACTATGACATACTGAAAACAGCTGAAAGTTTTTTCTGATATACTTAAATGCATAAAAACGCTTAATCGCGTTTCATAAAATTAATGGGAAATGAAACAGAAAGAAAACCTCACGCAATATGCTGTTGTTTTAATAAAAAAAAATTGTAATTTAGCGATAGACAGTCTATTTAACACTGTTCTATTTAGCATTCACTAGCGAATATCGCTTTGTACACAGAACCTTGTCTAGTCCTACGAAACAATTACACCGTACATAATCGTAGCAATAGCGATCCATAATATGAAAAGGATTAGTCTACCAAATTACTAATCAATTTCACGTCGATCATTATATACACACATGTATAATAGTTCGAAGAGGAAAGACCACAAATGTTGTATCAATGTGCATCAAATAAGTTATAAGAAATGTTATAAACGCACATTGTATAAAAGTACTTGGCTCAGCTGATCATACATCATAGAAATGAAATAAATAGATCATACAGAAATTATATAGAAAGGAAAAAAATATATATATTGGAACGTCTATTGAGACGAAGACTGATCACCTACATAAAATACAATTATCGACGATTATTTGCTAAAGCCAGTTTATAACTTATTTTAATTTTTGACGAATTATTTGTTTTGCTGTTGACAAAAGGAAAAGAAATGGATTTTTTCAAATTGTACGATCAATTGTACGGATCAACACTCTGCGAAATTAATAATGCTGTAGATAATGCAGGGCAATTATATACAGTTATATATACATAATATGTAGAGTGTTGCAAGATTGAAAGCAATACAGAATTATGTTAGTTACAAGAATCATTTCACAGGAGCCTTATCCACAAAAGAGCTGTGACTCTTATAAGTCCAATTACAATCTGCTCTCATAAATTCCATTACTCTATATTGTTCTATATTTTTTTATTTCTATGCCCTATGAAAGTCACAGACTACGCCAACAAATAATTTTAAAAATCTTTCTTCTGAAAAGAAAATGTCGTCGAGAAATTTGTTTTCTTTTCGAAGATCATTTTTTAAAATCGTATGTCATGTAGAAGATAAAATATATGAGGAACGCATAAAAATTTACCAAACCTGTTAATTGTTTAACACGAATCTTTTAGTCTAGTCCAGTTAAGTGAACGAAGCGTTCATTGAACCTTTTATATTTTCTTCTATTGCACGCGAATTGTACAGTATACATTTTCTTCTTTTGATTCTTAAGTCACGAACAACCGACCGACGATGATTAATTTCTGTTACATTATTTTAATAATATTTAAATGATTACTGGAATTAATATTCATTTTAATGATTATATTTTCGTATCGAAAGCGGTTTATATGATTTGTCTCGTTGTCGAAATAAATGGAACTATGTCATATATCCTGTAAACAAGAAAAAAAGATCCGGTTTTGCCTATCGTAAGTTATAATTGTAGAAACTAGATGCAACAAAATATATGATATATTTTTCGTTAATAAACCACCGATCTTATTGTGACTAACAACGCAATTTTACGTTGGAATTTTATCGGATGAAAATGTTTCCCTCCGCGTTACCATTCTTCGTATACTTACTTTCTCTGCTACTTTTCTAGTGGAATATCGGTAAGTAATGAAAGAACGCACTGCAACAATTGTTAACGATACACATTGAATAATGCTCTCTCTTTTTTTTTTTTTTAGATAGTGTGCAGAAAATTGAGTCGAAATTAATCATTGCTTCTGATTATGGCGGAACGTACAAGACGTCTGGGTCTCATGACCCATGAGTTGAACCATCAATCGTTTGATGAAATAATTCAATTACATATCGATTGGTCGGTGTCCACGAGGAATAAATTTATTTTCACGTTGGAAGATCTATTACATCTAGCACACTGATGTTTATTTAAACGCATACATTTCCTAGTTCAGTAATTACGATTGACATTTACAATATAAATGCATAAACTTTGATGGAATAATTTTTGACATTTAACGATGAAAAAATACCAGTGAAATCATTAGTGGACTTCCTGCGTTTAAAGTGCAAGTTGACCTCAGAAAAACCGGTTTTGAACAAGTATGCCTGTTATTTCAGTGTCATCCAAAGATCTGTTGGCTGTCTCGCTTTTTTGGACTAAAAATACAACAAGCTAAGTAGCACGCTTCTATGTACATTTACTTATTTCCGGCTGATGAGAAAATTGACCGAGATTTTAAATCTTTCTTAGACTGCAAACGGGTCGCTTCATTGTATATGAATCTTAATTTACAACTTCATTCTCTTACAAGTAATTCGTTTCAAGTTATCGTAATTGACCTTATCGTCGTGTACTCTAATCAACATCGTATATTCGAGTTACATCAGCGCATGAACAGAATTCAAAACGTGACACATTTATTAGATCTTTTTTTAGTAAAAGACTCATAGCAAGAAACTGCAATAAAATGAAAATATTTGAATAAATTTGCATTGATATAACTTGAAACGAATTACTTGTAAGAGATAAATGGAAACGATGCGTTCATTGGTCCACTTTACGAAACAGGTTGTAGAATCAAAACGACTAAACCATTAGTAAGGGGATCATATAAAGTGTAATACACTGATCTTTTAATGATTTTTTTGTTTCCTTTCCTACGCTACTTAATAATTTAGAATAAAAGATATAAAGAAAACATAGAAATTAGAATCGTGATGCTAATGTTTTCAATTATTAATTAATTAAATAAAATAGAAACAATACTCAGTCACAGTTTTTTTTAGATCTTCGGGCAAAATTTCAACAAAATCTATGCGTGACACTTTGCTCGGCACATCCATAAATGGTCAAACCGGTTATTCATTTCTGTGTCATGATGCACGCACCGCAGTGCAATAAAATCACGAATGTTATTTCTAATTTGAGAGTCAACGCACGTCACATAACTCAAATATAGGTCGGACATTACCAATTCAAATGCCTTTCCCTACTTAAAGAAGAAACGATATTTAAAATACGATAACAAAGAAAGAATTGAGTATTGAGAAATTAAATTAATACTCTACAATCAAGTTTCAACGTTTTTGTATTTCCCAATCTCGTCATTTATAATCGAAACCGCTATTACTAATTCTCGTGTGGTCGAGTCAAGTTTATTAGAAAAGTAAAAGTAACCCAGTATCATTGGTAATTAATCTTACTATCAGCGAGTTGCACACCCACGTGCGGATGCGAACAGGGTCACATAGATAATTGACCCGCAAAAGTTGGCTTCTCACGTTAGCTACTCTCGCCACGAGAAACGTTTCACTGTCACCTTCTCCATTTGGATATCACCGTGGTGGATTAATCATCAATAAAGTATTGTCTATGAGAATCATTTTCTGCTGAGAGAAAGCACTTTCTGTTCTATACAAGCATCCTACAAGCATTTCTCTCGTTATTATGTTACACGAAATATGTACAAAACGTCTTGACATCCTTTCCATTTCATCCGCTGCCCATTCAATATCCACATTCACTAAATCAGTAGGATTCGTTCTAACACTCATCTATGTTCGCATCTCTCTTCCTTCTTTTCCTCTCGTAACATTCTACTGCTCTCTGGACCTGTTCTAAATAATCCTGAATCGTGCTCTCCGTTGAGAATTCTCTCGAATCCGATCTGGACAGAGATCTCTTCTGCACAAGAGCCGTGAGCATCAGAGTGACCACTGGAAGAGTCATTCCCAACAGAAACGTTGGCGTCATGATGTTCTTAAGGCCATGTTTCTTGAATCCTCGGTACAATTCCGCCCAAATTCCGTCCTCCTCCTCCTCGTGATACTTACCCAACTTCCCGTACAGATGAGGCTTTATCTTCCCCGTTTTGGCGATATAATTGTAATAATAAGGATCGTACGATTGAGCGTATATCTGAGAATAGTAGACGTCTTTGGATGGCGGTGGTTGATCAACTTCGGGAAACCAAGCGCTGCCGTCTTCGTACGGAACAGGAGGATTGTTCTTCACAGGGAATGGTCCGCGATGAAATCCTGGCGGCTTCGTGTAAATTACTTCAACGGGTGGGCCTTTCTCCTTGAATGGCGCTGCTCGGGAAAGTCGATTTCGAAATTAGCTTCCCAATTAGAGTGGACCTTTATCTCGAAGTAGAATTTATCAATTACAGCATTGGGCGAAACGCGACTCTCACAAACCCCCTAATTAACGCTCTTTTTTTTAACAATGCGAATTGTTAAAAAAAAGTTTCCCTGAAAGATGCACAGTTCGTTAAAAGAAGTTTCCCGAAGAAGATGCAATTCTCGATTGCTAAATCTGTTTCACCACTGTGCGACGGTCGATGCATCTCCAGCTAATTAGGAGATTCGATGAGACTTTGAGTTAGAGTCTCGTGCGTAACTTACTCTTGTTAAGTCTCTCTTAATTAATTCTCGATTACGAGCATCCGTAGTGTCTCACCTGATGGGACAGGACCGACGTAGAATCCTGGCCCGATCCTCGATTGCGCGTAAGGGAACGGTTTCCCTCGCACTCTTCTTACCCGTTGATACCATCCAGGATAGTAGTCGTTTCTCATTTGAATTCCAGGCGCGTACGGTTGCAACGCTTGCTGTTGCTGCATCAGAGATACGGCTGCCGGATTTGACACAGTCGGGCGAGGATCAACCGGGTTGATCGCAGGCGCGCTGTAGGTCGGTTGATTAACCAGTTGCTGCCTAGCTGGAAATGCCTGCAACGCCTGTCTTTGTTGCACGATTTGCGCAGTCAAGTGTTGGTTCACCGGAGAAGACGCGGGTTCCTGATTAACTCGTATTACTGGTTGTTGCGTTAATTGCTGTTGATTGGCGACCGTTGGTTGGACATTCTGGGATGTTTCTCTGCTTTGCAAGTAATAGTTCAGGGACAGGCGCGATTCCTCTGGCGTTTTCGAATTTAGAAAATTGTTCAAAGCTGTTTCGGCGTTGTTGTTGATCGTCGAAGCGGTCGTTTGACTGTACGTATTCGCAGACAGATGACGGCCAGTTTGAACGATTTTTTGTTGCTTCGTTAGCTGTGACAAGTCCTCTTGACTTGACATCAGATGAGTATTTATCGGATCCGCAAATTGAGACACGTTTTTAGCGTCAGGGGATAATAGATGAAAGTTCCGAGAAGATTCGGTCGAGATTCTGGTCACGTTCGCTGCGGTTTTTTCGGAGAATCGCGACTCCACGGCGGTGTACTCCGTGTTCTCTGTCAACGGGTTACCCTCGAAGTTCAATTGACCGTTGGTTAATCCTATCACGAGGATCAACAAGATCATCGTCGCGCTCATCGTTCTGGAATCAATGAAAGACCTACTAACTCTCAGATCTTCTGTCAAACTCGAATCTTTTACGTTCTTAGAATTAGAGGCTTCTAGCTCTTCGAATAGAATTCAATGCAGAAACTTTAAGGGGCAGTTTGTTGACTGGCAGCTTCAATTTGTGTTCTGTGTAATCAGAAGGATCAGTAAATGGGGGAAAACTACTTTGAAGTGTGCTCTCGAAACGTTCCACTTATTGTCGCTAATCAAGCAGGAAAAGAAAACTAGTTATGCAGAAATGTTCACACTGTAACGTTGTTACGCATTTAGAATGATTATCAGCCAATATCTTTTCTTCTGTTATTTACTCTACTTTCTAAGAACATTTTTACTTTCGCGCGGAAAGAACGGAACAGTGTCACTTTTATTATCTTATGTGTTACATTCTCAACTTAAACGGAATTGAGATTCAATTAAAAAATCGATTACGTCAGTCAACAAAAAGGTAGACGCACTGGATATGGTTGTACATTCATGAATCGGCCAGTACAGGTTAAAAACCGGTGTAACACTTTCTTCGGTCAAGGTGAATGTAGTCACGTTGACGCGAAACGTTTCCATTAATCATTTCCCTTGCTATGCCGTTAAGATTACACACCATTATCCCCTTTTTTACAATTGAAATTTTGAGACAATTCTAACAATTTCAGCCAGAAACTCGTGAATCTTTCATGTGCACGAGAAAATCGTAGATCCGTAAAACAGGAGCCGGCCAAATTATGAATCGGGACGTCGAGGCATCAGTATAAGAGGCGTAAATGCTGGATCGTTGAATATTAGCCGTATATCAAAAATCGATCTTTCAAATGGAATGTTTGATGCATGCTCTTGGAACTCGACGAAAAGGAAACAATGAATCATTGAAGAGAAAACTATCGAAATGTTGTTCCGGATTGAAGCGGCGGAAAAAGTCGTCCGGAGAGAGTGGCCACGTTTAAAAATCAGCCCACGTGTACTACACTGCTCTTCGTTAAGAATTCAGGGTCATCTTTGAATCCAATAATTTTTTTTTTTCTTTTTCTTTCAAAATGAGGAAGATGATCGTGCGGTAATTTTTAATTCGAGATAAGACAAAGATATTTCGATGATTCTTCCGCGAATTTAAACGAAATGTCATTCTCCTTTTTGATTGATGCCATTTAAAACAGTTATTAACGACGATCACTGTCCCAAAATATGGAAATGTCACAAATCATCGATAAATGGTTCGCATAGTAATTCGCGAAACTTTCTAAAACCCGTTAATCCATTATGGATTCAGCTATTGGCCGAAATTCAGAAAACAACCTGTTTTCTTCTCTACCGGTTAACACCGATCGTTGACACTGTTCGTGGAACGTGCGTTTTATCAGATTTGTAAAAGTAAACTAACGTTCGGAATACATCAAGATCGCGGTGCATGGATCTTTCTAAGAGCGTTCAGAGGAATGTAACGGGGAAAAATGTGGAAACGCCGCGTAGCGTGAACGATAATTATTCAGCGGAGTCCTAAACGGAAAACGAAACCAAACTGCAGCCTTTTTTGATTAATATCGCTTGATTAACTCAGGTAACCTTTTATTATCTGTATCGTATATCTATTTGTACATTTAAATCGAAAATTTTTGAAAACACTATATCAAGTGAACAACACGTTTAAATATTCTAAATCCTTCCAATCGATCATATTTAATTTGGAATTTCAGATAACAATTCAATCTCGATTTATCACCAATCGAGAAATCGACTATTGTCTCGAAGTGTGTCAAATCGAATTTTAAATTAAAAGCAAATGAAGATCATTCGAATTTTACTCACGCAGTGGCAGAAAACAAAAACAAAAAACACGTCCTATAGGTTCGAGCACTGAATTTTTCGTTCCGTCACTAAATTTTTCAACTACGATCAAACATTGAACATTGAGGAGACCGATCCGGCCGATGTAACAAATAGCACACCGAGAAGAGACCATCCATCGGTCCGACTGGAACCAGAAATACTGAAGATCCACGGATCCAACGAGAAAGCCATTCACTTCGACCACTCTCCCTACCTTCGTCAATCTTGTAATCGCGATTCCTTGTCGTTCGTTACCTGGACGAAATTGCTGTTAACCAACGTGTAATGTTTGGGATCCCATTTTTAATCCTTTTTCTTGACAATGGTCTCTGTTCTTTTGTCTAGAATGTTCGAGAAGAAAGTGGATTGCAAGTGAAAATCGGGGGAAGAATGCAGCAATCTCGAACAGATGACATTCAATTGTTCGAATGCTGGATCTATTGTCATTCGTGAATGAAAATATTTTTATCTCGCTTTTATCGTCATTGTAATTTGATAATATTGGTAGAAACTATGTAATACTAGTAGAAAATACCGAAAATATTTCGAAGTCTTCGGTACTTTTAACTTTTTTATCGTCGTCACGATTGTATCCTCTAATTGTTTATTAGACGACAAAGTGCAGCTTAAAATAATTTGCACAGGTAACTCTTGAGAAACATACGATTCTTCTTCTATAATTGCAACTGGTAAATTACTTTTTCAGCGATCGTTCGATGGGGCCGAACGAGTCGCTGGAACGTCAATTAATTGCACACCATAGGAATAACGGTCCAAAAAAGGAGAACTGCTGCTCGTTCATGAGATTGATGAGAAACTTAATAAGTCGGATCCAATGCACTATTTTCGTCAATCCTGTTTCCTTGATCTACCCACGAACCGTGAAGAGTATGAAGTTACGATCAAGTGTGGCAAAAGACTCACGCCATCGATATAATGCTGTAATCCAGCGTAAAACATTTTTGCACTTTTGTTTACACGTTGCAAGCTTCTCTTTTTTTTCAATTTACAGTGCCGTGAAGACTTTTTAATCGTACGACCGATAACTTTCGAAGAAACGTGTTAACTAATAGAAGAAGTGGGTCGGCCAGTTAGAGTCAGCACCAAGCTGTCGACGTGAATCGGATGTAAACGCGATGCAAAGTGATCATCGAACGATTTCTGTTGAGACAGGAGTAAATCGTACGGTAGTTTAAACGTTTTGTTTGCGCTAGCTTTCGAATAACGACGACATCGTACATACAAGTCTCTCAAACGACACGAATCGCGAGAATTAAGCATCTCGTAACTTATCCGATTCGACAAAAATTACTCTGTTTGCAGATCATAGTGTCGTGCTCGTGCTATTTCATTAGCACATTGGATGCGAGCCGTGATTTTTTTAAGTAGCGAAGGATCAAAAAATGACGGAAGAAATAATACTCGGTTTGATTATGAAGATAGATTGCTGCAGATCTTCTCGTCGCGTGGTCGCACAATTATGCTAATCACGTATAAATCACGCCGCTTCTCCATGCATAATTCCAAGATGAATGGGAAAGAAGCTCTCGATCGAGCACTTTCAGCCAACGGAGATATTCTGCTAAAAATACAACACCTGCGAGCATACGAAAGATCACCACCTGTAGTGAAGATCTTTCTGAAGGATCGTCCACGTAGTGATCCTTGAGTGGAACAAGTGTCGAAGAGCTGTAAATGAGCAGTCACGAAGACAATAGGAGGGGTGACCGACGTCCACGCTTCTCCTCATCCACCCGATGGCGATCGTGCAAGCGAAGCTCCGGACCGAACGTTATATAATTGTGGCAGATTACTTTCAGCGTTGGTCACATGCATGCTGCCGCACTCGGCCGTGCTTACAAACGTTCTCCCGCAGTGGACATTCGGCCATCGAACGACCAAAGCGTCACAGCCACGAGGATGGAACAGCATCGAGGAGAGAATACCAGGATCACGTGGAAACGTCTCAAAGATCTTCTGTTGGATCTTCATTTAAATTCAGATCGTGTGTTTTACTGGTGAGTGGGCATTTACTTCGCGAAGTAATTATTCTTGGGGGATGATTTTTCGATTCGCGGTGGAGTAAGGCTCACACGTGATACTTTTGCGCTTCTTCTGATTTCTTGCTTCAACTTCTACATTATTTGATTCACTTCTGTAACGCATTTCATTCATTGGACTTTTTTGAAAAACTTTTTCTCTCATTTACAGCGAGAATTGACTTTGTTAATTGTCCGCAGAGAGGAAAAAATAGATCGGATGTCGGCAAATTGAACATGATCGCGTTCTTCTGTCGGAAGTACATTATCTCTATTTTCATGGTACTCCTGGCTCGCGTCAGCTGAATTTGCATTGTCACTGTACCGTGATTAGTCTCATTAAAATAACTGGTTGTCTCGAAATGAATTGACATTGAAACTCCGTTAATGGCAACCTCATACGGAGGCAAAGTTAATTGTCAAAGTAAAAAATATGACAAGGCCGTGTTTTCATTCGATTCCTGGACCATTGGGAATTTTCATTCATTGGTATATACTTAACGTTGCAAAAGAATGTCGTGTAAATTCGATTGAAATGAGGTTCACGACTGTTGCTCGAGTTGCAATTAAGGATCAATCAATTTCCACACACTATAGAGCATCTTTTCAATAAGCAATTGATCGAACTATGAAAACATAATAAATCTCGTTTAACTACATTAGCGATGGTCGAGTTTCGGGGCTTGAACCTTATACAATTTAATCCACTTAGGATGAGATCATCACGACCCTCTTAATTAACTGAATCAAGAACGTTGCTTTCGTTCCACGAAGTGGCCTATATTGGCCCATGATTCCTCTGGCGCCACCTTCTACCTTTCTTAATATACCACTTAGGAATCATTTTTCTCATTATCCAATTATATCAAGTAAGATTTCAACAAAGGAAACAAAACCTAAAGTTAATAATTTAAAAAAAAATTCTTCCTATAGAAATTCCTTTTAAGCATGCACCGTGTGCATTATCCCTAGGATAGGTGCCAGAACTAATATATAATGTTCTTATCGCACGCTGTTACTCTCTTTGTCTACAGCGCGAATATGTCTTTCCTTGTCGCACACTGTTGCTCTCTTTGTCTACCGCACAGATATGTCTGTCCTTGTCCCACGCTATCGCCCTCCTCGTTCACCGTGCGTATTAGTCCGTCCTTGTCGCTCACTATTGTTCTTGTCTATTGTGCATGTATCTCTGTCCTTGTTACAGGCTAATGCTCTCCTTGTCTACTGCACGTATACGTCTATCCTTGTCGCACGCTAATGCTCTCCTTGTCTGAGACAAGGAAACGCTAGACAAGGAAAACAATAGTGTGCGACAAGGACATCCTTCGATCTATTGGAAAAAAATTCAACTTTTTACACATACGGTTTTCTAGGACAAAACACACATAGAAAGAAAGCGGGGAGCCTAATTTTAAGGAGGCATATGAAAAAGTTCGGAAATTATTCCTTTTAATTAGGTTTTTCTCATAATTAGTGCGAACTGTCACAAAATGGACATGGTGGCGCCATCTAGCGGTGACTCAGTGGTACTAATAATTTATAAAAATACTTATTTCTGCATTTTACGGGTCAAATGAGGTATGAAAAGAAAGCTAAGTGTCTAATTAGGGTAATACAATCACAAAAATTCGCAAATTATTCCGCTAAATTAGGTTTTTCCGCAAATAAAAACTTGTTTTACAGGAGAAACACGGTGGCGCCATCTATTGATAACTCGGTGCTACTAAAAGTAAAAAATTCTGCTTTTAGTACCACCGAGTTATCAATAGGTGACGCCACCGTTGTGTCGAATGTTATTATGATAATTTATATTTATATCACAATACTACAAATAAATAATAATTCCGTAATTAATTTTAGTTATTTATATAAAAATATTATCAATATCACAAAGTATATAATTACTAATAATTTAATGAAGATTACATAATGGAAGTTAAATGACGAATAATTTCTACGAATGAAAGTTAAATAACGAATGAAGAATTTCTACTATAGCCACAATATATATGTGTCAATAAACATTTTCATGGTGATAATAAAATTAATAGCTATTTTTAAATATTCTATTGTTTATATTAAATACACATCTCGACGGAACGATTTAATGAACATAGATGTCGTTGATCTAAATTCTTCGAAGTAGAGGTCGCTACACTAAACTTTGACAGGTGACAGTTTTTCCACAAATTACGAGAAGAAATTAATTAAGAGGAATCATTTGTGATCTGTTATGGTTGCGTCTTCGATTTTTGAGACCCTGAGCTTGCGTTTTATGTTTTGTTTAAGTATAGTTTACGTATATAAAGAACGTTTCAATTTCGTTTACGTTAGTAGTGGTGCCAATAATTTCGCGCAAATTATAGTGAATGTTAGATTCAGATTTATTTGTAAAAGTAACTGATAGCATTATCTTTGAAATATGTGCTCGTGGAGTGCAAATTAGTAGCGAGAAAAATTAAAATTAATTATTCTCCTTATAGAGCGTTTAGTTCCACTGGTCTACCACAACGCGGCGCTAGTATTTCTTATCCCGTAAAACAGAGAAATTTTCATTTGCGAAAAAACCTAATTTAGCGAAATAATTTGCGAATTTTTGTGATTGTATTACCCTAATTATATCCTTAGCTTTCTTTTCATACCTCATTTGACCCGTAAAATGCAAAAATAAGTATTTTTATAAATAATTAGTACCACTGAATCACCGCTAGATGGCGCCACCATGTCCATTTTGTGACAGTTCGCTTTAATTATGAGAAAAACCTAATTAAGAGGAATAATTTCCGAACTTTTTCATATGCCTCCTTAAAATTAAGCTCCCCGCTTTCTTTCTATGTGTGTTTTGTCCTAGAAAATCGTATGTATAAAAAGTTGAATTTTTTTTCCAATAGATCGAAGGATGTCTTTGTCGCACGCTAGTGCTCTCCTTGTCTAATGACGCTAGACAAGGAGAGCACTAGCGTGCGACAAGGACAGACATATCTGAGCGGTAGACAAAGAGAGCAACAGCGTGCGACAAGGACAAACATATTCTCGCGGTAGACAAGGAGGGCGTGGAACAAGAACAGACATGTATGCGCTGTAGACAAGGAGAGTGATAGTGTACAACAATATAAATTAGTTCCACTATTTCACTGCTATGCGACGCTAGTTTTTTAATGCCTCTAGCGATTAACACATAATTTTTCTTTAGTATACCAGGTTCAAAGATACGAATATTACAAATCTTATAGTGGATGCCGCTTAGCTACGGATCAAGTGCGATCTTTAAGTTAAGCATGCAGCTTGCGAAAATCTCTAGGATGAGTGCCGTTTCTTGGCCCAAGGTAAGAGTTCCTAATGAGCCGAGCGTCTGAGGGTTAGGGGTCGCCGGCATCAACTCTGTTTATGAATCTGGTAGTGACTCTGAGACGGAATACACTCCACCTTCTATATCTTTTATAACCTTACATTATACATAAAATCATCTGCTACAGAAATTTCACCTTTTGTACCATCTACTAACGAGTTGCAAATTGTATATTTTCAGTTATATATAGCTGTATCTATGTATACAAAAATGAAAAGTCCCATGCAAGAGCAAAGGAAGCAATTCCTTCTCTCAATGACCGACTCATTAGATTTTGTTTATTCTGCATGACACTCTCAATCAATAGGTATTCTTAAATTTAAGAATGGATTGGAACCAGACCCATATTCTTTTCAGGGAACTTCTCATCTCTGCACGACACGATGCAAGTATAAGTCATCGTTTTGAATCTTGAGATTATTGAGTTATTACAATTGAATTCGGTAAAAATATATTTAATTTTATACAAAATATATCAAATTTTACAATTTGTTTTGCTTTGGGGATTACGAGAGAAATGATTGTAATTATAGAAGATGAGATTAATTTTTTTTATAGGAAAAATCATTTATGGTGATTTATTTGATTGCCATTTTATGTCTAAACGAGTTCAAATATATTTCATTGCGTTTATGGTATTAAAATCGAAATATTTTAAGTTTTATTACATATTCGTTGTCTTACATTTAATCTTTTTCATGAAGAATAAATTTCGAATTACTCTCTCAACAACTCGTGGTTTTCGTTTTGTTTCTAATGTCCATTAAATTGTTTCTATATACACAAGTATATCAAAATCAAAGTTATTTTCAAGTTATTGTCACATACAAAGTACAATATGTCGTCAATAGCAGCGCCATGGAATGCAAGAGATTAAATTTCATCTTACTATGCAAACTATGGATTCTTTGTCAAAAAATCTCTTTATTACTTAGCGCAGCACTTTAAAAATCGTCTCGTCGTAAATGTCTCGAATGGCACTAACTTTTCATAATTTTCTGTCTTGAAAAAAATGCTTCGCAGGATCGGCTTAAGTATTGGGAAGAGGCCTTGGCTGTGGTTGTTAGTGTGCTTCTGCATAAACTGTATCTGCGCACCTGGACTGTACTTCTGGAGAGAAGAGTTCGATGACATCGAGCTCTTCGTGCCTGATGACTCCGTGATACGCAATGACGCCGCCTGGGTGAAAACACACTTCCGGGACGATTTCCGATACGAAAGTATCATCGTCACGGCCCCCAACGTTTTGGAGCCGGAAGTGCTGCGCTCGGTACATAGGCGATCATGAATTATACGAGTATCTGCGAAGGTTCTTTTCCACTTTAACGCATGGTTCTTGTCAAAATTTGCCAAGACTCACGAGATTTACCTAACACTTGGAATCTGTGAGCTGAACCACTAATGGATTAAGTCAGTCGTTGAGCCGCGTTTTTTCACTTTCAGATTAACAAGATAGAGCACGCAGTGAAATCTATCGTGGTGAATAATAACACATGGGAAGATGTGTGTGCAGGGTAAGATAAAAGTTAAAATTAATCTTCAATGATTTACTTCTTGTTCTTAACTTGAATGATCATATTGAATTACAGATACTTCACGTGGTTCAACATGGACAATAAGACGGACATATTTGAGGACCTTGAGGTCACTGCAGACATCTTGATTGAATTGAACAATACGGTGCTAAAAAATGGATGTATATATCAATCTATTATACAACTTTGGGAAACCAGTTTAATGAAAGATGTTCGTAATTTGACGAAAAGAGAGGTGCTTGATGATGTGACCAAAGCAATCAGACATAAGTAAGTTATTAAATAAGTAAAAAATTCTTCAGCATATATCGCTTCATTTGTTCCAGAATCAACGGTACTATTTTATTAGATGTTGCACCTTTGCTTTCGGGGATTTTCTATGACAAAAAAGGTCGAGTAAAAGGTGCCAACGCAACTATTCTTAATTGGATGTTGAAGAAATCGAATCTAAATTCAGCTAACTGGGAATTAGAGTTCATAAACCGTGTTCTTCATTCGAACATTACGTTTCCTCCAGGAATGGAGATATATGCAATAGCTTCACGAAGTTACATAGACTCTCTGCATCAAATACTGAATAGTAATCTAACAGTATTATGCTGTGGAATCTCTTTGATAGCAATTTATGTAATGGTGATGATCGGTAAATGCAACGCGTTGGAACAACGAATTTATTTGTCGATAATGGGGGTGTTTGTAGTTGGTCAAGCGATTTTGTCCTCTTACGGAGTATGTTATTATTTGGGTTACTCCTACGGGCCTATACATTCCATTCTTCCATTTCTGTTACTTGGTATAGGCGTCGATAATATGTTCGTGATCATGCAAAGTTTGGAAAGTCTTTCAGAAACTGACGAATCTACAGATATACCAACGCGTATTGCTAAAGCTGTCCAACAGGCTGGTACGGTGCTACGTTTTGTCATATTATTTTTAGTATACATAGTTTCTTCTTATCTTTTATTTTTCATTTTTTTAAGGTATGTCGATCACAGTGACATCCTTTACAAACATAATTGCATTTGCCTTTGGTATTACAACTGTGATGCCGACTCTCAGATCTTTCTACGCATTCGCTACGTTAGGAATCCTATTTTTATACATATATGAAATTATATTCTTCGTGAGCTGTCTTGTATACGATGAAAAGAGGCTCGAGACTCGTAAAGACGGTTGCTTTTGTCGGCCTAAACTAAATTGGAAACCCAACGATTGCAGTCAAAGGAACACTCAACAAATTATTTTTGAAAATTATATTGGTTTGGGAATCACTAAAATTACGACGAAAGTAATTATCCTGCTAATCACTGCTGGCTTGTTGTGCGTTAATACATGGGCAGTGTTTCAATTGGAGCAAAATTTTGATCCACTTTGGTATTTAAATCAAGACTCCTACCCCATTCAGTTCAACAATAAATTGAAACAGTATTTTCCGAAATATGGAAAACGAGCAGCGATTTACATGACCGGCGTGGATTACTACGGAGACCGTACATCTCTTTTTCAATTGGTAGAAGTTCTAAGACATAATCAGTTCATTAACAATAGCACCCTTGATCCATGGTTTATTGCCTATGAGGAATGGCTTAATGTTACTAACAAAGGTGAGACTTGATCTCAAAATAATGCGATTGAAACTAAATTAATTGCAAAATTTTTTAGGTGATATTGAAAGCAGAGAAGAATATTATAATATTTTAACTGAATATTTACTTTTAACGAAAGAAGGTCAAGCATATATTAAGGATATCAACTTCGATAAATTACCGGCTGGAGAATATAATATAACGGTATTAATAAATATTTAATATAATTATATTATATTATAGTCATTCGTGTTGCATAGAATTCATTTTTATTTTACTCAGACGTCACAAATTCCTATACAACACATTATGATCAATACAACATCAGAACAAATACAAGCAATGCAACTCGTCAGGGAATCGGTTCAAGCAACGAATTTCTCTCATGGACCTGATTACATAGCAATATTTTCGCCTGATTACGTTTCATGGACGGCGAACAAAGTGAGGATTCTAATTTTTTGTTCAATAGTTGTTATATAATTTAATTGTTACTTTTTCATAGGTCATAGGAGAAGAATTGACCAGGAATTTGGGTCTAGAAATAGTAACCATCGGAATAGTAATATTGATATTCCTTAGAAACTTACGAGCATCATTTTGGGTCATTTGTTGCGTATTCTTTACACTTATTGATTTATTAGGTACTATGTACTTTCTGAACTTAACCATTGAAATGTCTTCGAGTATCATGATTCTATTATGTGCGGGACTGGCGGTCGATTATGCCGCGCATATGGGATTAGAATTTGTACGCGCAAAGGGCAGTAGAGCAGGTAACTAAAAATATAAGTTTTTTAGCATATGAAGTTTAAAAAAAGGGATCATTAAGCAGATACGTTTAAATGGTTTTTAGAACGTGCGATAGCTACACTTTCTATTATTGGTCCAGCTGTATTTAATGGAGGTTTAAGTACGTTCTTAGCATTCGTTTTGCTAGGTTCTAGCGAAGCTTATTTATTCAATACCTTCTTTAAGGTATTATTTAAAAATTTTGCTTACTTTCATCCCTAAAATTTTGTTAATAAGTTTTATAAAAATTTCATCATTTTAGTTATTCACGTGTGTAGTGATATTCGGTCTGTTTCATGGACTGTTATTCTTACCAGTAATCTTAAGCATAGTGGGTCCTAAGGAGAGAGTAAGCAAAGAAAAAAAAGAAACTGTAGTAAGAGAACACAATGGATATTGTAATGTTCCTCTATCTCAAAGTGAGAAAGGTAATATTTTATAAATAAAATTAGAGACCATTTACAAAATATTTTTTTTTTTTTTAATATTTTAGTGATTTCTACTGTTTCAGAAGCAGGGATTGGTACTGCTAAATAAAATTTGACAATGTTTTAAAGACTGCTTAGATAAGTATTTGGTTACAAGATTTTAGAATATAAATTACAATTACAAACAATGCACATGTACTGTAAACAAGTTTGTACATTCTTTGTTAATTCTTACTTTTATAAAAAAAAAAAAGAAAAATGTACCATTCAAAATAATAAATTTTAGTTATCTTCTCCGTTTACGTGTCACTTCTGTCCATTCATCCACAACTTTCATATCGTCAGATGTTTCTTTCTCACTTTCAGAACTATCAGTTTCCATAGCACAAACAGTTTGGATTTCTTTTGCAGGTTTATTCATATCCAGCCATTTTTGTAGCGGCGACAATTTTGCAAACTCTGTCACTGCCAAGCTTTCATGACTTTCAATACAATACCGATAAAATCTCAATAATTCCTCTGCAACTTGCTCTGAACTATTATCTTCAAGTTCTGTATTGAATTGCTCATCTATGTACTTTTCTAATTCATTGGCAATTTCGCTAACATTCAGACCTTCTAAAAATAAAAATATACAAATAATCAATTAGAAAATAATTGAAATAAAAATACAATAAAAAGAAAGGAAAGAGACGAACCGTTCATGTACATAACCTCTGTCATGTACGAGCAAAAATCTATTACCATTTTTTTTGTACCCATATTATGTTCCACTACCATCTAATAAAAAAATATTGCCAAACAAATAAGATATAATTACATTATTTGTATATAAATATTTTATTGCAAATTTGAGAAAATTAGTACTTACTCTTAATGCAGTCCAATTACTGAAAATACGTTGTACAACCGAAAGAAAAAATTCTTTTGTGTTTGACATTTTATTTATATTATACTTTATTTTATAAGAAATAAGAAATTCTAACACTTACTAATAGTATTAATAATAATAATTAATTACAATTATTTATTGTACCAATGATTGTACACTCCGCACGTTGCATTGGCAAATCAGTCATGTGTTTCCAATTTTCAAGTAAAGCTAGGTTGTTAAGATCAGATTAGGTTTTACATTATAAAGTTGCTCGTAGTTTATATATACTGAAATTTTTAAATAGAAATGTATTTCTAAGCATTTTACATTGTTTTTATCAGTATTATAAGGTAAATATTCATATTTTAGTATGTAAGTGTAAAAAATAACATGCAAATAGTTACTTATTTACTTATATATAATATTTCCTTTAAACAATTTGTCATAAAGATATGTCAGACGCTTTCGAAGAAATACAGGCAATTAAAATAAAAAGAAATAGTCTACGGGAAAAATTGCAGAAAAGGAAACGCGAGAGACATGAGTTATTTACTCTTACTTCTACAACATCAGTATCATCCACCTTAACAAATGAATCACTTCTTTCCAGTGGTAATTAATTAATTAATTTTATTTATTTCTTTTCATATATTTTGAACTAAATTTTAAATATGATTTTAAAGTTGTATCTAACTACTGGAAGTATGATATAATTCTTTGTCAGATTCAGTGGGACATTCGCACCGATCTGACCATAGTGAATATGAAAGAGATGTGTTATGTATTTTACACGAATCACTACCTAATTTACCAATCACATCTGCAGAATTAATAGATCAACTTCGTAAAAATCTCAGTGCAGATATATCTTCTTCAGATATTCATAAAATTTTAGAAAAACTTGCAGCTCAAGATATTGTTAAGTTAGTAAGTTTCTGCATTATCCCGTATCAAATCTTCATATACAAATAAGTAATTGTTGGCTTTTTCAGAATCAAAGAAGTAACAGAAAATGGTGTGTTTGGATATACAGTGTTATCAGTGGCAGAGTCACAATCATCATATCAGTCTCAATCAGATGATACAGAAAATGCAGAGAGTGCAGAAACATCTGCATCTGAATTGAATGACTATGTACCTGCGGAAAAGCAACAGAAATTAGATAAGAAAAATACAGAGGATATAATGTCACTTATATCAATGCCTACTATTAGAGAAAAAGAAAATAAGAAGGTTGGAGAACAAATTTTAGATTTGTTGTCAAAGCAAACATCTAAGGAGAAATCACTAGCTGAAAGATTTCGGTCTCAAGGAGGAGCGCAAGTTATGGAGTTCTGTCCTCATGGCACAAGGGTAGATTGTGTCAAGTTAAATGGTGGACCAGGGTTTGCAGAAAAGTGTAAAAAACTTCATTTCAAAAAAATTATTCAAAGTCACACAGATGAATCCTTAGGTGACTGTAGTTTTCTTAATACTTGTTTTCATATGGATACATGCAAGTATGTATTCTGAATTTTTAATTATAATATAAAATCATTCTAATTTTTATTTTATTAAAATATTTTATTATGTAGATATGTTCATTATGAAGTGGATGGACCAACAACTCAACCAAAAGAATCAAATGAAACAGATAATGCAAATAATAGTACAGTGAATAAAGGTTTAACAATAGATAGTAAAAATGGTAGTAGTACTGCTTGCCCAACTCCTAGTGCTTCATTAGGTAGTGAATTGACTCTTTATCCACCACAATGGATACAATGTGATTTACGTTATCTTGATATGACTGTATTGGGTAAATTTGCTGTTATAATGGCTGATCCTCCATGGGACATTCATATGGAATTACCATATGGTACCATGTCAGATGACGAAATGAGACAATTAGGTATACCTGCTCTTCAAGATGAAGGTCTCCTATTTTTATGGGTAACAGGAAGAGCAATGGAACTTGGGAGAGAGTGTTTACAGCTGTGGGGATACGAAAGAGTAGATGAAATCATATGGGTAAAGACTAATCAATTGCAAAGGATAATAAGAACTGGCAGAACAGGTCATTGGCTAAATCATGGTAAAGAACATTGTTTGGTCGGCATGAAAGGAAATCCAAGAATTAATCGAGGTTTGGATAGTGATGTTATCGTGGCCGAAGTTCGTGCAACCAGTCACAAACCTGACGAAATCTATGGAATTATTGAACGTATGAGCCCAGGAACTAGAAAGATAGAATTATTTGGTCGACCACACAATGTTCAACCTAATTGGATCACATTAGGTAATCAAGTAGATGGAGTTCACTTAATTGATCCCCAACTTATTAAAGCCTTTAAAAAACGTTATCCAGATGGAAATTCAATGAAACCTAGTAAACCATAAGCATTTTAGACAATGTAATATAAGTGAATAATTATTTTATTACAAATGTTATAAGAACAAAATTGTGTTTAATAAAACTTGAATATAAATTCTTGACTTTTATTTTTTTATTCTGTTTTAAGAGATTCGTAAAAAAATATTTTTACTTTTTAATTATATATACGTGTGTATAATTGTATAAATTATTGTTTGCAATTACATTAACCGATTCCTTTTCTTTGACTTAAAATTAATATCAAAAATGTTTGTACATATTTGTTACAAAAATTTAGTTCATGCCTTACTGTGTATTTACATCTATATATATATATATAATTTTCATGTTAGCACCTCTATTATATTTAAATATATGAATATACGTAGTTTATATATTTTATACTAATACTATTTGTTTTAAAATATGTAAATAATACATAGGTAAGTACATATGTCAATATAAATAATATTCAAAACTGGAATGTAATCAGCTTAATGAAATGTTAGTTTACGATACAAAAATATTTCTACTACAATTGAATTAAGCATTTTTTAACAGATCTAAATCATTTCTATTTATATATAATAATAATGTAGTGAATAGTAATTTAAAGTTATTGATGTTAAATAAGACTAATACTGTTACGCTTTTGTTTTAAAAAACTCTTTTTTAATGTTAATGAAAAATTATTTTCACTTATTTTATTCATAGACCTAGTAGATCGATTTGTTTTTGTTGGTGTTAAAATTTTTTCATTTTCCTTTTCATTGTCAATTACATTTTGTATTGAATTAATACTGCATTTATAAACTTTACTGAATGAATCAATCCAATGTCTTTTTCCATGTCCATCTTCTGTTATTAAAATGTGATCTCCAATTTTAAATCCATAGCATATATCAGATTTTTCATCTGTACTTATAGATATTTGTTCTTTGGGTACAACAGGACAAAATAAATTGTACCTTTTAATTGCAGATCTTGTACCACGAGTTATTGCAAAACCAGTGTTAAAGAGAAAGCACTGAAATTTCTAAAAATCATTATTTCTTCGCATGTGTATATAAATTTATATTAAATAAATGATTAAATCAATTACAAAATAATCTTACCATTCCCCTTGTATCTTTAAGCTGTCCTTGTGTGATTAATTCTGTTGCATTTTCAATGCATTTAGTAGGGTCATAATCTAATTTTACATTAATTTTTGACTGAGCCAATTGACATTCTGCATCACCCATGGTTTTATCTATATTTTTAAGTAAATTAGATATCAAATCATATGCTTCTTTCAAAAATGTTTGATCTATATGTGTCACTATAGTATGCCTTAATATTTCCTTAATCAATAAAGGATATTTAACAATTCTTGATCTTGCTACGTCTATATAAGTCCATAAATCCACTGAATGAGGAAATTCTAAACGTTTTTTTAAAAAAGATTGAAAACGTTTATTTGTTGATCTCTTTTCATCCAACAAATGTTTTGCCCATATTTGCGTTCGGCACCTTTCCAAGTATGGTTTTGTTAATATTGGAATCTATAAAAATTACAATAAAATAAATACATTAATTTATAAATTATATTAAACATTTAATACATTAATTATAATAACTAACCCAATTCAATATTGTAGATCCAACAGTTTCTGTAAATCCATATTTATCTCTTAGATCAATTAATTGATTTTTTAATCTGCTATGTATTTCAATAAGTTGTGTTATATCTCCAAAGACTGTAACTAATTCATCAGAATTAAATATACCACTAGATAGCAGTGGCTCATAGTAAAAATCTTTAAGAACACATAAATCACTAATGAATACATTTTCTCCACAATATAACTCATAAATTGCTTCTTGTCTTTTTATTTCCTTCCTACTTAAAACATAATTAGGCTTGTCCTTGGTATTTATGTTTGCTACATCAAGTATCCAACTCTTAATTGTAAAATTATTAGAGTTTTCAATATTATCCTTGTGCCTTAAAAAAAATGTTGGATTAAATAAATATCCTTGAATTATATAAAAAGTTAATAATTTTTGTAATTTAAAATTGTTTTTTATACTTTTTCTTTAATGTTCCTGTGTCTGCCTCATTATTCACAAATGACAAATCTGGTGTACTTGGTTGAATTGTGAAAGATCTATGTAAACTGTTTCTTTGTTTACTACCTAGAGTAGACGAGGAAAAAATGCTGCTGGCCACTTCTGTAATTCTTCTTCTCTTCTTCTTTTTGCTTATATCTGAGTCGATAGATATGTCCATTGAACTGATACTGATGGCATCACTTTTTGGACGTTTTCTTGTTCGCTAATTTGTGATCAAAATATCACTTTTATTATCACAAACGGAAACAATTTGTGGAAGACGTAACCAAATAGAAAAGTATTAAATATCACCGGTAATTCGACAACCAAAATAAATATAGAAAATTTAACATGTAATTCACAAAATTAAGAAAATAAAAAAAAAGTTATAATGTCATTAAACGTCGATTAAACTAACACAGGTTAATCACGCAATATGTTTAAAATATTGTTGACAGTATATAAAAACTTACCAGCCAAAATTTTTTTCGAGGTTCTTGGAATGCATCTTTATTTGTATTATTACTATCATCGTACATTTTTTAAAAATTTTTCGAAATTCACATCGATTTGAAATACACACAGTTATTATGAGATAACCGTTGAACTACTCGAGCCTTCTCAAGTAAAACGATCCATCAGTGCAAACTTGGCAAACGCTACAACTTTAAAATGTTTTCTATTTATTTAAAAATAATAATTTCTTTCATAGTATTTTTTATTCTTACGGTATTATTTGTAAGGTAGGAAAATTTTCACATTGTTTTAATTAATAGAGATGTTGTTTAGTTATTAATTTCCCCTATCTTTTATTTGAAAGTACATGTAACATATATGTATGTGTAATCCATGTTTGTGCAATATAAAATAAACGAATATTTTCTAAATTTAATTTGTGTTAAAATACTTTTTTGATTTGTACTATTATTGAGTGGAAAAACCGAATATGCAAAAATAAGTTTCATCTATAGATTTATAATAGTTTTTGTTTAATTATGCACATTCAGAAAGGAAAAAAATGACTGAAACCATTTCCAAACGTATAACTGTTTTGAATTTGTGCCGCCATATTTAAGTTGACATATTATCTAACATTTTGTAAATAATCTCACTTAATATTTGTTTATTTCTATATTAGATTTGAGGTAGACATAGAATATTTCATTATTCAATAAAACTTATTTCTTTTAGAGTATTTATATTTGTTTTATCTTGTTTTAAACACGTGTTGAACTGAGAGGTTAGTGCAGATAATATACACTAGTACAGATAGTGCAGACTTAATATGTCTCTACAAATTTCTGGTATATTTATATCCACTTTGTAATTATAATCTTTTTCGTATTAATTTTCTTTTAGGAAAAAGGAACCACAAAAAGAATACCATTCTAAAAAACAAATTATGGATGAAAAGAATATAGAAACTGCTCAGTGTATGATCCCATACACAGAACGTAGTGCATCTGGTCGCAATTGGGAAATATTTAAAAGTTTAACATTTAATTCATTACCACTGAATTCAGAGATTACTAGCAAGGAGAATATTAAAAAGAAAATATCTCCGCATCAAAAATCAAAGAAGAAACATCATTCATCTGTATCGAATATGGATTATATAACACGTAACGAAGAAATAGTTTATGATGAAAATAAAAAGAAGCTAACAAAACAGATAGCGATAGATTGTGAAATGGTTGGCATAAGGGATGGCATTGCAAGCATGTTAGCTAGAATATCCATTGTGAACCGGCATGGTTTTTGTGTTTATGATAAATATGTGAAACCTAGAGAACCTGTTCAAGATTACAGAACTAAAGTTAGTGGTATTAGGCCTGATAATCTTCAAAATGGAGAAGAGTTTGAAATTGTTCAAAAAGAAGTAGCAGAAATTTTAAGAGGTCGCATTTTAGTTGGTCATGCATTGAAACATGATCTTGATGTACTGTATCTTTCTCATCCAAGAAAATATCTGCGAGATACTTCTAGATTTAAAATTTTCAGGCAAATATCCAAAGGAAATACTCCTAGTTTAAAAAAACTTGCACTTGAATTATTGGGTAAAGAAATACAAACAGGAGAACATAATTCAATTGAAGATGCAAGAGCTGCAATGCAATTATATGTGCTGTACAAAAATAAATGGGAATCTGAATTTTATTCTAAACGATAATATATCATTGTGAAGAATCTCCTTTATTGAAGAATTTTGCAAACCATATGTACATAGTATACACTTTATTAACACTCATAAACATTTATTTAAAAATTTATCTTTCAAATACAAAATTATAAGAAACACACGGAAATTGTTTATATATGTATATATTAATTGTATAAAATAATTATATATCTGACATTTGAATTTTTCTTACGATTATGATTTAGTCAATCAATTTTCAAATTTGAGTTCATAAGCTTTGAATCTATTTATATATATATATATATGTTTCATTCGAATATCAATAGATAAATAAAATATTATCAGAATGTATAAAAAAATTATGTTAAAAATTTTAAAATATATTTCTCTTTTAATAGATTTTACATGACTATATATTCATTTTAATGTCAATTATTGCAAATAATTAAATTAAATGTAGAAACATCATTTTTAAATATGAACAATAGAAACAGCAATAAGAACAATAGGAAAAAAAATTATAATTTTCCGTTATCATTGTTTCTTATGATGTTTCTATGAACATTTATTAGTAGAAAACACTACTTTTTATACTATATAAAATATCTCATTTTTTTCATAAATTTTTAATCACTAATCAAGATATTGGCGAGATAAAGCGGGCCCATGGTTCTGTGGCGCCAAAATACTGTAAATACATTTTCGCTAGATCTTTTGTTTTTTATTTGAATAAAAACCATTCTCATATCTTTTATAAAGTGTTTCTTTTTCAGAAATGTTCTCAGAATCTGACATCTAGTCAGTATGTTGCATTATTACGTGCTGCATAAAGAATTTTTTAGAAAACTGCAAGATTTTCTTGACCAAGACTTTGTGCATCTGCTTTTTAAATTTTGATGCCAATTTACAATTATTTGGAATTAAAATTAAAATTATAACGAAATGTTATAACTCTTATACTGATAAGGAAAATCTCTTTTATCATTTGAGATTGAATACTCTATATTTTTAGTTTTCATGTAATATGCTACTTTTGGAAAAATTTGTACATTTTCACAAAAATTTTTTTTTTACTGAAAATGAGAGAGGAATTCTATTTTCGAATTTATATTTATAACAGGATATTATACGAGGATTTTTTATTATAAAAACATATTCTAAAAATTTTATAGATAATTTCGTAATTTATCGAAATTATAACATTAAAATTATTGATGACTACAATTTCGTTCGCAGTTAAAACTTTTGTATCAAAATAGTTATATCAAAGTCTAATGTTTATAAAATACATTGATTAAAAATATATGTTATCTGTTGGATTTGAAAGATGCTGTTGTAATGTTATCAGACTCTATCTCTTTTATCTGTTATGAAATACATGACATAGTACTACAAAAAATGATATATTTTTATCTTTAATATATTATTCTATAATGATATATTTTTGTTATATTAGTTTATATTTTTCTTAAAATAATTAATTCAAACTTTTTATATGTAAAAGATAATATATAATTTTATATATATTTTATATGTAAAAGATAATATATAATTTTATATATATTTTATATATAAAAAATAATATATAATGAATTTCTACTAAATAAATGTTGGAAACTACTAATTACGTGATACCACGAAAAAAACCTGAGAACAATTCAAAATTCCTTTAACGTTTCAAGGTTGATGTAACAGCAGATTTCCAAAGATGGAATAAGGTCGCTGATAGTTATTTCTTCTCGCAACAAGAATTTTATACGTGTATCTCTTATATAGTAAACATATAGAATACATGACGACCTTGTTATCAGCAGTAGCCACTTTTTGAACGATACATTTTAACTTTGATTATTTCGCGCTGAGCATTTCGTATTTATTCACTGACCGTAATACATGGTTTCTACGAACAATTCTGTGCGAGATTATTTGATTTTATTTTCTTGTAAGTAAATTGTTACATCAATCAACATAACTCGCATTCTATTAAATTAAAATAATTTATAATCAAAAGTCGTTTTTTTTTAAACACATATATGTACATACAATGATCTTATGAAATGTGTCTTTCCATAATGATTCTAAAAAGTTCATCAAAAAAATTGTTAATTATTACAATATTTTTTTATATTTTATTCTAAGTTTTTGATTGAAATATATTTTACTATTCAAGATAAGAAAGTTAGTAAGGAAAGTGTTCTGCAAGAGAAAAAAGAAGGAACGTTCGTGTTTATAACTTTCAATCGTAGTACCTTTCCCATATGTAACTTGACTACATATAGTATATCAGTACAGTATAAGCTGTCAATGACAATCTACATCTTCAACATTTGATTTCATTTTAAGAAATCAATGATAAGTAGTATACGTTAAAAACTATCTTTTATATCGTAACTTGATCGTGATCGAATGAAAATAATAGCCCTCAAAAGAAATTATAATCGTGCATTAAAAGTTCGAGAAAGTGTGTTAGTAAAAAAAAGTGTATTTAAAAATTTACAGATTTTATCAAATTCTTATGAAATATGAAGATCGCTGTGATCGGTGCTGGATCAGCTGGTCTTGCTGCCCTACGGCATTGCACTTTCGGTACATATGAGGTAGTATGTTATGAAAAAACAGACCAAACAGGTGGTACGTGGGTTTATAGGGAAGAGACTGGCTTAGATCGATACGGTTTACCAATACACACTAGTATGTACAAAAATTTAAGGTAAGTTAATTATAAAAAAACATTGAATACATGATAAACTGTTTATTACATTAATTTTTAATAATATATTCTGTTGTTTGTATTATATAGAACGAATCTTCCAAAGGAAGTGATGGGATATCCTGATTATCTTGTTCCAGATTCCCCCGACAGTTATTTAACTCGTACGCAAATACTTGAATTTTTAAATTCGTATTGCGATCATTTCAAACTTCGACAATATATTCGGGTACTGTATAATTTTTAAGGATACATTATATTATTTTTTATTATTATATAAAAAGTATGTAAATGTACATTTCGTAGTTTTTACACAATGTTGAATTAGTGGAACCATCGAAAGGTGACCGGAAGTGGACGATTAAAGTAAGAAATCTGAAAGAAAATACCATCGTAACAGAATTTTTCGACGCAGTTATGGTGTGCAATGGTCATTACTTCGAGCCCAGTATACCAAATTTAAAAGGGCAGGAAACTTTCCAAGGACAACAATTGCATAGCCATGATTACAGAGTGCCGGATATTTTTACCGATAAGACTGTAGTTGTACTTGGCGCCGGGCCTTCCGGTATGTGACATTGCTTGTGACCTTTGGTCTTCCTTTTTGCGTTATAAAATATTTTCTTAATACTGTTTTTTAAATAAACAGGAATGGATTTGGCTTTGGAAATATCAGGGAAAGCAAAGTGTGTGATTTTAAGCCATCATTTGAAGGACCCTATAGGCACTATATTTCCTGAAAATGTTGTTCAGGTAACTGATGAAAAGCAAATAAAACACATTAAGAGGTAAGAAACCTTATCCAAGTTTCAATTTTTTAGAAACCAGATATAAAAGAAGTAACCGAACACGATGTTGTTTTCGAAGATGGTAGTAAAGAACCCGTAGATGTGCTTTTTTATTGTACAGGTAGATAATTTTAATTAAACTTTATTTATAAAGCGGCAATTTAATTATCTTCTTTTTTTTCTTTTCGATCAAAGGGTATAAATATAGCTTCCCCTTTTTGAGCGAACAATGTGGAATACGGGTAGATTCCAATATGGTGACACCATTATGGAAGCATCTAGTATCGATTGAAAATCCCACCCTGGCCTTGGTCGGTCTTCCCTTCTATGTTTGCGCTTTTAGCATGTTCGACCTGCAGGTACGACTTAAAGAAAAACTGATGTTATAGCATTTTTTTTATCGCATGGACTAGTTTAGTATGGGTCACTATTTATTGATCGAAGGTGCGTTTTCTCCTACAATATTGGTCTGGCAAGAAAGACTTTCCTTCCAAAGCGAATATGTTAAAAGAAGAAGCGAAAGAATTGGAAAATCGCAAAAAGGAAGGTCTAGGAAAAAAGCACTTTCACTTGATGGGATTTAAGCAGGATCATTATTATGATGATTTGGCAAATACTGCAGGAATAACACCACTGCCTCCGGTTCTTACAAAATTGCACAACGAAAGCAGTACGCGGTTCTTAGATGATCTGGTGCATTATCGAGAAAGTAGATATAAGATCATCGATGATTATAATTTCATTCAACTTTGACAATGTATTTTACTCGTGATACAAAATAAATATTTGCCGATCTTATGCAATTAGTGTAAAGGTATTTTGTGCTGGATATATCCAATTATAGAGATTATGTAAGATTATGTAAACTGAAAACTACTTTCTTCTTTTATCTTCTAATAGGAGTGGTATATGAATTATAAATTGGTTTGTTATATGATAACATAATCATAAAATTAAAAAAAAATATTTTGTATCAAAACGAGAGTGGAATTTTATTCTAAATATTTTTCCAAAATAACTTGGATTCTCCTAAATATGTTTTGTGATTGAATGTCGCGCCATGAATTAATGCATGATCCAACCGCAAGGTGATGCATGAACGTAGACATTAGTTAAATGCCTCGGTTGTGTGTATGCAGTATCGACTGTGATGTAGCTGTGTAACGAATGCACGAGTACGTTTCACTCCATTATCATTTCGAAATGATGAGTATTTCCGCGGTCCCGAAGTGATTCAGTGCCGAAATATTTCAGACCGTTTTTGACGGCTGATCCACGATGGTTGAATCAATCGGGAAGCATATCGAAAGAAATCAACGTAAGTAAGTTTTTGTAAAGAAAAGTATCTGTGGAATATATATTTTCCTAGTTCACGCTATCATTATTTTCTATTTGCTGAATTTCTATATGCTACTTTGATTATACTTGTACACGATTGTACATGATATTGAAAGCAACGTATCATTGCATAGTAGAAATCTTGTTCGATCTTTTACCGTGACAAATAGTTTTATTTACGTCGACGAGTCGGCGACGTTGCTTTTCTAGATAGAAAGTTGCATTCAATGATGCACGATATGTGGGCTACGCACAGGCTCTCTCGGGTGAATGCATTCGTAAGAATGCATTCACGTCCGCCGTGTGTGTTCTTCTTCTGCTTTATATAATTTTACTACGGACACCTGTCCGTCAGGTTCTCGAGTATCGTATCAATATCGGCATTTGGAAGAGAGTGTCGAGGAAGCTTAGCTACTGTGTAGCATTTTCATTTTTGTTATCAATTCAAATATTTAAAATAACGAATAAAAGAATTTTATCCAATCAGGATAATACGATCTGCTAGTAACTAATCCTGAAAAAATGAAAAAAATGTTTTAGAATGTCGGGTGAAATGTGTGTTATATTCGTGAAATATAATCCATGATTCTGATACGGTGTGTTTTCTTCTGACGATATTTCATTTCGCATTTTGTTGTACTATTGTCTTACATATAGAATTTATGAATTATGGCAACCGGTTGTTAATTGCAATATAAAATATTTGATTTAAATTTAATATATGTGTGTGTATTTTCAGATTTAATTCTTTTATTATTTATAGGATATTAAGGTAGTACTAAAGAAATGTAAAATGGCTACAAAAACAGAAGATACATCTATTGATAATACTAATGATGGTACAAAAATTATTTGCTATTGCTTCTAATTGTATTTGTAAGTATTGCATGCTATTACAGTACGTGTAATTTCAGGAGAGAGCATGGATAAAGAAGTACTAGCAATTAGTGGAAGTGATGAAACTGATCATCGTATTCCACCAACATATTTGTATAATTCAGGTTCTGAGCAAAATACAGGACTATCCAGTCAGGACCAAACCAATAGAAATCGTACTCAAGCTACAGAAGATCAATTAGGACCTCTACCACCAAACTGGGAAAAAGCTTATACAGATACAGGAGAAGTTTATTTTATAGAGTATATATAATATAAATTATATGCTTTTGGAAATAAATTATATTTATTATAAAATTATATAAGTTAATATTGTTGATTATTTTACAGTCATAATACAGGTACTTCTCACTGGTTAGATCCACGTTTATCTAAGTTTCAAAAAAGATCTCTTGAAGAATGTCTGGATGATGAATTACCATATGGTTGGGAAAAAATAGATGATACTCTTTATGGTACATATTTTATTGATCATGTAAATCGTAGGACTCAATATGAAAATCCTGTATTGCAAGCTAAAAGGGCGCAACAAAGTTTAGGAGAGAGAAAGAGTCCTAACTTTACAAGAAATCCTGATAAATTAAAAGGCCAAAGAATCAGAACAACTTTGATAAAGAGTTCAAGAGGATTAGGATTTACAATTGTTGGTGGAGATGACTCAGTTGAGGAGTTTTTACAAATTAAAAGTGTGGTACCAAATGGTCCAGCATGGTTAGATGGAAAATTACAAACTGGTAATATATAATCACATAAAAAGTATTGTTCTTTATCATAGAGCAAGAGTTTCTTCCAATTTGAAATTATATTACAGGGGATGTATTAGTATATGTTAATGATACATGTGTTCTGGGTTTTACACATAATGAAATGGTAAATGTTTTCAAATCAATTAGTAGTGGTGAAACTGTTGCATTGGAAGTGTGTCGTGGTTATCCATTGCCATTTGATCCAAATGACCCAAATACAGAAGTAGTTACGACTATTGCTGTTAATGCACCAGGTAACAATCTTGCCGAATCATAGCATATTTTTGTTAGAAGAATAAATTTTATTTTCTCAGATATTTTAACAGAAGATCCCAGAATGTATATGGATTTAAACCCTGCTCTGCAAAGTAATGGCCGTTTCAATTTTTTGGATTCTACATTCTTGCCAGTACATAGTCTTCAAAATGGTGAAAATCTTGCTACAACTTCTGTCAATTCAATGCCAGATCTTTGTATTTCGGATAAGATTAATACGATTAAGAGACCTAGTAGTACAGATATATTATTATCTGAAAGCAATGATTTGAATGATTGTAAAGACTCATCAATGTCTTCCAAATCAGAGTTTCTCAGTATTGCTATTGTAAAGGGTACCATGGGATTTGGATTTACAATAGCAGATTCAGCTCATGGTCAAAAGGTTAAAAAAATTTTAGATCGTCAACGTTGTAAAAATTTAATGGAAGGTGATATTTTAGTAAACATAAATGACATTAATGTAAGAAATATGTGTCATTCAGAGGTAGTACAAGTTTTAAAAGATTGTGCTCGCAATGAAGAGGCATTGATACATGTACAGAGAACAACATCCAAATCGAACGAAAAAAAGGAAAAGAATTCACAAGATTTCTTTAGAAGTAAAACACCGACAGCTGATATTTATAGTACTCAAACAAAAACTGTTGTTCCAAGTCGACCAAAAACCCCACTTATCGATACTAGGAATCGTCCAAAGTCTCCACCCAATGCAATCAGATCAAACTGGAATGAACAAAGCGAGAACGAATTAAATCCACTCGATAATCGATACAAATATTCAGAATACACACATAGCATGTATTATAACGATCCGTATAAAGCAAATATTGCAAATTTATCTGACAATTTTGTTACAATGACAAATTTAGATGATGAGTCTGTAAGAAATGGCATAAAAAGAGATTGGGTTACAAATGATAAATTAAACATAAGTAATGATGTATATTCTATTGATATACCTCACCATGACAACATGTTAAAACAAAATGGATGTTTACATTCAGACTATTATAAAGATTTGTATACATCACAGTCCCATTCTCAGTATAGTGAACAGGATTATAATGTATATTCCATTGGTCAAGAACAAAATGTTGATACTGGTGAAATATGGGATAAACGGAAAGAGACTACTAGTTTTGAGCATGAGCAACCACATTCCAGTTCAATACCACGGTAAATAGTTTGGATTCATTCAGTTTATATTCTCATTAATTATAGTTCTCATCCAAATATAAAAATTATTTTTCATATTTTAGATATCCTCAATATAGCAACGAGTTAGTGTGTCCGATGGTGCCTGATATAGAATGGATAGAAACATTGGTAACTTTAGTAAGGCAAGATACAGGATTTGGATTTAGAATAGTTGGTGGTACAGAGGAAGGATCTCAAGTGAGTTAAAAAATTGCTTACGCTTTCAAGTGAAAGAAATCAAAAGTATTGATAATGTAATTGTCAGCAGGTTTCGGTCGGACATATAGTACCTGGTGGGGCAGCAGATTTAGATAACAGATTAAATACAGGTGATCTAATAATGTCTGTCGATGGTGAGAGCGTCATGAATTCGTCACATCATCATGTCGTTCAGTTAATGATAGCTGCCGCACAGAACGGTAGAGTCACTCTAGGAATTCGTCGTCGAATTAACACTCAAGAAAATCTTCAAACTTCATATAATAGACAAATGAATCTCCAGTATCCTTATGACGTGACGGTTACTAGAATGGAAAATGAAGGTTTTGGTTTTGTTATTATTTCCTCAGTTAATAAAGCCGGTTCGACAATAGGTAGAATAATTGAAGGTTCACCCGCGGAAAGATGCGGGCGATTAAATGTTGGTGATCATATTCTTGCCGTTAATCATGTAGATATTACAAATGTTTGTCACAAAGACATTGTGAATTTAATTAAAGACTCGGGTTATTCCGTTACATTAACAATTGGTTATCCTCTTGATGATTGTTGTAGTAATACGTCTCTATCTCAAAAGGTATTATATTAACTATGAAATAATTTGTAATTAAATTCAATATATAATCAGTTATAAATACAGTGTTTAATAAATTACTTCAGGATGAACTAACATGTGATGGAGATGGAGGTCAATATCATGCTGTGGAATTGACTCGTGGAACTAGAGGATTTGGTTTTAGTATTCGTGGGGGGCGTGAATTTCAAAACATGCCATTATTTGTTTTACAGATTGCAGAAAATGGCCCAGCATCTATTGATAATCGATTAAGAGTAAGTGTGATGATATCAAAATATAATAATTATATAATTGATATAATCGATATTTTTTTAGGTCGGTGATCAAATAATCGAAATAAATGGAATTAATACTAAAAATATGACACATACAGAAGCTATTGAAATTATACGAAACGGTGGACCATCCGTTCGACTTTTAGTTCGACGCGGTTGTCAGATGCCTTCAGTGGTAGGTGCTCCTCCACACCTCTACGATATGAATATATGAAATTAACCATCCTGAATAACATTAATATTAAAAACATTAACGATATTTTGCAAGTGATGATACTAACATTGCCCTTTTATAATTTTCCTTGATAATTTTACTTGAAGTTTCAGAGTTTAATATTAGGTATTATAATATAAAAAAAAAAACATTTAAAGACAACATGAAAAAAAAAAAGAATGATTGCAAGAAGTTGTTTTATTACAGTGAGAGTTAGATTAATACACTCACACATACACATACACACACACACACTGTTTTATAGTACTATATCATTTAGTACAGAAATATCTGGTGCAAATGGGAAACAGTGTTATATTGTATATTTTATGGAGTTGGTTATACATATATGTAGGTATGTAGTAAGATATATACTTTTTATATGCGACACATTGAAATCAATTTTTACGACACTCACATGTCCAATTTTTATATTTGATAATGTGACTAGAGCTTCAAATTATACATATTGCAATTCAACAATATTAATACAAATGTAGACATGATTGTTGATTCTCAATGAATATAATAGTATTAATATTAATTATGTATTAATTATAATATGTTTTAATAATTAAAATAAGACGTTTTACATACTTTTAAATTGAAGGAAAGAATATATGAACGACTTTTCTTGCAGCTGAATATGACTTGTGAAAAGTCCGATTTATAGGGATGATACTCATTCTAACAAAATTGGACTGGTGCTAACTCTATTTAAATTATCTAATTTCTGAAAAAACAAAACATTAATTCATCCTAACACGTGTGATAGCTTGAGAGTATTGTGCCTTACGCGTGTTCCATATTTAATAACAAAATTACTAAGCAAAAGCTTAAGCTTCTGGAGTAATTACAAATTTTTTTTATTAAACTTTATTGTAGAGTAATCTCACAATCGACCAAATAAGTATTCGACCGATTGATGAGGGCACCCCACGCAGACATTTATTGAAATTACACGAGATGGGTGTGTACCCTAAAAAACGTCAGAAAGTTCGATTTTTTATTTTACTTAACTGTTGTTCATCTAAAAACAAATATTTATGATATGCAGCTATTTGACATAAACGTAATATTTTATTCATAATTTCGTATTAGAGATCAATTTTTGGACAAAGAATTTTCAAGATCTTTACTATTAGATTATTTTCGATTTTTCATAATGTAATTGTGTATTGAAATTCATTGTATAAACGTGAGTTAATGCGACCAAATACGGTAAACTGTGAATGTTAATGGAGTATGATCTATTTGTAATAGCAAATAGTATTGATACCCGTGAAACATACAGAAGTTACCTATTTTAATATATATATATATAGAAAAACGATTTTGTACTGACAAATTTTCAACAAAAAAATCTTGTAGACTGAAAAGTATCATCTAAATTAAATATTTTTATATACTCTGTAGTAATGCACTCAGGAATCTTTTGATAAATTCAAATATTATTGTGATTTTAATCTATGATATGAAACTTTTTAGTATACAACTAATGAAGAATCTCATTGAATTTATTAATTGATACTTTATTTTCTTACTTTTTGAACAGCATTTAAAGAATATAGTATCGATATTGTTTTTGTTTTAATATAATATTTATTATTAATTGTAATAGATATATATATGCATATAGCAATAATTAAATTAAGTACTGATACAACCAAAGAATCAAATGCACTTAACAAACATTTAAAAATACAGTGCAAAAGATTAATACAAAATATATGTTACTGCATTCATATTATTTAAAGTTCTTGTTCAAAATACTATCTTTCTCCTATTAATTATAAAATAATGTTTGTAATAAATAGATTGCGATGAGAAAGAAGTCATTGACGAGATTAAATGAATTCTTTTTATGGAAATGATTTTTTCCAATCTTTTTGCGACATTAAAATACGTTGAATGTTGAATGAAATTAATGAATATATTTTTTTACTAGTAAGTTGATAATAAATAAGAAAGAATACTTAGTAAAATACAGTGAATTAAATAAAAAATCGACTTAGATTGTATTTCTCAAATATTAAAAAAAGCACTTCAAAGAATTTGAATGTATGTGTGAAATTTTCATTGTTATTGTATATTACTTATATAAGCAATTTTACTGTATATCTTATCAACGATAAACAGTGATAAACGCATTTAAAACGTATCGCATTTTACTTATATTATAGTTATTATTGTGTTTATTTTTATAAGATACGCATACATATATACATATATACATATACACACACCTATAGAATTTGTACAGTATGTTGGATAATGCAAACAAGTTTACAATTGTAAATATACATATTATAGAATTATATGACATTATCGATAGTTATAAGCTCTTCATAAAGAATTTTAAAAATAATTTTTTAATTGAAATGTATTTACTATCTTTGTAATTTTATTATTAAAAAAAAAACTTCATGTCTTCTGCAGTAATGTTACAATTTTCTTTCTTACCAATGCGTATTGCATACATTCATTACAAATCGTATGTAAGTTAAAATTACTTCGTCGTCAAATTTGTTATTTTATCACTGCCATGTAATTATTATATAATTAATTATATAATTTTTCTGAAACACTTATTGCAGACAAGTATTCAATATAATTTTTTCTTACACTTATTGCAGATAAGTATTCAATATTGTACAAGTTCTTTGTTACTATCGATAATCGCTGGTTGCAATGAACCGAGTGAATTTGAAAGATTGATGTTGTTACTAGAATTTTATTATAAGATCATCTCATGTTGTTGATACGTATGTCGAAAATAAAGATCTATAATTAACAATGTTGAGTCTGTTCTTAAATAAAAATTACTATTCGTCAACAGAAATCCGAAAATATGAAAATTTTAACAGTACGAACAAGAATGAGGATCTGAACGATTTGAAAATGGCGCTTAATAGAAGATATCGCGGTCAACAGTGAACCTGCACCTATATTTCCAAGAATGCAGCGCTCGACGTCTTATGACGTCAGCCACTGTCAGCAAGCTACAACTTTCAAAACGCATGTTTTTTACGTTTCTTGTGTTCTTGTATCTTTAAAATAATTAAGAAGTGTAATCAGAAACGTTATGGGAATGTTACATTTGCTTAAATTACACAATAAATTTGCGTAATCGTTTTTGCCGTATCGTTCGATTTTTCACGAAAGATCATTGACACATTGGCAGCATTGTCGATTGATCGTACGTATTTTACTTAGAATGTGTATCACATATATTTATTCCTGGGTCCCTCTGGGCAAATGTAAACAGAATTTTTTCGCAAATATGAAGTGACACGGCCGATTTACACGGCTGCAGCTCGTGCATGGAATGTGCAATTCGTGATAATCGTGACGACTGTCTTAGTTGTTCATGAGGCCCCGAGTATTAGTCTTGGACGCGTTACGGCAACCAGAATATATACCTAGCGGGTAAAACGGGTTTACGTACGACCACCCGTAGTGTTAAGTTCAGTGAAATAGTGCGAAGACGATCTTGAAGACATTGATAGTGCAATGAGAAATTTGCAGAAATTCGTCGACTGTTTGCTGACGGTAAGTACTGTGAAACCAGTGGCATCTGCGACTACTTTGGACTTTCCCAGCTCGTGCATGATACGTCGTATTGGTTGATTTTTCTGTGAAATGAGTCTATGCTTTCTTAATTATCCAATTTTTCTTGGTTGATCGGACGAATATTTTCTACGCGCCAGTGAATATGCTGCGTGGTATCATATACGATGTTCAAGCTTCGTTACATTCTCTCTCTCTCTCTCTCTCTCTCTCTCTCTCTCTGTCTATATATATATATATATATATATATATATATATGTATGTATGTACACATACACACACACACATTAGACCAAATTCGTGAGATTACACACAATCTTACCGTGCAGCTACGTAGGGGCATATACACGCAACAGGACTGAATACGAGGTATGAGTATCTACATGGAATGCGTTACGTTGCGGATATCGTAAATAAACAATTTTAATAATTTTAATTCCATAGTCGTCTTAAATGTCTATAAGAGTGTTGTAGCTTTACAATCGAAACGATTCTATCGTGTTATAATAAATAATTCGCGTAAAAATTATATATATATATATATATATATATATATATATATATATTATGTATGTTGAGTATATGTGTGTGTACGTGAGCGCGCGCGCGTATCATGTGTGGATGAATGTATGTATGTATATATTCTTTTTTGTCTTTCTCACTTATACTACGATCATGATGGTTGATTACGTTTTCACGCTATCTGTTTCCTATTATTCCGATAATTAGTAAATAATAGCGACAATAACTTACGATAAATAAAATTATTCGAAAAATATATGTAATATGATAAATCTTGCGCATACTATTTATTTTATTTGTTATACTCCAATTTGATTTAATTGGAGCTATTGCATTCTAGCGTTTTTAAATAACAAAATTTTTAATCCATATTAATTATTTGAGGTTTCCATACATACATACATACATACATACATACACACATATATATATATATATATATATTTATTTATTTGGAATTGTTTCGACAGTTTTTCTAGTGTACATACGTTATTTTTTGATCACTATTATAAGTTTTTATGCAATTTTAAATAACGCAAGGTCCTTTTGTTCGTGAAGTTTTTTGTAAAATAAAATTTATAATGAAAGTTTTAATGACTTTAAGGGCTAAATCGTGAATTGAAATATCTCTGTTGAAAATATTTGTTTGAATTTTCTTAAAATTTTGTTTCATTTGTATTTCAAATAATGGTATTCGACCTGTTTAATGAATAATTCATTCTACATTCTCGTATCTGAGCAAGTAATCTCTCTGATTTTAGTTTGTTCCTTCATTCATTTGGTATGCATGTATGATATAGCACCATAGAATACAAACGTATTGTTCAATATACCCATATGCATAAAATATAAAACACATGTCTATGGCACTATGTTATTCAACATATTTTGTCATAATTGTGTAATCTGTTTTTAGTCATTTTTTGTATAATTCTTCATACAGTAACTTTTATTTTGCTGCTTAGTATTGCCACATGGTAAAAGATAAACATTATAAGGAACTATTAAAGGCATAAAATAAAAATGTAGAAGTGATATATCATGACCTTCAATTTATGAGGCATATGCTATCTCATTAATTACGATCTTATATTCCACTTTAGAGTATGAAAGTCTTCAGTTAGAGTTTAGCTTCAGAATCATACTCTTGCATTGTGATTTAAAATATTTCATCTTTTGTTTTGTTAGATAATTATTTTAATGTAATAATAAATTTATACTTTTATCATTAATTTAATTATAAATGTAATGTGATATTTTAAAATATATTTATATTATATATCAAATTAAAAATTATAATACAAGTAAGATTTCATTCTTATTCTTTTCAGTAATGGAAGTACAAGATGTCTTCAAACAGAGCAGCTCCCAAAAAATCTCAGCAAGAAATGTTTCAATTTTTACAATCAGATTTTAGAAATGCATCAAAGCGTGATGATGTTGTTAGATGTTTAAATGCAAGTAGGATGACAAAGACTCTGTGCTGTGATTCAGAGAAATATGAAAATAATAATATATGTGTATCAAGAAATGTCAGTCTGTCTCAAAAAATAGATGTTATTAACAGGATACAAGATAATCCATGTGACACAACTGAATTTTCAGCAACTATTAAGTGTTCATCTGATGTATGTTCAGTTTCTATGTTAAGTGAGAATGTTAATTGTAATTGTAATTATGATGTAATGCATTGTCAACAACACAAACAAATCTCACAAAGTTATATGAGTTCTATATATAATTTATGGAGAATTAGAAAAAATAGAAATTTACCATTATTGGTTACAAAAAAAGCTGGTACACAGTGGAGGAATTGTTTTTGGAGAATATTTTTAATTCCATTCATTATTTTGTTATTATGTACAACAATATGCAATGCAGACCCTAATCAATGCGCAGTGGGTTTGAAAACACCTGGAAGTAAGTTTTTAATAAAAGCTTTTCTTATTTTTAATAAAAAAAAACCATATATCTATTTTAAATTTAAACAATTAGTTGTAGTTAATTTTGTATTTTTGAAGTATTTATAACTTCTTACCTATCTCCTGTATCTTATTTCTTCTTTTGGAATTCTAGTCTTGATGCTAAATGTATATATCTATATTTAATGCACTAGGTACAGTGTAACAGTACACTAGGTACATTCAAAATTTAGAATAAACGTACTGTATATTTCAATAGATATTTGATTTAAAACATGAGTTATAAAGTAATTAATAATAACTAATTTTAAACTTAAATTCACAATATTATTATTTTTCAAGGAACTTGGCCACAAGGTGATATTGTACTTGAATATGGTCAATCTTTAAGAATACTTTGTATACTGAATAAAACATTTATGGATGCTGAATTTCCTGGAAAAAATGCTTCAGATCTTGTATTTTTTCGTAACCAAAAAGAAATGGAATCAGAATTTATTACTATTATCAATGAAACTACAATATCATTGGATATAGAAAAACCTCCACCTGCAGAAGATATGTATTACTGTAGATTAAGATTACAAAATCACAATAAGCAACTGGAAGCAGTTTGTCTAAATAAAGTTGTCGTTGGTTGTAAGTATTTCTTTAAAAATAACATAACATTAACCAGTTTTAATTAAAATGTTATAATTAATGTAATATATAAGATATAATTTCCTTATAAAATTATATCATTGATATAAACTTAGAATAGATTAAAAGGTATTTCATGAAAACAAGAGCATTCAGTGTCTGCTTTCATAACAGTTATAGGAATATCATTTAATGTGTTTTGTGTCTTGGAATTCACATTTGATTATCAATTAAGATAAGGTTATAGATACAGAAGTCCTTTTATACAGAAGAATTATTCATAAGCATTCTTAGTATTTTTTAGAATTCTAAGAGAGGATATAATCTATTTATTAATTATTAATAGTTAAACCTCAAGAGCCTCGGAATTTCACTTGTGTATCTCATAATTGGGAAAATATGATATGCTCATGGGAGCCAGTTCAAAATTATGTGACAACAACATTTACACTCGTATTTAAATTACCGGGAAGAGCAGGAGGTAGAAAATTGTTTCCATGTCCGAAAAGAGATAAAGATGATAAAGAGATAAAGATGGTACCAAATATGTGCTTGTGGGATACATCTACAAATCCAATTTATCGACAGCCATATGAATATTATACATTTATACTGAACGTAAATAATGTTCTAGGGAATGCTAGTTTTACATACAAGTTTCATCATTTCGCTCATGGTTTGTATTTATTACTTTTTCATTTAACATTGATATATTAATAATATGATTAATAACATTATATAAATTTTAGTTATTCCTGCAAAACCAGCTAATTTATCAGTTATTAATAAAACATGTGATAGTGCATTATTGCACTGGAGTGTGCCTTTTCCAATGCAGAATTTTCCACCTGGATTATTTCATAAAATCACATACCAAAATCAGTGGGATCATCAAAAAACTTGGCAGGTGAGTTTACAAATGCTTATTTGTAGTATTATAAGATATCTTGTTTGGAAGTGTAATATACTAATATGATCATATATTAGGTAATCAATATTACAAATGATATTCACGTGCATAAAAGATATTATAATCTTACTGGGTTGAAATATGCCAATACTGTATATGATGTGCGAGTTTTTATGAGAAGTGCAGTTGCAGCTGGGGAAGATAAGTGGAGTCAATTTAGCGACGTTACTTTTAGAACACCACCAAGATGTCAGTTGTGGTTTCTACAATTTTAATTTTATTGTTAGGTATTTTCCGAAATATTTTTTATATTTTTATATATTTGATATTTTAGTACCTGGCCAACCTCCAAAAACCGATATTGGAAGCTTTGAAATAGCGGAGAATAGTGCTAGCAGAGATGTATATTTGTACTGGCAAGCTATACCGCAATACTTAGAAAATGGTGATAACTTCAGATATGAAGTTGTTCGTGTAGAAGAAAATGGACGAAAAGTGTTCCTTTTCCCAAATGAAACTACGAGAACATATGCTAAATTTAATGGAATTAGTAACAATAATTATAGATTCGAAATTGTTTCAACAAACGTCGTTGGAGCAAATGATGAACGTGCTAAACTTTTTGTACCCAGTCAATTCAAAAGTAAGATTAAAACAGAAAATAAAGATTTATGATGATCAATCAGTGTACATCTGCACTGTATAAATAATAATGCATTTATGTTACAGTACCACACGAACCTATAGCATTTACGAAAATTGCGTTTGATGGAGGATTGTATGAATTATCATGGAAAGCACCAATTATGAATAAAGAAATTACAAATTATACAATTTTTTGGTGTGATAATGAACGTGATCGTCCTTATCAGTGCACTGTATTTATTAACTACGCTACGTATTTATTAAGTATTAACATAATGAAAAGATATACTGATACTAACTTGTACTATAATTGCAGGGTTACCTAGATTGGGTACATGTATCAAGAAATACGACAATTTATAATATGACTGTACCAGATCCCGACAAAGTGTATCAATTTGCGATTTCTGCAAATACAAACAGAGGTAGTAGCGGCATGGTATGGGCATCATGCACTGTAATACACAACAAAGTTGTTGGAAAAATGAAATCTGTGTGGATAAATAGAATTGGTTCTGACTATATTGAAGTTGGTTGGAAATTGGATTGTTCGGATCGCATTGGAATAGTAGAGGGATTTAATATTTATTATTGTCCCATTGTTTCACCATATGATCTGAATTGTAAAGGCCCGAAACTTAATACAACGATAAAAGCCGATCCTCATACTATCCATGGTATTGTACACAATTTAAAACCGTATACAACATATATGCTAGCCGTCGCTGTTTTAACAAAAAATGGAGAAGGATTGCATAGTGATCCTTTATATAATACAACGCTTGAAGCTGCACCAACAACTCCTCCGCAGGACGTAAAAATTACAAAAGTGACAAATACGACAATGAACATTGTATGGAAACCACCAGAAGCAATGAATGGTGTATTACGTTATTATGAGGTTTATTACAATGAATACTCACAAAAAGTTGAAGACGCAACTCAAATTGAATTGAATGATCTGTTAGCGCATACGAACTATAGCATTAGTGTAGCAGCATGTACTGTATCTTGCAGTGTGAAATCGCCTACAATTTACCAAGTTACGAAAATTGGTGTACCGGGAATAATTAATGTACCTAATGTACGCTTCATGAATTCGAGCCAAGTAATTGTTATCTGGAATAAACCTCAATATGCCGCTGGGCTCTTGAATTATTATGAAATACAATCTAACGACGGTGAAATACAAAATAGTACTAGAACAGGTAATATTTTGGAAAGAAGAATATTTTTTTAAAATCATATCTTTGTATTAATATATTTTTTTCATAAATATTTCAGAGGCTCAGTTACCTATCCCTGACTGCAAAACTATTGGACAAGAAAAATTATATCAATTTCGTGTAAGGGCTGTTAATATTGCATCAGATAATACACATTTAAAAGGTAGTTGGTCTGATCCTGGTGAGGGAAACTGTTATAGTGATGGTAAGTCCATATTTAATTTCTCTGGTTTTCGTTTCATTTTCTTAACTAAAAAACTTATATGACAATTTTACATTATAGGACCTTCATTTAGAGTGTGGGTTATAATATGGGTGATAGGAGGTATTAGTACTGTGGCAGTTTTTCTCTGTTTGGCACACCTATCAAAAAGGTATGAATAACTGTTGAAAAATTTATAAAATAAATATACTTTTGTATATACATATTTTTATTATGCGTTCATATTGTATAGAATGTGGCTGAAGTGCAAAGCTATGCAAGATGTCGAGGTCAAATTACCACCAGGATTAGCACCGAATATGGTTCAGTATATATATCGATTGTATTGGTAATAAAAGACTTAGTATTCGCTATTAATATAATTTGCGTTTTTATTATAGAAGCTTCTTCAAAAAGTGGGTGAACAACATATACGACAATCTTCGGCTGATTCAAGTGGTTGTTCAAGCGGACAAGAATCTGTTACTTCTTCACTAACATCAGATTCTCAAGTTTCAAGCGATAGTGGTACAGAAATAGATCCAATGCCGGTATCACCTAATAAATTGCTTGAAACACTACCAGCTTGGGAATCTTCAAGTCTTCGTCAGAGGAATGTTGGACTTACTAGACCAGGATTCACAACGGAAACGGCACGCTGGGAACCATATGTGAAAGTTGCAAAATCCGGAGAGCCCATTATAGCAGATACATTGTCTTTGGCTCGATCTACGCCTAACTTAACTGATAGCACAGGTTACACAACTTCGCAACATACTTGGTCTTCAACTGGTTACATTAGTATGCCATCGTCAGAAGAATTGTCTAGTAATCCCAGTCCTGTTCCTAAGGAAACCTCAACTGCAAGTGGTTATAGCATTATAGGAACTGTTAAATCTATAAAATCGAAGTCTGAAGATGACAGTGATTTAACGGAATCTACTGCGGACACATTAATACCTATCAAACCAGAATCTAAGCCCACAAATCCATACATAACTTTAGCATCTTTCGAGCAAAAACAAAAGGATAGCAAAGCTATCGATTCGTTACATGATTTGGATGAATTAACGTTTGCTGAATCGAATAAATCGAAACTAGAATCTTTGACTCCGTTCTCAACTTCTGACAAAGTTTCTAAACCATATGTGCAAACAGGTTTAATTGATTCACTAAAGAAGCCGTTTACTCGAAGTAGCATTGATAGTGCAAAGAGTGTAACGATGTCTACTCCATTTGCAGCCACGTCTTTAACCGATTCATGCAATAAACCATTCGTTTCCTCTTTTGCAAGTCCAACTACTCTGGCATCTACGCTAGATTCCTCATCGAAACCTTATGTTTCTGTGTCTTCAATTCCTGAAGTTTCGAAAAAGTCAAATCTTCAAGCAGGTGCTTTAGAATCTTCACAGAAGGTCACTATGCCCCAAACTTCAACAACTGATGGTTCGCAACCATATGTCCTCGCGAGTTCCGTATTCCAAATGCTACAACAACAACAAAGAGGAAAACCGGAAACTTCTATTTCGGAAGCGATAGACAACGAAACGGAAGATGTTACGACAGGCTATCCTCTGTGTTGGCAAACCAGCGGTACAAAGCCAAATTCAAAGTTGGATACAGACAAATCAGTTATTACGACTAAACAGAGTACTGGATACGTTACCATAGCAGAAAATCCAAAGCTAGATCAACATAGAACGTCGACGTTGTCATCACCGTATGTACAGCATGAGAGGTTTGAGAAGCCGCTGCCACAAACTACTACTGGTCAGTCAGATGAACAATACAGTAAAGTGACTGTTGTGCCAAGTACTATTCAATGAAAGAAGAAAGGTGCAAATGAATCGATTGTGGCAGTGTAGCGTGAATTTTGTCACTTTGTATAAACTTCCTTTAATATAGGAACGTTTTTTAATGAACTATGGTGCAATACAAATTTCACGTTTGTAGGTGCTTCAAAATGTAATGGATGACTAAATTAAAACTACCATTTGTTTTTAGGAGCATGGTATTTAGATCAAAGACCTGAATTGGAACATAAACTATGCATCCTACGAGACATATAAGGATTGTCAAGCGTATAAATAGAGGTGTGTTTAAAATTTTAGTGTTTTCTAAGATTCTATATAAAATATTTGATGCTGATTTAACGACTGAACTAAAAAAAAAGAGAGAGAGAGAAAGAGAGAATGAAAGAGAGAGAGAGAGAGAGAGAGAGAGAGAGAGAGAGAGAGAGAGAGAGAGAGAGAGAGAGAGAGAAAGGAATGAAAATTTAAAAATGAAGTGTCGTATAATATTCGATGAGAGAACACATCGAATATGAAACATCCTCATTTGTGAAAGTATGTACAAAATGAATTACTTTTGTATCATATATATTATTGTGCAATGTGATGTGAAAATCATCAAAACGCTATAGAGTGTAAGTGTTATAGATTGTAAGTAAATTATGTGGCATACATCCATCGACAAACAACTCGCTGTTGTCCGAACAATCAAATTTTTTGCTATCTATGGTAGTGTAATAATTCTCATTTAGAAGGACTGTTATTTAATCATTGTGAAGCTTTTAATGGACTGTAATGGACTGAAATGTGCAGTAATATTAATATTTCGAAATACGTCCAAAACGATTTGAAAATTTTCAAAGATGTTTTTGTTTGAATTCTTTTATATCGTGAATCATGACTTCCAAATACATTTTTTCGCTCTATCATACAGGATAATAAGATGCATACATAATATCAATCAATCTTTTTTTTTATTCTCAATGAAACTGATATTTGTATTGTTCTAATTATTAATTGTTTCTTAGAATAAGACAAATATTCGTGGTAAAGGCAGAAAAAAGAAATTGTTTGCAATTATAAATTATTTATATGCAAATCAAATTGATAGAGGTAAAAATTTACGGTTTTTGAATCATTCGTTTGCTAAATTATGTACTGTGCACAAAAAGATTATATTGATTTTTTTCGTTGAACTACAATCATATGCGCAATTTGTCTATCTGTGTAGATAATTTATAAATCGTTCCTGTAGTACCTTACTATCATTAGCATTGATTGATAGAAAGCAGTAAAAGAAAAACTATGGCAATAAGTACAGGGTCAAGGATAAGAGATAAGGTTAAGAGAAAAGGCTAATTAAATCACAATTTTGAAATCAATTAGAGTTTGCATGTTTCTTATATATTCTTTATTAGTTGAAAACGTTTAAGTAATTGAAATGAATTTAAAAACACGGTTCTTTATTTTTTAACATTTTAAATATCATTGCTGACTGCGTTAAAATTTTTTAATAAAATTTCAAATCTTGTAAATAAAAGAAATTATTTAACATACGATTTTAGATCAACTTCCATCAGTAAATAAATTGTTTTAAAACTTTTAATAAAAATTATTTTAAAAATACAGAGTCATATATATAATTTTGCCAGTCAGTGATATGGAATAAATCAAGATATGCTGAAATCAATATTATATAGTTAAACAGTTTTATCTTGCAGAAATTTTAAGGAACTATGCAATGCCATTGAATCATTTATACTAAAAAAGGCATGATCATATATAATATATTATATATGCATAATACCTTAAGCTAGTCATCGACTTTTTGAAAGGGCTCTTTTAATGGGCTCTTTTAATGGTTATTGTTTATAGTCAACTAGTTTATAATCAGTGTGGAGTTCATAATCAACTATTAAATAAATTCTTTTTTTAACTCCAAATTAATTCTTCATTAATGATTTTGTTAACATGTAAATTGTTTGGGCTGAATGATTTTTGTATTTCATTCGTTTTACATGTTCAAACATGTCTCAGTCGTGACCAAACTCGTTAGAGAGGGAGGGCTCATGGCGGTAACCCCTATCTTGGAGTCGCTACCAGACTCATCAGAAGGGAAAGGGGGGGGGGCTGGTTGATGGCGGCGACCCCTATATACCAAACACGCTTTGGTTGTTAGGGGTCTTTTCTAGACCTGGGCATGTGGAAATAATGGGTGTCACCCATCCTAGAGCTGATCCACACGTTGGTCGCTTAACCTGATTGATTGCCTTCGATCCATCGGTGTGCCGCACCCACTTGCCAGTTGTGATTTTATATGTTTAAAAATTATAATATATGATCATGTATTAGCCGCTACACATTGTTTGAACTTGTAAAACGGTATTGAAATAAATACTACGGAAAAATTCGATAATCCGTGGTACTTTCTCTGAAGCGAGATTATATATATTCGTATATTATATTATTGTTATTAAGAAAGGAGCTGCTAATATTTAATGAATCGCGTGTAATCTGTAAAAAATACTGCTTAGTAAATATTCAGTAAAATTGAAAAAAAAAGATTAGGAAAAGAATAATTAGACGATGATAGGCTAGAGTCTATATTGGATATTGTAAGTGGATCAAATAAATGCATTTAATTTGTAATTTCACATTCAAGGAGGTAGGTTTTTTCTTTTTTCTTTTTACAGAAAATTTCTTTCGCGAAATTTAGACACGATATTCTGGAAGAAAATTTTATTGCCGATCGATTTGTTTAAAAATTATCACTTGTATAGATCCATGGAGGATCTTTAAACAAAATAGTGGAGTAAAGAAAAAGTGAAAGAATGAGTAAAAATATAATAATGCCGACTTTTGTAAAAGGAGAAGCAAAATGCACGAAAAGCACGCAAAATTTTAAAATATGCTCATGTTAAGATAATTAAATATTTAATGGTAAGCGGTAAAAGCTTCTAGATTGATTTAGAAAGTAATCAAGCGCGTTATTACTTTATTAGGTTTTACATGTCTACATTGTATATATAATATATCTATTATTATCTATTTTTGTTACATATTTATAAATGAAAAAAAATTTGCACACTATAAATATATATAGCTTAATCTGAAAAAAATTTTAAATGATGCAATTGTGATTTATAAATTTTAAATGATTTATAAATATATATATATATATATATATATATATATATATATATATATGTTTATAAAAATATATTGATAGATATATAAGATAGAAGATATATTGATGATTTACGTGACATATTTCTATTATTAAACATTTACCTCTATCGATTATTAATTTGCCTTGACCAGGCATATATAAAACGATTTCTTTTTTCTCCATTTTTTATGTAATCAAACAGCCCTTGTATAATTTAGTAGCATGTTAGGATGTTTATAATATTTATGTTATATATTTTCATTAATATTCTGGGAGCTCAGTATCATAGTAAGTTAAATAAAATTGAAACGATAAAACTAATTGGTATAAAATCATTTTATACGATGCAAAGCAATTTTAATGCAATGTTTCACATAGATAATCGATTTATGTAAATATTACCTGTTTTCCCTTTTTATGTGTCACATAATCGCATTACGTGCTCTCGTGAATTGTTTTTGTCTGAGCTCCCTGATTATAGATTTTTTTTTTAACATATATTCAGAGTGCAGTGAATTGTTAATGCAGATTATTAAATTTTGATTGAAATATTTGTTGTTGACATAGTGAAAGAAAGATGTTTAAAATTTCGCTCTATGTATTTTACATGTGCCTGTTTGTTTCTGCGGAAATTCAAATTTTTGATCATTCGTAATAATCATTTTATCCTTGAGCAACATTAATATTCATAAACGAAATAATGTTCAGTTGCACTGATGATGAATGTTCCAAAAATATTGGGATGCTTTTTTTTTGCAGAAATATGCAGACATTGTGCTAATAAAAATTGTGCTAATATTAATCGTGGAATACTGCAATTTCGTATCTCGTTTGAAAAATTAAAATTATAAATGAATTTTAGGAATTAATATGTCAGAAGAAGAGTCAGGTTGTTTATGAATTAAGGAGGTAATGTTCTGATATCGTAACAACCATATGCGATTGTAACAAAAATATTAAAAAATAAAATCCAATAACAGTATTCCAGGATGAATAAAGCATCTCATGATAATTAATTTACACGCAGCTAACTATATATATATTAATTCTAATAAGATCTTGTACAGAGTATTGTAAAATATATTTTTACTACATTTTTTTTTTTTGGTTTCATTATTTATTTCTTTATAACACGAAATTGTGTTTTAAGTTCATTTTTTGTAGATCGCTGCTGTTATGCCATTATGTATGCCGTATGCCATGCCGTCGAAACTTGCCATTTATATTAGATTCATTTTTACGATCAATCCCAAAGTTGTTTTGTTTTTCAATACTCATATACGGATCGCAAGAAAAATACAAGAATTCTTGTAAAACTTTATCTTTCAATCGATGCTGTTAATAAGCGCTTCAGGAGCCATTACTTTATAACAATTATACTGAAATATATTACATTTATATATATCGACCTGATGTATTTTGCTTATTAAATCTACAACATATTCCTTCATTATTTTTAATTATTAATTCATGATATTAATAATTTCTGATGTACTAATGAAAAAGTAAAATTCGAGAGGTCAATATATTTTTTATTTATCGCGTAATTTTTTAGTTGTATATATTCATATTATAGAAAATAAGAAAAATTTAGTATAAGAAAGATTGAAATTCTTCTATGTATATACTTTTCTGTATAATTAGAAAATAACTACAGTATTCCATAATAATCCATATACGTGTATGCAGTCTTTATTTAGATTCCATTATATTCATATATTGATTTTTAATTCTTCTTTCACCGTGATTACATCCATTTAAAAAACATAAAACATCGATTATTATTGTTATGTTTAATAAATTAATTCAAGTCTTTCTTAATTGAATTTTAATTAAATTGAAATGAACGATGAGATTAAGTAAAAGAGGCAAAAATATAAATTTACGTATTTTAATTTCAACAAGTAATTTATTTTACATATAAAGCATAGTTGGAAGGAACAGGAAATATACATCAAAGTAAACGTGATTAGGTTCAAGGCATCATTGATGTTTATTTGATTTCTATTTTTCCTTATTTTTTATCAACGGATGATATGACCAATTATAAAAGAGTTGATTTTTGTCTAATTTTTCTTAAATAATTATGTACATAGTTTGAATTGCTTCATTTTTACAATGTTTAAAAACAGAAATACTAAATTGAAGTATACGATCATTGTTTTGATAAACAAATTGAGTACAATTACTAGACGTAATTGCAAAGATATTAACTCATTAGAAGATGATCATCATTATACTTCAATTATTCATACAACAATCAATGTCTTGTAATGTTAGTCCTCTATGTATATATACATATTTCCAATATTACAATTCATTCATGTTAAAACGGCCGAAGATAATATCTAACAAATCAAAAATATTCTCAATACAAGTTTTTGAATTACATAGTCTATAGTGTTACAAATGATTTACGTATACAGATCTTTACAGGAAATTTTTTTCTTAACATCGTTTTAAAGTCGTTACAAACTGTCATTTAGCAAATTATACTTCGATTCAACTGAACAGCTGCATATGTATTCCTATGCATGCTTAATCATAAATTAATCGCTATATACTCATGAATGTTATGAATTAAATATATATTTATTTATATAAATTCTGGTGATTGATTATTGCAGCCAGTAGTGAGACAATATTTTAGTTGGAATCATAAGGAAATATTTTTTAGAATATATAAGGAAATTATTAACATTATTTTTATTTAATAATAAAATAGAATATATCTTATTCTATCTTTTTATTAGTTCGGATAAATGAAATTAATAGAAGAAACTTCAATAAAACGAAGCAGCTATTTTTTTTAATATTCATAAACATAAATTTCAAATATACTGTACCATATCATTTATCCGCATATTTTTAATAGCTGAAATAAATTTAAATAATAATTTTAAATGAATAAAAATAAGCGATAATTCAGATATAAATCGTACGAACCGGTAATAATTAGGCTTAAAAGGTCCAGCCTTATTAAGACCCATATATTTGGCTTGTTCATCTGTTAATTCTGTTAAATGTGCATCAAATGTCGGTAAATGTAATGATGCCACGTACTCATCTATCGAGTTATATTATTATTTTACAGCTTATTTTAATTGAACAATAATGGAACATAAAAATATTTTATGCTTACCCATTTTTTTGGGTAACAGATAGACATCACTTTTATACCGCCCTGGCGGTGCGTTGAAAAGTTCAATTAGTGCTAACGCCTGAGTAGCAGCTGTGATCGACACAACAAATGAAGGAATGCTGGAACAAGACAAGTTGACTAATCGGCCTTCCGCTAATAATACGATGCGCTTTCCATCTGGCCAGATAACATGATCCACTTGAGACCTTACTTTTTCCCAAGTTAAATCGGGCGTGCGTAAACTGTTCTGTTAAGAACATATTAAAGGAGTCTTAATGTCTTATCAATATATTTCTTTTTGTTCTGAAATATAAGAAATACGAGTTTTTCCCTACAAACTCTAATTGAGAATCCAATCAAATTTTAGAGAAACTAATTAAATATTGTTAGAACTTGGACGTACAATATCTATTTCAGTATTGCTGTGTCCCATATTGCACACCACACAGCCGTTTTTCATTTTATCCATGTGTTCTCGCGTAACTACATTTTTATTGCCAGTTGCGGTAATAACAATGTCTACATTTCGGATGACTTCGTTCAATTTCATTACTCTAAAACCATCCATGCTGTAAAAAATACACATATGAATAATTATATTATGCTTTATATAATATATTTTTATTTTATTTCAAATTATCCACCTTGCTTGTAAAGCACAAATTGGATCGATTTCAGTTATATAAACAATACAACCTAAACCCTTGAGAGCTTGACAACAACCTTTACCAACTTCACCATAGCCGCAAATTACAACTTGTTTTCCACCAAACATAATATCTGTGGATCTTTTCAAGCTGCAATAAAATATTTAAATAGAAGCAATTGGCAAATATTTTTGATGTATATCAATAATCGATTTACAACTGATTTACCTATCAATAATACTTTCACGGCAGCTATAAAGATTATCAAATTTCGTTTTCGTTACGCTATCGTTGACATTCATGGCAGGGACGGATAATTTTCCTGCTTTTGATAATTGGTATAATCTATGTACACCTGTTACACTCTCTTCAACAATTCCTGAAAATTAATATTATTAATATTATCTATCTGATTGCAAGAGGAACGACGGTCAAACCTTGAATCATTTTAAACATAGCATTATATTTTTTGAGCATTAAATGTGTTGCATCTCCACCGTCATCTAGTATCATGTTAGGTTGCCAATTTTCAGCGGCTACACATTTATCAATACACCACCAAAAGTCTTCTTCTGTTTCACCACGCCAGGCAAAAATTGGATAACCAGCATGAGCTAGAGCAGCAGCCACTTCATTTTGGGTAGAATATATGTTACATGCTGCCCATCTAACTTGTGCTCCCAAATGCACTAAAGTTTCAATAAGAACAGCAGTTTGAGCATTGATATGAGTGCATCCCACGATTTTAGCATTTTTCAACGGCTGTTTAAAATAATTACTCATTATGTACGTTAATATGTTCGCTTAGTTTTGCGTTTGCTCAGACAATTCCTATACCTTATCATCAGCGGCACGTTTACGAAGTGCCATAATTCCCGGCATTTCTTGTTCTGCTATTTCTATCTCTCTTCTGCCAAATGCATGTTGATTAATATTGCGTACACAGAAATCTGTGAAGCCATTTTCAGTTTTTTGTATTTTTTCACGAGGTGACACATCATCCTCGTCTGACGAACTTCCTGTATAGGATGCTAAAATTAACCGCGACGTATTAACAATGATTTGGTTATAACAATCAAATGTACAATACTTTAATAAACGTATATACGTTCATACCAGAACTGTAACTGTCTGTGCTACTGGCTGATAATGATCGACTACGATAACGGCTAGACTTCTTTAAGGCTCCAGACTTGGAATCCTAAACATTTAAAATATCAAATTACCTACTTATAAAATTACGAGAAATACATATTTCTCATCTTAAAAAGGGCTGCAGTAGATGGAAATGGACTATAAACAGAAAAATGTAAATAAAGCTATTTTATTCGATAGAATGGACACAGTTTAATATAGACGACTTTCAGCGTACATCATTTGAATTCATATCATGATTCATGATACTTGCAGTTTAGCGATAAAAAAAAGGAAATCGTCTTATTATTACTGTGTTATTTGATGGGAAAGCAAAAATGATAAACCATTGGCACATACCGTATTTATGTAGTCATAGGAATTAAAGCAGCCCTGAGGAAATTGCAAGGATTGCTCTATGGAAAGGAATACAAGTTTACTTTGTGTTTTGTACACATATATTCTTACTTACTAATTTTGTTCTCGCGCCGTGAAAGGCACTATTTGATGCCTCTAGGCTCTGAAATCACAATAACCACCATTTCATAATTCAAATTGGATCAAATTTTTATAGTACAGTCCGTAGTTAGGTACAAAGCTCCCAAAGGTTGTACTTGTATGTAAAACTTGATTTATATGAAATAGTTTTACGTAGACAAAAGTATCTCCCCCCTTTTCTTTTTTGTTTTGTATTTGTTCCTCAGTTGTACTCAAGGCATTGGTTCAGTAGTGCTAATTGTGCCATGCCTATATGGTGTATTTAGGCATATAATGAGCGATGCATGAGTGATTGGTACCGAACCTACGGACTACTGTGGGAATAATGCTCTATATGTAAAATAATACAAGCGCCTTGATAGCAGGCAATATGTGTGCATGCAAATCACCTCTTAATTTTTGCATTATAAAAGTTGAAATTATATAATGTACTATGCATTTGATACCATTGAAGATATTAGAAGACCTATATTTTTTTCATGATACAGTTGGTATACTAAAGTACTATTATACAAAAATAATAAAAAGAGCCATAAATTATAAAAAAATATATGAAAAAAACGAAATATCTTTTGCCTGAAAAAATTAATATATTATTAAAAGTATTCAGCTTTTTAAAACATTTTTACATTGAATATGTAGAATAGAGTACTTAAAACATTAATATCTCAGAAGATGTATTGTTCTTGTGGCTGAGCTCATGTATATGAATTGTCTGCAAGTTTCATGCCAATTATCATAACATTATCTGTATATTGTGTAACAATGATGAAGTGCCAATTACAATTGCTTTCTAAATGAAAAAGTATTTCTGATGCATAAGTATATATTTTACTTGTTCATAAATTATTTTTATTACTGTATATATACAATAACCTTCAATAATATTATTATATATATTTACAACATATTATGTTATAAGCTCATCATTTCAATTCATACTAATTTAATAAATAAAGCAGAATTTAAGTTCAATCAATAAATTGAGTTAGCATTCAGTATTTTTAACAATGGATTTATGTTGAAGTTATTTTATGATGGGATTCAGTTTGCAATAACAGTAGAAGGAAGTTATTTGTTTGACAGTTAACAGAAGGTATATACAAGACGATACATTAATTAATACCATGTGTTGCATTACATAATAGCAACATGTGGTCATAAGACCTAACGGGGTTGGGCTGAGACGTGACAGAAAAAACAAAACACAGGTAAAAGAAGATAAAGACAAATGAAAGACATAGTACAAATAATTTAATAAAACGAAGACATAGAAACGAATGAAATGAAAAAATGTACAGTATTTTTATTAAATTATTGTCCTCTGATGAAAACGAAGGTGTAAATTAAAGAAGAAATATGTTATTCTTACAGGACTAATTCAATTAGCCAGAAACTAGTACGGCGGTAAATACAATACTCGTGGCAATACACTGTCGTGATTTTACATTATCAAAGTCGAAGTTAAAGTAACCCGTTTATTTAATTTTCTGCCGATAGTATACTTCAATTTACCTTGCTACTTGATGCTGGATCAGTGACAGGACCATCGGTGACGGTATTTCTAGCATCTTTTCCAGACGACGAACTGTTCACAGCATCCCCGCTGTCAGCCATTTTCGATCCCAAGTCAAACTAGTGCGTTTGTCAAACGACAGGTGGTGTCTTTATACTATTACAGGAGCGTAATCACGATGCGCCTACGACTAGGTGCTTTTTGTCGATACTATTCATAAATAATTGATTAATTTAAATAAATAATAATCAACAAGAACAAATCATTGTTTCCTAATTTAGGCATAGTGACAGTCGCACTGTAACAGTTTATCTCGCCAGAGTATTTAAAAATTTAAAAAATATAATATTCTTTCTTATTTTAAAGTATATTCGAGCTATTCTTAAAAAGTGATATACTTATTTACACGTTTTATGCGACGGAGAGACTCGGAAAACGATTTTCAATAATGGATCATGTGTTTAATTAAATGAGGAAATAAATACAATTCAATAATTTGCCTATAAGAAAAAAAAAATGTTTTAAAATACAATGAATCATAGGAGGTATGCTAGATACGGCCTTGTTCTTGTTCGACGTGTACGATCTATCCTGAAAACATTAATCGCCTTGTGCCCACCCACCAAGATGGCTCCTTTATGGGGCAATACTCGATGTTTGACGTGAAGTTATTTACACACCTGGAATTAAACGTCCATTGAGACAAGTTGTGGATGTCTTTCGGTGCACAGTGTGCGTGAAACAGATCAAGAAAGAGTGCGTGCTCTGTAGCAGTGAAGAATCGATCGAGTTCCTGGAGAAAAAAATTATACGGGACGGCCGGTTGGTGTAATACATAGCTCGCTTGTCGAACAAAAATCGTACAGGTATCGTAGCCTTCGCTACGCCGTATAAGATAATCTGATTAATTTTCTGATTTTGCTTGGATAAGTTATAGGGTGTACGTTGGTCTAATCGAAATTCGTCGAAATCCGGGCACTATCATCGGTGTCAAAATTGACCGCGGTTGTGTACAATGCATATTGATCTATTCGTAGCTGTCATTTGTATATCGAATAATTTGTTTCTACTGCATGAATCACATCTTGTAAATTTCAGCATCGAGTTTAAGTCGTTGCCTAGTCATCCTAATTCGAAATATAACTATTTATTACATCGCGAATGGAAATACTTCGTTATCATGAAATATATTCTTTTGCGTTTTAACGAGAAACAATATCGTCGTAACGATATTTGGAATTATTTTTAAACACGATATATACTGAATGTTATTATGGTGTCAGTTTTTTGATTATTGAAAAGTTGTAAAAGTCTAATTGTATGTATATATGGAGGTTAATGTAAAAATGCGTTTCAAAAAGCTTTTTAATGTCTTACTTCGTTGAATCCATAACCTGCATAATATAAGAAATAATATATTTTCATTCGTCATGAAATTCAGTTGACGTGAAAATTAATTTTGTGTTGAGTGTTTGCTTGTCATTTGATTCACCTCTTGTTTCATTAACATGACGTGTATTACCCAATGTAATTTATGACGTATATACATGTGATGAATGCACTCCATATGTGATTTTACATATCTTGTTAATGTAAATTTTAGACAGTGAATATTCTCATGAATATTTAATCTAATTTCCATAACAAAGATATAAGTGCAAATACGAGTGCAACTAACATTTGATGATGCTATTTGTTTGTTCATTTATTTGCAAACGTTATTTTTTTTCAGATACACGGTGCCATTCCAAAGAATCATTGCTCACAGTTGTGCTAAATTATGAATGCTGTACTTTATAGAGAGAGATAAAGTTTGAAAGTTATTCGTTTCAAAATCTGTATCACTAGTTTTTAGTAATATTAATTTGTCATTCATAAAACTACGATCATAACATTTGTATTAACAAAGCTCAAATGAAATTTTGGCAAGTGACATTTGTTTATAATAATTCATACATAAATTTACATGTCATACAAAAGTTTGAGGTATGATATGTCAATGTTGTGAAGGAATCAGAAAGAATAAAAGAGCACATTGTTGAAAATGTTACCAAAGGGAGGTAATATTGATTTTCATATAAATTTTTAGACTTGATATAATGACCAAAGGGAGATATACTCATGTTTAATAATTGCAAAAATAAATGAATAAGAGAAACTATTGGTAGTGGTACTTAAAAATGTCCTGAGTAAAGTTTGACAAAGAAAAGATTTTTATTTTCACATTTAATTACATAAGTGATCTAATCAAATTAAGCTTTAAAAATGGCAAGGAAAAGTGATAATATCAAAACCATCAATGTTGCTATTGTTGGTCTTTCTGGCACTGAGAAAGATAAAGGACAAGTTGGTGTTGGAAAGTCATGTCTCTGTAATCGTTTTATGCGTTCTTTGAACGATGATTATAATGTGGACCATATATCAGTGTTATCACAGGTAATTAATAAATACATATTCTATTAAGAACATTTGTAAGCTTTGCATTAATCAATGTCTTATTAATTGAATGCTATGTTTTACAGTCAGATTTTAGTGGTCGGGTAGTAAATAATGATCATTTCTTATATTGGGGTGAGGTTACAAAAACAGCAGAGGATGGAACAGAGTATCAGTTTCAAGTAATAGAACATACAGAGTTTATAGATGATGCATCATTTCAACCTTTTAAGGGTGGTAAAATGGAACCCTATGCGAAAAGATGTGCAGCCACAAAAATTACTAGTGCAGAGAAGCTTATGTATATTTGCAAAAATCAGTTAGGGATAGAAAAAGAATATGAACAAAAAGTTTTACCAGATGGTAAATTAAATATTGATGGTTTTTTGTGTGTATTTGATGTAAGCGTTGTACCAAATAGGTCTATAGAAAAACAGATTGAAATAGTAGCAAATATATTGAACAGTTTAATGAAAACCAAAAAACCAATAGTTTTGGTAACAACTAAAAATGATGATGCTAATGAACAATATGTAAAAGAAGCTGAAAAATTAATAATGCGTAAAGAATATAAAGGTTCCATTTTGATAGTTGAAACATCTGCACATGAAAATATTAATATTGATTTGGCATTTATGATTTTGGCTCAATTGATTGATAAAACCAAAATGCGGAGCAAAGTAACACCGTTTGCAGAAGCGGCTAGAGCCAGAAAAGAATTACTGGATGCATCTACAGAATCTTTACAAAGATTGATTCGAGTGCATGTTACTGACTATAGAGCACTATGGTCTCAAGCATCTAAAAAGCTAGCGCAACATAAAGAATTTTCAACATTTGTGGAATTGTTTGGTATCGATGCAACCCAAAGATTATTTAGGAGACATATTAAAAAATTAAAAGATGAACAAGTGGCAAAAAAGATTCAGGGATATTTAGATATGTTACCTGATATTCTTCATGAAATATGTCCTGATGTAACAAATTTGATTAATGAGTATGTTTTGAAATAAAATCGTTTAGTTATGATAGAAAGATGTCGTTTTATTAAATCTATATATTTTATTTATATAGAGAGTGGTCTGCAGTACAACAGTATATAAAAGAACATCCTGATTTTCATCAATATTTCTATGAATGTCCTGAGGATATCCCGTGGATTGATTGTGATTTTGGTGAAAACAATGGAACAAAGATTCCTTACGATGTTTTAGAAACACCAGAAGCTGAAACTGTTTTCAAAAATCATATAAATATATTGCAACAAGAACAGCGACGATTAGAGTAAGTATTACATGTATATGCAAATATTTCTTGATTATTATAATTCTGATCTGCTGAAATTTTGCTATAAATAGCAAATGAATTATTAGTTCTTTTTTTACATGCTTTAACATAGTTATTAAAGTTACATAGTCATTCAGCATTTTAGATAATAATATTTATGTGCAATATACTAATGCTTTGCTTTATTCTGGGTGGCGTTTATTTTGTGCAGACTTCCTAAAAGGTAAATTGTGCTTTTTATCGCTTTGTACAGGATATAATTTTTTTAGAAACATATAATTAGCTATACTAACATTTTTGTAGTTTTTTATATATATGTATTTTGGTATATTCAAAACTTTATAAATGAATATTCTATAAACTATTTTATATTTTAGTAAAGATATTATTTTATAATATTTATACAAAAATATTATTTATTAGATGGAAAAAGCAATTTAAGCAATTGTTGGAAGAAACTGGCTATGTTACACCAGGAAAGCATTTGTCTGAAGTTAGAGTTCTTTTTATGGGCAGAGAATGCTTTGAAGCTCTTTCGCATCATGATTGTCAAGAAATATATGATCAACATCAAAAGGAAATTATTGAAAAAGCAAAACATAATTTCCAAGTAAGGATACGTATTTTATTATAAATAATAATAACAATAATAGACTACTGTATTTTTTGATTTTTTATATTCTAGGAACTATTATTAGAACATGCTGATTTGTTCTATCATTTTAAAAGTATAGCACCAACTGGTACTATAACACAAGATGATATTAAAGAAATAACAGATGCGTTGGTGGACGATTTTAGGTAATTAATTAAACTTATTAATTAAACTCATTTTTTATGCCCTAAACAAATTTATAGATATTTTTGAATGATTTCTTATGGTGTATAGGTATAAGGCTTTAGATAGACTAGATCAAGATAGAAAATTAATGCTTTTTCAACATTTGGGTTTTGTACATTGTCCTATAAGGGAACATTGTCCAGCTTATCCAAATTGCATGGATGCACTTATAGAACGAATACTTGGAACGAAAGCTCACAGGTAATTTTTTTTTAGATAAAAGAAAATTGAATAATTGAATTATTATTTCAGTATTATTAAAATAATGGATCTTTTTAGGCCTTCTTCGTGGAATCATAGTAGTCAGTGGCAATTAACATCTGATAACAATCAGTTAAATTTAGTCATACTTGGAAGCAGTGGACTTGGCGAAGAATTTGCTCGTGAAATAAGAGCACAAACGGAGGATGACGAAGTAGAAATTGATTGTCAGTTATATACGCTTGGATATCGAATAATTGATGGTGACGTCGGGTTACCACACAATTCATTTACCACTTCTGACTTTATGCCTCACGGTATGCAACAATGCTATAGTTATTGTGTATAGACATATCAGAATGGAATTCTAAAAGCATTTTATATTTATAGGGTCATTCTGTATTTACGCAGATGATTATTCTTTTGAATATATTCGTTCTTCTTTAGAAAAGACTTTATTATCGAATCTAGAACAGGAAGATAGGTTACCATTTCAAGGATTACCTATTGTTATTATGTTTGTGCCAGAATCAACTATAGATGAAATGGAAGCAATACGACTTAGGAAAGAGGGCCAAAATCTTGCTGATAGGTATTAATTACTCGTGTACCTTATATTATGTTGTAAATAGAAAAGAAATTAACCATCAATTTTTATACCAGTTTACAGTGTCCATTTATTGATGTCTGTATAGAGGATTTAGAGCAAGATAAAAGGTTTCCTGCTCCGCTTGTGAAAGATGCATTGCAACAACTTATACAATCTATAAATCATAGAGCTGGTTTTTTAAATATTTACCAAAGTGTTATTGAATGTTTAGAACCGGATATTAGGTAAACTAGATTATATTATATGTTAAAAAGAAAGAAAATATATCAATATTACTTTTATTTTAGAATAATAATGTGTATGTTCTGTGGGGATCCATATTCCGTCGAAAATGTACTCGGTCCTCTACTCAATCATCAATGTTGTTTCCTTAGTGGCGACCGATCGATTGTTTTAGAAACATTTCTAGGAGAGTCGAAACGAAGAGTTGAAGTTATTATTTCAAGTTTCCACGGGGCAAATGCATTTAGGGACGAGTTAGTACATGGTTTTATACTAGTTTATTCTACAAAAAGGAAAGCCTCACTCGCAACTCTTAAGTACGTATATAATCATTTTTGTATGTTTCAAAACTATTTCATTTTAATTCAATATTTTTTTCATAGTGCATTTTCCATGAACATACCAAACTTACCAATACAAATAATGGCTGTGACTGATACTGGAGGTGCTAATGCTTTCTTCAGTAATGACTTAAGTCATTTACTTATTACGGAAGGAAATGCAATTGCGGATAAATTGCAAGCACATTTTATGACATCAGCATCCAGTTGCCAACAGAAAAGTATGTTACAATATTTAAGATTAAATTATGTTTAAATTTTTAATTTCTTAGTTTAACTAACTATATCATGTTTATTACAGCGGCATTTTATACTCCATTCTTCAAAGAAGTATGGGAGAAAAAACCTGAAATTGAACAAGCATTTAATATGGAAGAACCAGGTAATCTGAATGATAGTGGCGAAGGAACTTTGGAATACACTGCATTACATCCTATGCCACCACCACGACATGAAAGTTACCACCTTCAAACACCGGACGATGGGTAAGTAATCTGAAGAGATTTTTTAAAATATCATCTAATTAATTATGATTGATATAAAAATTTCTTTGTATTTCAAAAATCTAATGTGAAGCAGTATGTCTGTAACTTTCAGAAGTGGTTCTGAATCATATGAGCAATTAACTCCTGATGGTGATCTTGGAGATACTGGATTAAATGAACAGTTTGCCAACAATAGAGCTACTCCTAGTGATGACAGTGATATTTATAGCCAAGTAGAATTTTATAGAGAAGAAAGAGAGAGGGATTTGTTAAAACCAGGAGATATTACAAACAAATTATCTGGTTAGTTTTATATTAGTTTTATATTAGTAAAATCATGGAGATAAAGTATTATCTTTATTCATATAGTTCTATTTTTTAAATATATTCTTTTATTACAATAGGTTGGGTAAAAGACACGTTTATGCATCAAGATGGAGTAACTAATAGTTATTCTCATAGAGCTTTCACAACAGGCAGGCGTTATATTTCTCAGACAAAACCACGACCGAAAGGAAATAGTCAAACCTTAAAACAACCTGGCAAAATAAATTTAAAAGATTTTTCAAATGTAACAGATGCCATAGCTAGAATGACAGTAGGTGAGAAGGATGAACATGGTCCTAAAATAACTATGGGTCATGCCCCTCTTGCTACACCCGAATTGGTAGACTTAGGTTCCGAATATGCGCAAGTTAAAGACGTTGTGCCCAGTCTATATCCTTCTTATGATGGTGATTATATGTACGCTTCAGTACAAGATTCTGTTGGAAATAATAAACCTAAGTTACGTCATAGACGCGAAAAAGGACAAGGTAAGAATCTAATTAAAGAAAATATTTGTTGGAATTTATTAATCTACATTAATTATGGAATTTGATTTGTAGCATATAGTGACTCTGATTCTGAGTGGAGTTCTTTAGAGAGACAAAGGGTTGCTGATGTCTTAGGTAAAGCAAACAAAAAACCACCATCACACAAAAGGATACGAAAAAAACGTACTGCTATACCTGTCGCTGCACCTAAAGTTCCATCTTTGGCTAGTATGGGAAGTGGGGATGGTATTGTTGGTTTGAATTATAATGTCAAAGAGGATAAAAATTGGCGAATAAACCCTACAGAAAGAGGTATTAATTTGGTCGAATGTTTTATAGAATGGTTATTAGTTATCTGAGATGGTTTCTTTATTTAGTGTCTAGTGAAACACCAGATTCTTCCGAATCTAGTGATCCAGAGCATACTTCGAGATCGAGAGCAAAACAATATAAACATGCTGCTGCTAGTCTACGAAAAAGATTTGGAAATTCATTACCACAGCAACATTTACCTACATCATTACAACACCCCTACAATGTAAAACATATGACTCAAGAAATGTTTAGTGCTTCCTGTAAGTAGTATTATCGTATAATTATGAATTTTTTGCATGCTAAAAGATATTTAAGAAGAGATACAAATATGTTTGGTAGCTTATGTGTGCATGCTTTATATCTCTTGCTTTTTAAAAACGAAAAGATATCGTCATTGTTTCAATATTTTAATTGTGCTATTAGTTTGATAACTTAATAATTCGAAATAGTTTTCAAGAATCAAGATTGTCAGGATTTAAATAAATTATTAATATCACACGTTGTAAATAATAGTTGTAGAATTTTTTCCAATTATTTTTTAAGATGGTTCAGACAGGATACAACAGGAGGTTTGCTCTGAATTATTTCTTATGTATTTGATATTGCATGAAATTATTATCATTTTAGTAAAGCAGAGGAGTGACATTATCTTTGGCAACATTCCAGATGATGAATCCAGCTTAGATGTTTCGTCTCCACGAGAAATTAATTCTCCCAGTGTAAGTAAAAAAGGATACGTGAAAAACTAAAGCTTAATCTTTGCATAAATTTTTTTAAAGACATTCTTTTTTGATTTGGTATTTTAAATAAGGTCAAAGATGGCGATAAATTGAACAGAAAAAAGGACAAACAAAAAGCGAAAGAAGATGAAAAGTTAGAAAAGCGTCGCCAAAAAGAAGAAAAGCTTAAAAAACATGCAGAAAAAGAAAAAGAAAGGGAAAAGAAGAAACAAGAAAAAATAAAACAAACTAAAGGTGCTAGTTCAGCATTAAGCATGAGTCAACCATTAATTGAAGATTTCGCACAAAGTGAAACAAATCGAATACCTTTATTTCTTGAAAAATGCGTGCAATTTATTGAAGACGAAGGATTAGATTCTGAAGGTATATATAGGGTTCCTGGAAATAGAGCGCATGTTGAACTCCTCTTTCAGAAATTTGAAGAAGGTAAGTTTTTTTTTATTTGAAATTAATTATTATTTATATATTTGTTTCAATATGTTTTATATTTTTTTTATTATTACAGATGGAAATGTCGACATACATTCATTGGATATACCAGTAAATGCTGTTGCAACTGCTTTGAAAGATTTCTTTTCAAAGAGGCTACCACCGTTGATTGATAAAGAACGAATGAGCGAACTCGAGGACATTTCAGGTAAATAATAATAATTTATTATATAAATAATAATATTAAATAATAATAATAACTTTAATGTTAATCTAAATTTTGTTATTTTAAAATTACTGATGCTAATTTTTTTCTGTTTAGGTGCTCGTGGTATTAGCAAACCAATGTCCGCAACATGTATGAATATGGAAGGTATGTATTACTATATTTTAGATGCATAAAGAAATTAAGTAATACTTTAGCGTAATTAACTATAAATTTATTATAGATCGAAGCTGCAGATTGTTGGCATTGCGTTTGATGCTCAACAAATTGAATCCAATTAATTTTGATGTACTTAAATTCATTTTTCATCATTTTGTAAAGTAAGTATCTGTTATAGTTTAAATAGTTTACGTATTGATCATAATTTTAATACAATGATTATATTTTTAGAGTGGCTGAAAATTGTAAGCTGAATAGTATGGATAGTAAAAACTTGGCAATCTGTTGGTGGCCTACTTTATTACCTATAGAATTTAATGATCTTGGCAGATTTGAAGCAATGAGACCATACCTGGAAGATGTTGTTCAAACGATGATAGATCAATATCCTTTCTTGTTTTGTGGCGAAGAAGCTATTGTAATGGTGTAGTGAAAGACTACATTATTTCGAATTGTACAATTTAAGGTTGTACAAGTAAAACGGGGGAATAATTACATGTCAGTACGGTGTGTATTATTTCTGTAAAGTTTAGTCCTTATGATCATGACTAATGATTGGTCTCGTTATGTTTATATACCATGACTTGATCGTAGTGCACTTGAGCTACGACTAGGATAATTTTCGTGACGCGAAGACCGAACAAATTAATTTAAGTTTACATACTCGTTCCATTGCGAAGTGTGACTGACGGAGTGATAGATTAATGGTCCTAATAATGGCTGTTTGCAGGCCCGATAATAATGCGCATAATAAAAAGTCAATCCATGTGTCATAACAGTATGCATGTATCATGTTGGATGTATTCAGAGCGATGTATTTATTAACATGTATTTAGATGTAAGTCTCGATATTTGATACTAGCGAATACTCGTAGTAAGCTCGATGTTGCTTTTTTATCCGATGTATTTTTTTCTTTTTTCTTTCTGTTTTTATGTTTTTCTTATAGATAAGAGATCTGTTCATTGTATGCAACGTGTATGCGTGTATGCGTGAAGAAGAAAGAAAGAGAGAAAAAGAGAGAAAGGAAAATGACGCAATCTTATAAAAAAATATTCATATTCTAAAACGTGTTAAAGACATTACTATAAAATGTACGAGGTATGCAAATTTTCTCTAATACTACATGCGCATTTTTATATAGCAAAAATATCAAAAGTTTCGAAATATGACTACGAGTAACTCAATTTCTCGATTAATTGAATTATCGTTTTCAGTCTCGAAAGTGTTTTTCATTTGCATTTAATCGATATACATCTCTTTCTCGAATCGATATTTCAGAATATCAGTTATATTCAGTTGATTTAATAGAGCTACTTAGGCTCGGTGATACAATGCATAATATTCATCCATTCCGTCTGAGTGAAAAACAAAAACGAACAAAAGAAAAAAAAGAAAAAAAGAAAAAAAGTGAGGAAAATGAAAAGCGTTACATGTATTCGCGATTTTTTCAAGATGTGCAGATTGTAAGGATATTGATATGGTTTTAATTATTAAGATAAATCTCGAAGATTTCCGAATTTATAACAAATCACGGGAATACTAAATACTAAGAACAATACTTAGAATTTCACAGACATTTTTTCAAGTTTCATAAAGCGAACAAGTGTACATAAGATTATAAGATTGTAAGCTACGAAAAGTTTATAACAAGAATATCACGAAGATCGACCTATCGATACTTTCGAGATAATTCAGTGGTCGCCATGACACAAATCGCTTCTATCCTTTTTTACGCGATTGCATGTTATATTTGAAGAAAAAGTAACTGAATAATAGACGAAGGTTCGTGTTTTTAATCGCATATTGTATTTTGTATATCAGCTTTCATCTGTATTTATAAAAAAAGTATTTATCAACGTTTCTTTTTATTTCTCGAACAGCTTTAGCATACCGTGGTCACGGAACATGCAACCGATCGTCAAACTGTTCAACCATTTTTGCTCTAGTACCTGCTGCGTTGTCCCGAACTACGTAACAATTCTCATTTGGTAAAAAAAAATCATTGTTTCAAATTAATACATTTCTGATAACTTTTATGTATTTCCATGTATAAAAAGTTCTGACGATCGTCGTTAACTGTACTGAAGATGAAATGAAATTCAATACTATTGAACGCATCAACAGATCAAACGACTGAGCCATTAGAACTGTGATGTAGTTACTTGTTTTTAATAATGTATAATAGTAACTGTGTCGAGAAAGATAAAAAGGATTGTTCCATGACGCTTAACGTGATAGATGCGTTCTTTGTTGAGACGAAGCTATTGTTTCACGATCAGTGTATGTTAGCAGTTAGTTGATTTTTCCAGCGTGTAAAACCTCTTCGTCTATTAATGCGGAATGTGGTCCGATTCAAAGTCCGTTCAAATAGCGACGAATTCACACGTGGGTGTGCCATATCGTGTGTAGTTGTCATGATGGTAATGTAACCGTATATCTTTCGGGGATGGAATGTTCGGAGGTGAGGATGATCAAGTACATCAACCGACGATTGATCAGTAATGGAACCACTGTGTTTCTTTCTTGTTTTATTTTATTCGATAATCCGAAATGTAACAAGAAACATTCCCGCGAGTAACAATTGAGGTTACTTCCGGTTTTGTCGAGCGCGAATTCGACGAGGTTCATGTTCCTTCGGCAAATGAATACGTTGCGCGTAAACGAATCGAGGAGGAAGAAGAAGAAAGAAAGAAAGAAAGAAAGAAAGAAAGAAAGAAAGAAAGAAAGAAAGAAAGAAATGATTTTCGAACAAGATCGTTCGATCTCGACGAGTTCGTCCTCGATAAATTTTGCACTGTCGTATTTATAAGAAAAATCGTTGTAACGATATTTCGATGATCTAACGAGCGCCGCGAGGATGCTTAGCGACAAGCAACGGATCGTACATTCCCGTATTAGTCGTAACATGAAACAAAAAAAAACAGAATTTTATACATTCGTACGTACATAATTGTATAATGTTATTAATAGGAACAGAGACGTCGATGTTACGTGTGAGATCTGGGATATGGATCAAATGCTGTCTGAAATAATAATGACATGATTTCTGTCATTGTCGCTGAATTTAAACTGGCTAAATTCTTCGAACACCCTGCTCGTCACACCTTTCGACAATGATTCTCTTTTATCCTTGATTGTCATTGCGTCATCGTTATTCTCTACTTTACTGCTTTAGCATAAAAAATTTACGTGAATCAATATTTTTATTATGTCGTTACTCTCTTATTTGCTTTCTTTTCAATCGGTTTTCCTTAGATATTTCGTCCACGAGGAAGGATTAGATTTTGCACCATCCCATTTTTAATTTCACGTTACGTCGTCGTATAAACTTCATAGATTTTCTTCTGTCCTTTCTCTCCACGCTTTTAAATGACATCCTCCGTAAATTCCGTGTATTTCAAGAGCATCAAGGTTTCACAAATTTAGTAAGACTAAATTTACATTAGAAAATTGGAAGCCCGCGCTCGATTCATTTGTCGTGAATTTCTGAATTTTCATTTTCTCAGAATCGACGGTTCCTGGCATACAGAATGCGTTTTTGTTTTCCTTCCTTCGTCGATTCTCTCGATTTCACATTTCTCTTTGTTCGTTGATTTCTTGTAATTCGAGAACATTGCACAGAGTCGCTGTTGATTCGCACTAATCAACGACCAATTCTGAGATTCTTTGCTTCATCTGTTCGCTTCATTCAGAGGGTATAAGTATACTACAATCATTCGTACGTGTAACAACTTTTGTAAATAATTCGTACATACGCATAAATACAAATACAAATGCATACATAGGAAAATACAAATGTACATATATCATAACATAAGCACACGAAAATGGATGCAGTCTGCCCTTGTTGTATCGATGTCGATATCAAACATTGTATTTGAACAAAGAAACTTTTCATTATTAAAAGTTTTCTCGAGTAACTCATACTACACTTCATTAAGCGAGATTTCTTATTTTAGTGACACCCTTTTAGAAGATTGTATCGGGAAGATCGTGATTCCATTCCATTGTTTCGAAACTTTAATAATTACAACGTCTAATAAAGGATGTTAAAGTAACTTTAACATCGTGACACGAACTGTGGAAACGCAAACGATCCTCGATAAATTCTTCCGTAATCTGTTAATATTCAGCCTAGTTAATAATAATATTAACAAAGTATTTTATTTTTAATAGAATCATATCATTCATATATTATTTTATGATTATATCATATATCATTCATCATATCATTCATCAATATATCATTCATATATTATTTACTAATGTTGACTTATTGATCATTTTCAGATAAAATATTGCTTATAAATAAGCATATTGCGGCAGTGAACCAGTCGTATAATTTTACGAATTACATATAAATATGTATGCGGAAAATATTTACACAAATTAATACACGTCAGTTGAAGTATATAGGAAGGTATACATACATGATAAAATTTGATTTAAGACATCACTTTAAAAACTACAGAAATGAGGTGTATTCCTTTTCTGAAATTGTTCTTTATATTTCTGCATTATTGGGAATGATATTGCAGAAGTACAATCTGCTTCACAACATTCTGGTTACTATGAAGCGTGTCTCAAAATCATGCCAACGAATATTTCTGTATCTTGAAAAGAGAATTCATAGCACGGAATAGCAAGAAAGACAACAAGCCTCTATGTACGTTTTCTGAACGGCTTGTCTTCTTTCATAAGAAAAAGATGAAAATAACAGATATTGTTCGATACTTGAATATGACAATTTTATAATTCTACTCTATAGAATCTGTCCAAATAGTTTAAATTATCGAGTTACTAGACATGAGAGAGAAAAGGGTATTATTTTTGTACGTAAAAATAGTCGTAATTATATAAACGATAAATCATCGTGAATTTTCCTTTTTATATTTGTTCGTACAACAATTAACAATGTGGCTGGTCAAGAGAAAATCGATCTTTCAGAATTTACTGAGAGTTTTCACTTAAAATTACAGATGTATAAAGTCAATAGTTAAGACATACAATAGTCGCACAGATCTGATCTAATAGCAGTAACAATGAAACTATAAAAAGTGTTTACAAAACTATTTCAACAACAAGGATCGTCTTCATGTTCAGTTTCAATGTTCATTACTGTTTTCTCTTCTTCGCTTCGAGTTATCTGCTTATTCAGTTACAAGTGTGTGTATTTCTTTAGGAGAAAATTAACGAGGTTTCGTGAAAACAAGAACTCGAAGTAGCAGGGAAACTGGCAATTGACGCAAGAGAAATCCAAACGGAGCCACGAACGCAATAGAGTTTCGCATTTAAGTTATATCATTCAATTTTTATGTCTATCAACGTGGATTATTTTCGTCTGAACAGATGGATAGGTCTGAGCAAAGGAAAACAGAATAGATTTGGATCGCGTGGACGACTCGCGATTGTACGTTTTTCATGTTATGATTTAATGATTTTATTTGCAAGAGTTTGATTTAAAATAAAAGAAAAAAAAAAAAATATACGAGAATTAACGAGAAAGCGCAAACTATTGCGTAATAAACAATCGGGAAATCTTAAATTTGGAAAATGGCTTGCTGCAGAAAAATTCTTGCTAGCTTGAATTCTTTTTTCTCTCGACGGTAGCCAATCTATAACTCACTTTAGTCGTATTTCGAGTTTAAAAGTGAAAAATGCTCGAATACCAGTTGCACTGAATGGCTTCAGGATTAATGCTTTTGTTACGAATTATTTCAAAATTTTTTTTATCTCTCTTGTCCCTTTGATGTTTTTCTTTTGTTTCATATATCTTTTTCTTTTGCGTATTTTTTAGATGAACAGGGCGAAACTCCGAAAGTTAAAGATAATCGCAGCCCTTTCTTTTTTGTGATGAGCAAATATACTTCACAATATACGTCACAATAAATCGATCACTATCTTTCAAGATTCTGATTTTTCTTTGGTGAGTCGACATCTTTTCTATTTCCATCTTCGAAATATCCTTCTCATTTTTCCTCTGAACGTTCCCCTAATTACTCAATATATTTTTCATTTTGACTCTTTGAGAAATCGTTTTGTTTGAAATGATCCAATATATTTTTAGGGCAGAAGGTTCGAGTTTCCCGTGAAGAAATGGTTCAAGATTAATTTCATACTTCCGTGAAAGGTAATTTTTGAACCAGTCTCGTCGGGGGACCGCTCGATATATAGACAAATGCGACCAACTCCACCTCGTTCCGTTTCCTTTCCTAGGTCGTTTCTACGAAGAAAAGAATTTTAATCGTGAATAGCATCGCGCAGATCGTTCTTTTTTTTTTTTTTACTCGACGTATTTACACGAGCAAAGGATAAGGGCTGTAGGTTGGACTACGAAGTGTCGCTTGAAAACCGAGATAGAGAATCGGGCAGTTTAAAGCGAACTCGAATTAGTGACGGTCCACAATTCAGAGCTTGTTTCTCTTTCTCTCATTTCCTTTCTGCTCTTGTTTTTCTCTTTGTTTTCTTTTTCCCAACGAAACATTTGGCTAATGCGAAAAGAAGTTCTTTCATGTCGTTCCACGGACTTTAAGCGATTTCTATGTATCCGTGTTTCCTACCGTTAAATAGTTTTTTTCAATTTCGACGCATGATTTTTTTTCAATTAACATGCCGTCTCGGTCGAGTCGATTAGTATTGGAATATTTTATTTCCTCGGATTCAACATTTTGAATTTCTCGGGCTTGCGTTTTTGTACTTTTATCAATAGAAAGCGATACAGGATGTTGTTTTCGATGAGTTTCCTTCGTATAAACCAGAATCGTTTGTCATTGGATACCATTGCACGTCAGTGGCGCTTGATCCTACCATTGTCGCGAACAGATAAAAGCGCGATATATCCGGCCGAGAAAGGGAATTGTTGTTTCTTCCAAGAGCAAAGTTGAAATCCGATTAAAAGCTTCGCAGTGGAAGCATCGGCGGTGATGGGAAACTTTCCGGCTACGTTCGAGCAGCATTTACGCGACTGGTATCGAGTGAGGTGCGCTTCGATCCTTGATCTGAAAGGCTCAACAGAAATTAAGAAGGTGGTATTATCTGATGGTATCAAGGCCGAATCCTTGCCCGGCCATTTTCATGGAAGCATTGAAAACGGGCCAAGAGGTCGACGTAAATGATGGATAAAAGTTTTATTCAGTGAGACGAGAATCTCGCTTGAAATCTCGATGAAACTTTTTAGATAAATCAATGGATAGACAAAAAAGGAAATACTTTACCTATGCTTCGTCAATGCTCGGGATTGCTTCAACTTCTTTTCAAAGTCCTCCGTTTCTTCGACCGTCGAGAATGGAATTTAATCGTTTAGCAAAACGCGAGAAGTAAGAGCAAAATATTTCGCGAGGATTCGTTTTTTTTTTTTTTTTTTTTTACGAGGCCGAACAAAGAATTAAACGGAGATTAAAGAGTTGGCGAGGCACGCCGGAAACTGGAGAAAGAGCGAACTCAGGCCCACTTAAGCGGACGTTACACCTCGCGCTAGAGGATATGCACTTGCGTTTTGAGGTTGCACTCTTTCGCACGTTCATTAGCGTCGTCAGTTTACCTGGCGGCGAAGCATACGCCACTCGTTTCGTCTTGGAACCGTCCAGAAGTGGTTTCAGGACGTTCACGACAGACCTTGGTCCACGTCTTCCTTTTCGACGCGCTTGCCTTTAGCAAGTTCCACCTCTTTGCATTTAAAATGACTCGGTCTCGCAGTCATTTCCCAGCGTGATTACGTTGCGTTGTTTGCACACTGTCGTTGAACTCGAAACCGTTTGATCCGTGACGTAACTTTTAGTTACAGTTTTCTAGGTTGGCTTAGCATCCATATTTCATGCATCGAGGGAAATTTCAAATAAGAGCCGAAAGATGAATAGTGTATTCGATGGAAAGTAATAGAAGCCGTTTGAATAATTTCTAGGTTGAATTAAATGCCACCCTAGGAACAATATAGCAATATATTTCGCCTCTTTGGAATCGAGGAAAGTGAAACACCTGACCTGTCGTAATAAATGAAAATTCAATGCGTGCTACAAGAAACCGGCTGGCTAATCGTCGCAAATATGCCGCGAGTATTTGCATATTCGGGTCAAGCTGGTTATCAGCTAGCTGTGTTTAGGCACTCGCGAGATTATTCGCGCGGTCGGTGATTTCAGGCATCACTGAGTAATGGTGACATTGCACTGCATCACAAAGGAAATGACGATGGAATGCCAGTCTTCTTTTATATAAATTTTTCTGGTTGAATTAACGCAACGTTGAGGAATGTCGTCAACAGTGAATTGGAGCAAGATACGGGGACGAGGAGTTAGGAAAAATTCTTGACAGTTATCACTTTTTCAGATAAACGACAAAAATTTAGTCGATAATAAAAATTTGAGTGGAAGCTAGAGGGAATACGGATAAAAAGTTTGGCCCGAGGCGTTTCTATAGGTGGAAAGACAAACAGAAGATTAGGGGTTGAGTGTGGCAATAACAAGGCGCGACAAAATAAGAAAAGAGGCCGTATAAAAACAGCAGAGAGCGTGGAGGGAGAGCTCGAACGAAGCAGGGCCATCTGAGCTGAAACCGGAAAAATAGCGACGAACAAAAAGCCGAGAAAGCAGCGGAAAGGAGGAAGAGAGAATAGGGTTGATGATGTGGAACTGCGAATCTTAAGAAGAAGCGGAAGAAACAAAAGTACACGATAAGAGAGAGCGAGAGGCGATGAAACGCGAAATGGCAGCAGTGGAGAATCAGGTAAAGGGGCGCCGAAAATTGGGGAGCACAGGAGAAAAAAATGAAACTAACGTGTAATTGGTTGCAGCACGAAGATTCTACACTTGTCACGTGCTACGTGGAACAGAAGAAAATAAGCTACAACATGCTACAACGGAGAGGCTTAATCACGTAATATAATTATGCGTTTATAGCTATACAGACCGCTGCGATGATAGAATCTAAAAGCAAATGACTTGAATGAACTTTGACTATTAATATAATATGCGTATAGAAAGGACAGTGCTGGAAGAGGGTCGGGTGTTCGAGGAATTGGTATAAAATCGAAACGCGCAGAGAGGCAAATTAAGATCGAGGAATAATTGGACGTTGGTTGCGCGAACAAGGCCCGAGCGCGCGTAGCCCCATAAACCTACATTTAAATTCAATCACAGCGGAGAAGCGACGAGGCGGAAGGTACGAGAGATACATCCCTTGACGCGCGCATACGCGCAGCCAACGAACGCACGGGAACAGTCAAAGAAGAGAAACGGCGATGGAATCAAACAAACAAATAAACAGATAACCAAGAGTTCATCAAAAAGAGAGATAGAGATAGGCGAGGGAGAGGGAAGTAGGGAAGAGCGAGGTACGGATAAGATGAAAGAGGAAGAGTCTGGGGATTTGGTGGAAGATGGAAAAAGACGGGGGAACGGTGAGCAGAGTGGCAAAGCAGAGTGGTGAAGCAGAGCATGGAAGACGGAGGGTTGAAGGTGAGGGTGGCGTAAAGGGTAGGGGGACGGATGACGTCATAGTTGAGGGTTGCCCGGGCAACGGGGAAGCGGTTCGCCGCCGCGTCGGGACACCGTCGTGCGTCGCCACCGCCGCCGCGACGTAAAAATCAATTTGGACCTTGGCTAGGTGACCGTTCGCTCGGCGCTGCGTCGCGGCTGCTCCGGCGGCTCGAGGCTCGAGAGCAGCACGCTTCCCTTCCGGAGCTGCCGGCTCTACCTCGCCATCGAGTACGAGCGAGCAAGCGAGCGAACGAGCGAACGAGCGAACAAACGAGCAAGCTAGTTAGCTAACGACCGACCGAACGACCGACCGACCAACCTACCTACCGACCGACCGACCGACCGACCGACCGACTGAGCAACCGACCAACCGATCGACCGCCTGACCGATACCGCACCGCGAGCTGTAGCTCAGTCGCGAGTCGTCAACCGAGCGGGTACGCCAGACGGTAGAGAACGCGTCTGCCAGCGAGCGTGTTCGCTGACGCGCACACCTACACTCGTCGCACGCGACCGACCGGCCACATTCTCTCTCCGGTCTCCTATCTCCACCGTGTCCGATCGTACCTGACGCCTATTCGTTCACGCGAACAATGATCCACGAGAAGGAGATTCGCGTCTCGCTGTGTTGACAAATCATCATCGTGGTCGCTGTCTGTTTTCGACGTTTTCCCTGTGGATCGCGTGCACGCTGCACGAAGCCGATCGAACGATAGTTTTGTGCACGGGGACGATGAAAAGACACGAGTGGATAACACGAATCACATCGAAGAAGTTTGAACAGTTATCCAGCGAGGAACATTTGTAAACAAAGGGAAGAGAAGTTCCGGCCGGTTCGAACGAGGAGGGTCGGGGAAGCACCGGCTTCCTGATCTTCCTCCCAACCTAAACTGTTGTGTGACGTTTTATTCTTACCGGTGTCTTCGAAAAGCGAAGTGACAACGAGTCAAAGATTCGGCGCAGTTAGCGTTTTTTTTTTTTTTTCTGAGGAAAGAGACGACGAGTGGTTTACTAACGAAGCGAGATACTCTCCGGAGGTTTCTTAACCGAACAAGCGAGGGATGAACGAGCAGCGCGAAAGAGACAAACGGAGCATCGAGATCGCAATGAAAATCATGGCTGCTGAAGCAGCCAGAGTGGTTACGGTTTCACGTTGAATCAGTAGGCTGTGTGCTCTGTAGAATTGTGGTGTCACGAGGAAGGAGCCCACGGTGTGACGCATGCGACGTGCCGTCTATCGCGAGAGCTGTGCGTCGCGGAAAAACATCTGCGCGACCGGTGAAGCTTTTACTCGTGTGCCTCCCCGCTCTGACGTATTACGACGTCGACGAATGGAACCAGCGTGGTTCTTGCCTACTGTGTGATCCACAACGGGCCTCGAGCAAGTAAAAAAAGCTTGCGCGTGCCGAGAACGAACAGGCTGTATCAACACAGCTACGCAATGAATGTTTCGCGGACGATGCACGAAAATCGCTCGAGACCAGTAGTTGAGAGCTTTCGGTCGCGATCGAACGTTCGTCGTTGAAGAATTTCTTTTCTTCGTTTGGTGTTTGAATTCATTCCTTTCTGTAACATTCTTACCGACGACGCTTTGACCTGGAGAACGCGTCTCTTAAAATATTGATAGCAACATATTCGTAGAGAGAGAGAGAGAGAGAGAGAGAGAGAGAGAAAGAGAGAGAGGAAAACAAAGTATTCTGTTCTCGTGGAAAGATAAACAGTTCCACAGAAAGATAAAAAGCAGATGACCCAGTCGATTCAGGGAAACTAATTGACAACTGAAGAGGAAAAGAGAAATAGAGAGCACGCGATAGGTGGCCAGTTTGTACTTAGTAGGCTATCGCGTCGATTACGCTCGACGAAACAACACGTCCGGCACGTGGTGGACTCGAAAAGTTGCCGTGAATTAATTAAAATATCAGGCGCCGTGGGTCGCCGCGTGGTTTGAAACGAAAATGTTGCTGGGTATGTGGCCGGGCTTTGATTGGAAGTATCGCGCGTGAATGGAAGCGAAGAAAGAGTTGCTCCGTTTTGCGCAGCACTCGCGGTGCTTCGACAATGTAGCAGAGCGTCGTTTCGATGATTCTCGAGGATATTCTGGTGCAAGAGTCGGTTTCATATAGTTCATCTCAGACGTGGCAACTATAGGGCGAAGAGACGGCGAAGAAACAGGTGGAAGATCTTGTGCTCGATACACCGATCTCGAAGGGAGAAAGAGGGAAACACACCGAGAAGCGAGCACGAAACGGAAACTCTCGGTATCGATGATGGTGGAAGGCAAGTTGCCAGGAGATTCGTTGTCGTGGTGCTCGCGTTTCTCTGGTACGAGCTGCTCTTGCTAATATCGCGAGTTGTGTGGCAAGTGAACGAAAAACAGCAAAGGAATGCCGAGGTACGATGACGGACTTGGTGCACGATCTTAGGATCGCGGTGTCGTTGTCGACGTCGTCGTCGTCGTCGTCGGCGTCGACACGTATTTGGTGGGAACGCTGCCTGTGCTGTACGATCAGCTAATACAGATAGATAGATCGTTCGAATGGCGACAGGCCTCGAGAACGACCGGCTCCGTTAGGAGATTGTCGAGGATTTTTGAACTCGAACGACTCGTGAATTCCTTCTTTCATCAATTCCGTTCGAGAAAGAGAGCCATTAGATATTTCCTCGATTCATGCAATCGAGTTTTGGGCGAGTTATTTCTTCAAACACGCAGGAAAGTGGAATTTGCGAAGAAGACGCGAAGAACGTGAGCCACGAGAAACACGGGAAGGTGATAGCCGAGATAACCGAGCAAAACACCAACAATCGATGCGCCAACAAACGTAAATACGAAATACGAAAAATGACAGCGGTGTTTATCTATGCGTTCCGCGAACTGTAAATAACTGTGATCTAGGAGTAGAGTCGTTCAGTTAATGACCGATTATCGAACAGGACTCGAGAACGAGACTCAAGAATATTGAGGGAAACGGGAAAGAAATCAAAGCATTAAATAGAAATAATAATCCCTTTTTTGGGGGATAGTAGTAACACCGAATAAAGAAAGATAATAATAGTCCCTGCATGGGGATAGTAATAATTGAATAAACAGACCGAGATAATAATAATAATCCCTGGTATAGGGATAGTAATAAACTGAATAAAAAGAAAAAAAAAACAAGATAATAATAATAATCCCTGTGTTGGGGATAGTAATAGCGCTGAATACAAAGTAAAAGAGAAAAGAAACAAGATAAAAGAGGGAAAGAAAGGTGGAACAATTTAGCGACAAGAGAAAGCTATTCCACCATCGAGCATGGCCTCGGTGGCAGCATGGCTGCCATTCGCCCGTGCAGCGGCGATTGGTTGGGTGCCGATCGCGACACATCCACTGCCACCGCCGCCGATTCCGAAGGATCGTCGCAAGGCCGACGACGAGAAGCTGCTAATAAACGTGAGCGGCCGTCGCTTCGAAACTTGGCGGAACACCCTCGAGAAGTATCCAGACACTCTTCTCGGCTCAAACGAGCGCGAGTTCTTTTACGACGAGGAGAGCAAAGAGTACTTCTTCGACCGTGATCCAGACATTTTCCGTCACATTCTCAACTACTACAGAACCGGTAAGCTTCACTATCCGAAGCACGAATGCCTGACGAGCTACGACGAGGAGTTGGCGTTCTTCGGCATACTTCCGGACGTGATCGGCGACTGTTGCTACGAAGACTATCGCGATCGGAAACGGGAGAACGCGGAACGTTTGATGGACGACAAGCTGAGCGAGAATGGCGATCAGAATCTTCAGCAGCTGCTGGACATCAGGCAGAAGATGTGGAGGGCATTCCAGAATCCACACATCTCGACGGCGGCTTTGGTGTTCTACTACGTAACCGGTTTCTTCATCGCCGTGAGCGTGCTGGCGAACGTGGTCGAGACCGTGCCGTGCGGTAATCGTCCGGGACGCGCCGGTACGCTTTCATGCGGCGAACGTTACAAGATCGTCTTCTTCTGCCTGGACACTGCGTGCGTCATGATATTCACCGCGGAGTATCTATTGAGGCTGTTCGCGGCGCCGAGCCGGTGTAAGTTCGCGCGATCCGTCATGTCCATCATCGACGTGGTCGCCATACTCCCGTACTACATTGGTCTCGGTATCACCGACAACGACGACGTATCCGGTGCTTTCGTTACGCTGCGCGTCTTCCGTGTGTTCCGGATCTTCAAGTTCTCCAGACACTCGCAAGGTCTCAGGATCCTCGGTTACACCCTGAAGTCCTGCGCGTCAGAACTCGGTTTCCTCGTCTTCTCCTTGGCAATGGCCATCATCATATTCGCCACGGTGATGTTCTACGCAGAGAAGAACGTCGACGGGACGAACTTCACCTCGATTCCTGCCGCATTCTGGTACACCATCGTTACGATGACTACCTTAGGGTGAGTTATATACATTTTTTTTCTTTTACGTAATAAAAATGATTCAACGTCTTGGTCGACGAAAGCAATTTACTCATTTATCCTGTTGCGACTTAACCTTGCGTGACTGGCGAGAAAATCGTTTCTCATAACATTTCACGATATTAAGATCTGATATCCCGTTTCATTTTTCGTTGTCAAGCTTGTACGATTCGATTAGGAATTAGTAATTTGTACAGCGAGTGTTTATCCAACCGATCTTTTTCCTTTGGCAATGAAGCAGCATATCTCGAGCTACGAGATGTATTGAGGTAGCTAGAGCAACTCGTAGCCCTGGCTAGATACGTGTCGAATGAAACAGATGTAACGGGTGCATCTGTGAAAGTAATTGGCTCCGTGTAAACCGCCCGAAGCTGGAACAAGCACCGGTCTCCAGTGATATTTTTAAACAGAGGTCGTTGTCGACCTTTTTACCTCGAAGGGCCTCGCTGCTTTCTCTAAATATCCGCAGCATAGCAGAAGCACCGTCCTCGAATACCCCCACTGACAATTTCTTATGCTTCGCTCTCGCTCTTCACCCCTTTTCGTTTCCTTTCGTAAATTCGTCTCTCTTCGACCGGTCCTTTCAATCCCCTCCAAGTCAAACCAACCAGAGCATTTGCCGCGTTTGTATTTTAATTACTCTGCGAAAGAAGTTCGTTTCCTATCCCAAATTCAATTCCCCTTTATGTTCCCTTTGGTTTTCCACAGACGTGTTTCGTTTCACGATAAGTCTGAACTTTGACATCGTTCGACATTGGAGAGCACAAAGTGTTCAGACTTTCAATCATCTGCTCGTGGAATTTTTAATAGTACTAGTTTTTGCTCGGTGGCGAATTTCGTCGTCCCTCGCTGTATATAATACTACTATAATAATAACGATAAGGGGAGCGTGACGATTGCAGGGACGGTGGAAAAATAATACAGTCTGTCCATTTTCGGAAAGAGACAACGTCACTGTCTCTGTCTTTCTCTGTTTCTATACGTACGAAACGAAATCTATGTATTTTCATTTCGTTTTCGCAATGGACAGCTGACAATCAGCGTGGTCTTAGTCGCGCAGCCGGTGGTCTGGTTTAGGTGGTCGTGTCGTTGGCGTGCCAGAGGCCAAATTCGTGTTCACGTCGTACATCCGATGCGAAATGCTTCCGGTTCATCTCAGTTTTGCTCAATTTTCATTTATCGTGATCCTATTGGAAATTTGGAGGAGGTGTAAAATGGTCCAACGAATCGGAGTTCGCCTCTTCGTAATTCATTATCATTCACAAACGAAATGTTTTAAAAGTATTCTCCTGCTGATGGTTATCGAGTTTTCAATGTATCGAACGCTGGAAATAATTGATAGATTTGATAACGCGATTCAAAATATCCGCGTGGAGTCGTTTTGTGGCGAGCTCGAGCGAAACGACAATTTGTCGATTGATTAAATAATTTTTCTGATCGAAGAACGTGCGAGGTTCATTATGCAGATGGAAGAATATATGAGGTTCATTAAGAGATAATTACAATTCCGTTATTCCCAACGCAATCGTTCAGACACGCGCGTTTTACCAATGGAATTATACGTATATTACATCTTCCTCGTTCATTATCGTCATTTAGACTGCTTTCTGTCTGCCTTTTCCGTCGTTTCATTCTTCTCTCTCTCTCTCTCTCTCTCTCTCTTTCGTGAATTCATTTACGTATCACAGAACGCTACCTTTGACATCGTGCATCGTTAAATTGTTTCGCGCGTTCGAATATAACGCCACCGCTAACAGAAATCGATCAGAATTTAGGTGTGAATCTGCGGTCTCGAACATTCATTTTCAACGTTTCCGATATTCGAGGGAAAGCGTGCGTGTCTGTGATTGACTCTTTCTTTTTTGTTTTTAGTTTTCACTGAAGAACTGAAAAAGCGCAAAAATTTGTTATATTTTAGTGTGTGAAAGTATGTCGTAATATATGTACATACGCGAAAGTATTTGAATACGAAAGGCTTTGGAATAATTATGGCGACAGTGGCAAACTTTGAAACATTTTTGAAAATATACGTAGAGATTACAAAAAGATTCATTTCTCAGAGATCATAAAGATATTTAAATACTTATTAAATATTAAATATCTAATTTACTTATTAAATATTAAATATCTAATTAATAAGCTTTAATATTTAATAACATTCATACCTGCAACTCAGTCTATGGATCAATTTGTAATTTCTATACATTTTCAGATTAGTTTCTTTTTGTCAATATAATCAGGTATTAATATAATCTGGTATTAATAAACGTGATTAATAATTAAACGTGAGAAATTCTATGCAGACACGCACGATAGATATGAAATTTTTCTTTAGATTTGAAATTTCATTTAAACGAGGGTTGAACATTGAGTGTACTGGAACGATGCTCTTATCGTGAGCTCCGTTTTCAAGCGTACAGATATACCGATCGCAAAAAAAAAAAGAAAAAAAAAAGGATGTTCACCCTCGAGTGCTGCGTTGTCGTTTGTTACACTCCGTTTATCCTTTTCGACAAAGCATGAAAAGAACATACGTGCACGCAGCTGGAGCATCGCGAGAGGGAAAACACAATGGCTCTGTTGTTACTCCAAATATTTTTCGGCTTAGATAAACTAAACGGCTACGTCTTGGGAAAACGAGGACGACACGTGGGAAACAATCAACGAAAAGAATGTGACCTGTCACGATGTATAGCAGAAAAACTGTTTGAAATTGATGTCTCGGTGATCATAAATTCGAGTTTGATTTATTCGGTTATTTGAATTCGAATCGGAAATAAAAAATTCACGTAGATGTATAATCGTCGATTAAAGGGAGACGTATATTCATCGTGAACGGATAGGAAAATTTCCCCGGTTGATTGTGTCAGCTAACCACCGGCTGGTTTTTCTTTCTTTCTTGTGTCAGCAGCAATCGCCTTTCAGTTCGCGTGTCCAGGCTAGTCCAGGTCGGTTCCTTCAAACTTTAACGAGAAAGCTCAACAGGTGCCTCGAGGATTTCTCTAGCAGTCTTCTAACGCGATACTTTTCAAATCTATCCGAAGGCTAGACAAATATGTAGCTGTCGCTCGTCGAAAATTTCTATCACGATCGTTTCGTCGTATCGAATTTTCACCGCCATTAATCAACAAGATGTATCATCATCGTTCACACGATCGACGGCTGCTTTTTGTCTCGACTAGGAACTTGCGTAAATTTTTGATTATGCGCCCGAGTAATTTCCTTCGTTTGTACAAGAGAATGCTTACCAGTTGACGGAGGGATGGAAATATCCAACCTTCTCCCCATGATTTCCCATGAATTTCCATTTTCGATATTAATTTACGTTCCTGGAATGTAGTTCGGCTCTTTGCATCGTGCTATTCACCCGGCTTTGGCTTTTCAACCTCGCTTTCGAACAGAATCTGGCATCGCTGTTCGAGTTCCATTACCGTGGTATGTTAATTAAGTTTTCCACGTTACTATGGACAAAGTTGCCTCGCTTGCACCAGCCCTGTAGCTATCTTCTTTTACGAAAAAAATATGATATACGTAATCTAAATAACGCCCGTACCTCTTTCATTCTCTCGGTGCCTCCCTTCTGCGGGGATTTTTGTCCTTTCTGTTTCACAATACAGTTCGGGTCTTCTCCGTCGCGTAACGAACAAATCTACCCGGCGAAAAATCTCGTTTCGTACGTTTTTCTGCTCGTACGTATTTCTTTTTTTCTTTTTTTCTTTCGAAGGGAAGTCGGTAACAGGATGAACGGGCGGTGGCCGTATCGCGAAAGAAAATAAAAAGAAACGCGGGCGATGGAAGCTGCAGCTTCCCCCTTTTTTTTTTTTACCTCGGCTTGTCAATTTTCTCCGCGCTTCGTCTCCTCATTGTTTCCCTTCCCAAATCAACGAGATCCTCTCCGCCGCCGTCTCTTTCGCCTGGGATCTCTCGCGTCGGTCGAAAATTCGCGGGGCGCAGAAAAAAAAAGAAGAAGGAGAAAAAAGAAACGTGCGAAAATTGCGCACGAGTTGGGCGCGTAGTTACTCATGTAACTGCACATCGCATTCGGCGGTGGCGCATTGTCGTGTACAATGTATGCAGTTCGCGTCGAGCGCAAACGAGCGGGTTGCCTCGTTCCCGTTAAAAAAAAGAAAAAAAAACTGTGCATTCTTTCGAGGAGCAGAAAACGCGGTCGAAAGCGCGAGTCATTGGAAACGGGGTTCTTCGTGCGAAAAAGATAACACGAACGGTAGAATTTTAGGGGTTGCTTTCGAAGGAAGGTATCTGTTTGTTTCGTGCTAGTCTGTAAATCATTTCGCGTCAAACTGACGCGCAGTTGATTCAGTTAAAAAATTCGAAAGCTGAAACATTGTTGTTGAAATTATGTCGAAAAATGTTTCAGTAAACGTACGAGTGCTTCGATTAAAATCGTGTAACATTTGATGCGTAACTTGGCACAGCTCGGCGTTCTTTATAAATGAAATGTTAACGCACGCGTGTCGACGCGAGGCCATCCATCAGTTTGGCAGATATTTTAATTTTAATTGCACATTATCGATTAAATTGAAAATTAAATTAAATTGAAATGTCTGTTAAACGTGGTGTTGCGAAATACCATAAATAGATTAATGTTTTTGTACAGAAAATATAGAGACGAAAAAATATATATCTAAAAATATATTTAATATAAAAATATATATCTAAAAATATATTAAATATATATCTAAAAATATATTTAAAAAAAATTAAATTAATCTTCGTGTACGAAACAACTTGAAGTACTTTCTGAAACATTTCTCGATATAATCAACAGTTTTGAAAATACTTTATCTTCCTTATCCCTTAGGTGACTCGTTTAACACGTGAAACGACGAGTTCTCGAAACTAATTGGTTTACGATTCTCGGTCCGGGTGAGAAACGAAATGCGAACGAGTTTCGGGTTTCCTGTATCGCGCGCGAGAATCTTCAAACGAGCGGATTTCGCCGAATAAAATATATCGTT